ACGGACCCCTCTATTCGCTCTCGAAAACCGAGCTGGTCGCACTCAAGGAATGGCTTGACGACAATCTGAGCAAGGGATTTATCCGTGCGTCCTCATCACCAGCGGCATCACCGATCCTGTTTGTCAAAAAATCGGACGGCTCCTTGCGACTGTGTGTGGACTATCGAGGCCTGAACGAAGGAACCATCAAGAACCGCTACCCACTTCCCCTGCTCCAGGAAACCTTGATGCGACTGTCCGGTGCAAAGTATTTTACAACACTGGATATCCGCGGTGCTTACAACCTGGTACGAATGGCAGAAGGGGAGGAATGGAAAACGGCCTTCCGGACCCGCTACGGACTTTTCGAATCATTGGTCATGCCTTTCGGGCTAACCAACGCGCCAGCCGACTTCCAAGCCCTGATCAACGACGTTTTACGACCGTTCCTGGACGACTTCTGTGTTGCCTTCCTAGATGACGTCTTTGTCTACAGCGCGTCACTGGAAGAACACCAAAAACAGGTCACCAAAGTGCTACGCGCCCTTTCATCGGCCGGACTGCACTTGATACCGGAGAAATGCCACTTCCACCAGACGGAGGTCAAATACCTGGGCCTGATCATAACCACGGAGGGTATTAAGATGGATCCTGCCAAAGTCTCTTGCGTACTCGAATGGGAAAAACCGACGACGGTAACGGATGTGCAGTGTTTCTTGGGCTTTGTGAACTTCTACCGACGCTTTATCCAGGACTACTCTAAGGTGGTATCTCCCCTGACGGCAATGACAAAAAAGGAAAATGGGAAGTACGTCCCCTTCGAATGGGGTATTGACCAACAGCAAGCCTTCGACACTCTCAAGACTGCCTTCACTAGCGCCCCGATCCTCCGACATTTCGACTACGACCGAGAAATAGTGGTGGAAACTGATGCCTCGGATTACGTATCGGCCGGTATCCTCTCCCAGTACGACGACGATGGAATTTTGCATCCAGTTGCCTTCTATTCAAAGAAACACTCCCCGGCGGAATGCAATTACGAAATCTACGACAAAGAATTGTTGGCGATTGTTCGGGCCTTTGAAGAATGGAGACCACACCTTGAAGGAGCCGCGCACCCGATCCAAGTCCTGAGCGACCACAAGAACCTGGAATACTTCATGTCAACCAAGTTGCTCAACCGCCGGCAAGCACGATGGTCGGAATTCCTGTCCCGTTTCGACTTCAAAATCGTCTATCGACCTGGTAAAGCAGGAGGGAAACCGGATGCATTGACAAGGAGGTCCGGAGACCTCCCTAAGGAGGGGGATGAAAGACTGCTGGCGAACCAACAAGCAGTCCTCAAGCCCCAAAACCTGCCGGAAGAATTGAGATTGTCAGCAACCAACCCGTTGGAAGTACCCCGTCCCGCACTCTCTACCCTGATAACCGAAGCATATCAGGCAGATCCAGTGCCGAACAAGGTCCTCCAACTGCTCAGAAACGGAACACGCCACTCGAAGGACATCTCGCTCGCCGACTGCAGCGAAGTCAACGGACAATTACATTACCGCGATTGCCTCTACGTTCCTGAACACGACCCACTCAGACTTCGCCTGATCCAGGACCACCACGACCCGCCGGCTATGGGCCATCCCGGAAGAGCAAAAACCTTGGAACTCCTGGCCCGGAACTACTACTGGCCCCAGATGCGGAAGGACGTTGACCGTTTGGTGAGGAACTGCCACACTTGCAGACGAACCAAAGCAACAAGACACGCCCCCTACGGTGTGCTCCGCCCACTCCCAGTACCCGAGAAACCCTGGCAACATATATCCGTCGACTTCGTAACCGGACTCCCTCCCTCAAAAGGATTCGATGCCATTTGCGTATTTGTGGACCGCCTCACCAAGCAACGACACCTGCTCCCCTGCAACACGACCATCACCTCCGAGGGACTCGCCGAACTATTCTGCGAACGGATCTTCAGATACCACGGACTACCCGACACCATCGTATCGGACCGGGGCCCCCAGTTTGCCTCACGATTTTGGAAACATCTATGCTCTTGCCTCAAGATCGACGCACGGCTCTCCACGGCGTTCCACCCGCAGACAGACGGTCAAACAGAGAAGATGAATGCGGTAATGGAACAACACCTCCGGGCATACGTGAGCTACCTGCAGGACGACTGGGTCGGCTACCTATTCTTAGCAGAGTTCGCTGGCAACAACCAGGCATCCGACACCACTACCCTGTCCCCGTTTTTTGCTAACCTAGGCTACCACCCCCGTTGCGACTTCGAGCTTGACATCCGAACCGACAAGAACAAAGAGCGACAGGCGCAGACAGCGGCAGAGCGACTCCAACAGATCCACGACGTTGCCCGAAGTGAGATGCGCTACGCCCAAGCACGACAGCAGGACAACACGGACCGGCACCGAACCCCCGCACCGGCCTTCCAGCCTGGAGACATGGTATGGGTGGACGGCCGAAACTGGCGGACGGAGCGACCAAGCCGGAAACTGGAAAACAAACACCACGGACCCTATCGGATTACCCGAGCCATCGGAACCCACGCATACGAACTGGACATCCCGAACACCATCCAAAAGCACCGCACCTTCCCAGTGTCCCTCCTCCATGCATCGGCCCACGACCCCCTCCCCGGCCAGATCCTGCTGCCACCGTTACCGGTAATTGTGAACGACCAAGAAGAATGGGAGGTGGAGGAAGTGCTGGACAGCAGAACGCTGAGGGGAAGACTCCAGTACCTAGTCAAGTGGAGGGGTTTCACGGCACCGACGTGGGAACCTGAGGAGAACCTTGTGGACGTACAGGTAGTGGACGACTTCCACCAACGGTACCCAACGAAGCCTGGACCAGTTCAACTTGCTCTCGTGGGAACTCGAGCCTTAGGAGGGGCTACTGTCACGGCTCGCGACGGGACGTTCGAGGAAGAGTCGGAACAGGGGTGGGAAAGCAGCGCGGGGACAGTGCAAGGGGCTGCGCGGGCGGCAATGCAGGAATGAGCCGGAGGAATTGGGGCTGTGTGCAGTAAGCAGGGGTAGTGCGGCTGCGCAGGGTATTAGTCACGGAAGTGGGGTACTGGCAAGGTGGATTTCTCAGGGTCTGGCACACGCCCACGGTTATTGTCAGGTTGCGAGAAGAAGTGGAGGGTTTCCTATATAAACGGGCCGTTGCCCCTCTGTACTTAGTTCTTCACGCAACAACTTGTTAATTCAATCACTGTTACCTCTGCCCTTGCCTCGGCTGCCGTCTGCGCCGTAGTCCTCGTCCCTGCCTCTGTTCTCAGTTGCCGTCTGCACTGAGCCCTGCCTCACCTTGTCCCCTGAACCTGTCTTGCCTCTACCGAACCCAGAACCCGACCCCCAGCCCGGCTTCGCTACCTGGAGCCTTGCCCGACCGTGCCGTTACAATAGCCACTCGACTATTGTGATGGAAATCCCAAGCCAGCAACTACACATCATTGAACACTGTAATCAAGTACACTGGGAAAGTACTATACCACTCCACCAAAAGGTATTTTGATGGCTGAAGGCCATCATCCCAGTAGCTACTTAAGGCCAGAATTGCTGAACTGTGACAAACACTACTGACGATACCCCTTCAGATTATTTTACTGTGAATTATCGAAATCCTCACTTTTATTTGATGCTTGATATCTACCAAGACTTGGACGTCCTGAAACCGTTCCAGTCTCACATGTGTACTGAGAGAGTGACCGCTGAGCCTGCCGAGGATGAGTCCACTGAACCTTCCACCGGCGCACCCTTCAAATACGTCAAGCGCACAACAATCAACCTGCCGAGAGCACATCCTCCATGTCACAGTTCAGAAATCCTGGCCTTAAGTAGCTACTGGGATGATGGCCTTCAGCCATCAAAATACCTTTTGGCCGAGTGGTATAGTACTTTCTCAGTGTACTTTATTACACTCCAAGACTGCTGCTGAGGACGCATCAACCGAGTCTGTCGTGAGCGCACCCACTGCACCTTCTGGAGTAGACATCTTTAAGGAGCAATCAGCTCGATATTTTTGTCTTCATCATTGTTGTTGTTCTGAGCATCTTCAACCGTAGATGTGAGAATAAGAGCTTCAAATACTAATATCACTTTGTCGGCGTGTGCTATCTTCGTAGGAAAGGTGATCTAGTTGATCTCCATTATGCTTTCCGTGATTTCTGGCGACTTAATGTTTGTAGGGTGCGCTGCATAGCTCTGCATCTACAATTCCGTACATGCTTCAGGAGCTTCAGCCTTACCAACCTAATCAGCTGATGTTCTATTGCCGCGCCGGCGCGGACCCGATTCACACTAGTGAGTTTCGTGGTGCTAAATCCATTTCACCCACTGGACGGTTATCCGAGATTATAAGGTACATCTTCGTTACCAACAACGGCATTACTCACATCAACTACGTGGTAGTAGGTTCACAGGCAAGTATAATCACAAGAGAAGCCTGACACATGAGCATCCATCACAGGCTCCCGCTAGAATGTTCCTTTTCAAAACACCTTTCCGACTGCGCTTATTCGAAACCAGCGGCGGCAAAGCTTGAATGGATGAAACCGGAGGTGAATAGATGGAAGCCGGCGAGGATAGGTGGAAGCTGTCGTGATTGACTGGAAGCATGATACAGCTCGTCCTTTTCCCTTCACAGTTATCACATTTGGCATCATCTCGATGTCGGGGATGTAGTGAAATGGCCAATCATTATGGACCTTATTAGTGACTGGTGACTTGCGAGGTGGGCTATGTTGCTACTTTTCCTTCTACTTTGGGCGGTTGAGCTGTCGTTCGGATGTTGGGTTTCATGAATGCGCCACAGCCCGGAATGCCCCCTCCTTCGAACGGCTCCTCGCTACGATCCGACTCACCGACCATGTTCTGCAGCGGCACGGTAGCTAGGAAAAGAATATGATTAAAGAGACAAAGATCCAGCAAAACAAATGCACCCGTAGTAACCTTCTATCAAACTTCACAACGCTTGATTCCCATTTATAACTCGTGCAGAACATGTTACCGGCTACTACAGGAGTAAATCACTGCACCGCCGGCCGCCATGACCGTGCCCACAAACTCGGCCCAGCCGAATCCTCCCGGCTCCAGAAGCCATCCTACCGCCAGAATGATGGCAGTTTTGGCGTGGCTCGCAACGTTGAACTATATGCCACCGACGTCAGTAACTGAAGAAACGAATCGCGGGGGCAGGGAAACGTACCGTCACGGCGGATGTGCGCCCGATGATCAGAAACTGTGTTAGGTTTACGACCATGGCTGTAGCTCCCGAGAGTAAGATGGCAATCCACACTTTGGCATCCATCGGCGCCCTGGCATCTCCGCTACCGCCTTGCCCACCGCTGCCGCTACCGCCGCCGCTACTAGCCGCCGCCACAAGTAGCTGACCCTCGACCAAAGGCGCCAGCACGCCGAGGAGTCCCAACGCGAGGTACGACTGGTTGAACAGCAGCTGCGCACCGGAGCAGCCGGTGTCCGTCTGCTTCTTTCCGATCCAGATCTGGTAGACAGCGGTGGTGATGAACGCGGCGATTGCGATGATGACGCCGAGGGGAGTGGTGTTCGTGGAGCCGTGGCAGGTGAGCGCTGCGCCGGCGCAGATCGTGGCGAGTGCCGCGAAAACCGTGCGCGAGACTGTGTCGCCGTTGAGCAGGTAGTTGAGGAAGACGACGGTCGGCGTAGTCGCAATCTTGGCGATCTGGTAGAAGCCCAGTGGGTTGAGCAGGAGCGAGAGGTTGTTGAGGATTATCCATGCGGCGAATGCCACCGCCAACGGAAACACCTGGCGTATGTCCAAGTAGATTCGCTGAAACAGTCTGAGCGGGGAATGCGAGGTGGCGAAGAGAATGGCGAAGGTGCAAAAGACGTGCCAGGCGGTGAAGGAGAACTGCAGCGACTGCAGGCGCGGAAAAGAGAAGATGAACTTATTCAGAACGACGAGACAGCAGGTCGAAATTGTGTTTATGGCCAGGATGAGGAGAACGATCAGGTTCTTTCGCTTTGTTTTTGACACAGGCGGGGGAGCTGCAAGGGATTCTTCATCCGCGTACAATAGCGGCTTCTCTTGACTCGAGGGTTCGTTGTCTTCCTCATCGGATAGCTCCTGCAGAGCAATGTTTGGGTCGCCATGATTTTCCGGGGGAATGGTATTGTCCGAGTGATCGACCAAAGGCATCGGTTTCGCTGGGGTCGGGTCAGCAATGTTGAAGAATCAGTGGTAAGATGGAAGATATACCCAGCAAAAGCGGAACTAGTGGAATGCTCTCCGACGAGACTCGTGGATTCGATGGACCCATCTGTGATCAGGGTTGTGTCGGTGATGTGGTTGCTGTCGTGTCGGTCGCTGTCTTTTATGGATGTTTTTGATGCAAACACCTCGGATCGATGAAACCTCCTGCCTAACGCACAATTCAAGATACTTAATTTGCCTTGCGAGGGGGGCGGGAGCGAATAATAATCTTCCGTAAGGTGAAGCCGGACTGTGAATAGTTAGAGGATTGACATCATAAGCGGCTTGGAAGTCTTGGACCCTACGCGGCAAGTCTTGAGCTTGCGCTACCGCGATCAAACTATTCCGTTGTGAGTACGGCATCTACTCAAGGAAAAGTACCTCCACTTAAAACACCACCTTCATCTTTCCTTCAGCTTTGCAACTCTCGTCCACCATGTCCAATTTCACGAAAATACGGCAACACTTCACCACGACGGCCGTCATCGGCGGTGCATGCTTGCTGATATTTATCGTCTCCCTTTCCGCGCTATATCGGCACTCCTACCAGAGCTCCATCCCAGAGCCCTGGATGGAACCCAGCTATTCCTCGCGCTCTTCGCACCACAAGGGACCAGCCGGTCTGGTCGACCGTCTACTCATCCTCCTGCCGAAAGACAGGGCGACCAAAAGCGACTATGGCTTCCATGAGGACTGGCTCGAGAAGGCGATAGATAACAGGAAGCGTTACGCCGATTTTCATGGTGGGTCTTTCTACCAATCGACAGATTTGAGCTGGAGTTTGACGGGCTGCAACAGGATACAGCTTCATGTGGGCGAATCTCGAGACCTACCCCGAGTTCAAAATCCATCCACAGTGGTCCAAGATTGGTACGTCTTAGCAGCTTCCCCGGCCAGCGAAGAGCTTCGCTAATACCATGACGGCAGCCGGCCTCAACGATGCCTTCAACAAGCACCCGGAAGTCGAGTGGATCTGGTGTCTCGATTCGGACGCCATCATCATGAACGCAACGATCGGGCTATGGGACTACCTCCTCTCGCCGGAGGCGCTGATGAGGGAAGTGAAATCGGAGGGTCCAATTTGGTTCGGTGGAAAGAAACAGCTCCCGCAGCATGAGCTGGAACTCAAGACACCCACGATCGTCGACCCGAACAACATCTACCTCATCATATCGAACGACAGCAACGGACTCAAGTTTGTCCCCCTCCCCCAAACGGTGTTGACGTTCGTGGGCAGTTCTGACCATTCATAGTACCGGAAGCTTCTTTGTCCGTCGAAACGCCTTCATGTCTGCGTTCGTCGACCTCTGGCGCGACCCCTATCTCATCAAGAACAAGTACTTCCACCCTTCCCCTCTCCACCGCCTCACTGGGCATCCAGTACACACCTAACAGCCTCTCCCGCAGGTTCACTTTCAACGAGCAAGACGGCCTCGCGCACCTAATCCTGACGCACCCACACGTGCGCAAGCACGTCGGCATCGTGGAGCAGAGCAAGATCAACATCTACCCGGGCCACTTTCAGCAACACGACTTTCTGGTGCACTTTGCTGGATGTCGGAACTCCGGGCAGGATTGTGATAAGCTCGCCGTCGACTTCTGGAATAGGAGGACGGTCGTAAATACTGATACGCTGCCTAGAAAGGTGTAGATATCGCTTGCTTGCGCCGATCATACTATAGACTTGGGGTTTTTTTCTTTCTTTGCGAAAATATTGTTCTTTATAATGGTGTCGAACGTGCAGTAGCAGACCTTCGAACGCGTAGCATCCCACCGTGAAGAGAAAAAACTGCCTGTACACAAACCAGGGGTCGAAAGCAACAGCATGGCGTGAAACAAAGCCAGTGCGTTAAAACAAGCGTACTCCCGAAGTGCAGGGAACTCGGCCCGATTTTCTCTGGGCACTAGGCAGCGGCCCAGCGGGTAGGTGGGCATACGGGTAATGGCACTGGGGCCTGGGCAGCCTATGTTTAGAGTATGTATGGCAGCCCAATTCCAAATTCCGATTCCCGAAACCGCAATGATGGGCCCGAGCATGACCCCTGCTCCGGCGTGGTGCCTGCTTGGCTGCGCGCTCTGGTCGGGTAGATGCTACCAAGCCGCTGCCGGCCGGACTACTCACTGGTCCCGTCTGTACAGCGCGGCTGGCTTGCGTGGACGACGTCATGTCTACTTAGTCATACGGGATGGAAAGCCGCACTATAACCACCACCACCACCACCTCACGCTCGAAAAACTACATACTGAACGGCGCCGAAGCTCGAGACGTTGATGAGGTTGTCCCTACCTCCGTCGGTACCCCTCCCCCCACAAGCCCTATCGTAGCCTCGTAGGTAGGCGATTTATCTGGCCATATCCTCTCACATATGTATCCGGGTGAGCTTCCCCCCTGCCTACACCCCTACACCCCTCCACCCCTTTGGCCCCACCCCTTCGACCCCACCAGTATAACTAGATACCACCCCAACACCTCCAACTCCACTCCACGGAAAAAACCCCGCGTAGCCCAGTATGGAGTCTAGCCGCGCAATCGACGCGGAGAGCGCACCAACGTTCCGGGTTCACACACGGGTAAAAAAACGCTGGTCCGGCTGTTGTATTTTCCAAGCAAGTTTTGAGTTTTTGAGTTTTGGGATTTTGATTTTGGTGCTGACGCTGGGTTAAGCCACGGTGCGACATAAAGTAGCACTCGTCCTACGACAACAGCTGGATGGTGATGATGTCCGGTAGTTGTTCTATGCGTTGCAGGCAGAGCATTTTCACCCTCACATACCATTCCCATAGCCAAACATACAAGACACCGCCCTCAGCGGGATGGGGCGTACGTGCTCTTCTCTGACACAGCGCACACTATGGGAAGTGTCGTGCTAGTCTTCGTCCGATAACGTGTTACGTGTAGACTGGGCATCCGCTCTCGCATACCGACATGACCACCACTACCTCACGCTCAAGGACTACATCCCCAACAGAGTCGAAGACTCGAAGCTTGAGACGTTGATGAGGTTGGCCCTGCCTCCGACGCTACCCCCTCCCCCCACAAGCCGTAATATCGTGGCCTCGTACGCGAGATCTCTGGCCATATCCTCTCAAAATCGGCCACCAGCTCTCAGCAGCCATGCATAGCACGTCTCATCCCTCATCGCCAAAGCGTATTCCCGTAGTAGCAGGGTAGTATGGCAGGTGTTGATCTACCCGGTAGTAGCGCTCCCAACTTTCTACCCTGCGGATTCCCGTGTCGCGACGTGGGGGTACCGTAACGGCAGGTGGGAGGTGAGTGAGGCATGATAGCACGAGATCCAATGCGGTTTCGAAGGGCTGCAGGGTATCACATCAATTGAACGCCTGCAGTGGTGATTAATGTCGCAGTATGCACTAGATGGATATCAACTCGGCCACCTTCACCCTCGCGTAAAGGGGAACAAGGTGGTGTAGCATTGTCGACATACTGGGTAGAGCTCAGCCCGAGACGGGGCGAGCTCTCTTCCTGCTGGATACATTCACTGGAGGATAGGTATATCCGCGTGCACACTGCAATGCAGCACGGATTGAAACAGTGGCAGTGGTGGCGGGGGCGAGGGATCGTGGGAGCGGATCCGTCAATTGCTGCGACGCAGCCTGGTTGTATACCGTTGTTCGCGTAGCCTTCCATCCTTCCAACCTTACCCCCAGATCACTCGATTCCGCCATGTGAGTTTTAATGTTCGCATCGTTACCACCTTACCACCCACCTGGCTACTAAAAACCTGAGGAAAGTATGTTTAAACAAATTAGTACCATCATTGTACATATCATTGTATCGGACAAACCGTGAAACGAAATGATTACACAGTAGATAACACAACTTGGTGACAATCCACACCATCACACTATCACACCATCACACCATCAGATCACTCGGTCCACGACGAGTAGCTTGTAGCTTGTAACTCCCTTCATTACCACTCCTCATGTTCATCCCCCGTGTTCATCCCCCGTGTTCATCCCACACACCCCACACGCCCCCACACGCCCGGCCCATGCATTTGTCCCCGCGTCCCCATCCCTCAACCGCTGAAAACGAAACACTGTAGCAAAAAAATAAATGGAGAATAAAATGTCATACAACACACAGCAAAAAAAAGATGAGAAGAAAGAGAAGCATGATGTAGTAAAGAAGTATCGCTTCATCGTCCAAATGCAAAGGAGGTTAGACATACACAGACCAGACAAAAACGGGTACCAACAACAAGCAAGCGAAAGCGAAAAAAAAAACGCCCAACCACGCAAGAAGAAACCCCGCGCAAAAAGCGAGAGACCATATTCCGATAGTCCCCCAAGCGAGCGCAATACCTCTACTTACTCCTAACCCAGCCAGCGCCTTATTCCATCAGAGCCGCAAACGTTTCCGTCTCTTTCGTTCAAACAAGTCCTACATCTGTATCATTTCTTCAGCAAACCCTTCCTCCTGGACGCCTTAGGACTGTCAGCGGTACTTGCGTTTTCCGCGCTCTTGAAGCTAGTGCGCAAGGTAACGCGGCCCTCGCCGACATTGACGATGGTGTCGTTTCCTGAACCAGTATCGTCCACAGCGAACAAGCCCTCGCCCAGTTCCTCGTCCTTGAACAGGTGGTTGTCCTTGACGAATACCTTGAACTGCGTGTCGGCAAAGCACTGGACACTGAATTGCTCGTCGTAGGAGGCATCACCGGTTGAGGACTTGACGGTCTTCGACTTGAGGAGGTCCTTGTTCTTGTCGACGGCGCGGATTCGGACCTGTACATTGGTGCCCGCGGGGTAGCCGGAGGCGGCGACGAGGCGGATAGTGGCGGTGCCCGAGTCGGGGCCGCTGCCGATAACGCCCGGGACCGAGTGTTGACTCGAGGTGCTGCGCGAGCGGGCGTGGGGGGAGGTGCTCCTGGCTGCTGAGTTAGGGCTTAGGCTAGAGGAGCCACGTCCAGTGGGGGTCAATAGACGGTCGTCGGCGCCATCCATGCGGATGGCACTTCCACTCGACATGGGACGGTTCTCAGAAATCGCCTGCATCTCCGGCTCAATGACCACCGGCTCGTCCTCCGACACGGTGTTTGACTTAGCACGACCAAAGGTGTTCTTCTTGAGGAACGAAGCGCCCTTGGAGATTCCACCGACGGCAGCGCCTCCGACCTTGAGGGGAGCACCGGCAACACCAGTGACGAGCTTTCCGGGTGCCGCAAAGGTACCGTGGAACGTCGATGATCCCTGGCGAGTACGGGTGACGTAGTCTGGCTTGAATACCATCCTCAGACGCAACTCGCCAAACTTACCTTCCTCGCCCTTCTTGCCCTTGAGCTTGTAGACAACGGTCTGCGGCTTAAAGGGTTCTATCGCTGTCAAGTCAATGCTCGTCTTGGCCAAAAAGTCCGCCTGCGCCGATCATCAGTACTCGCTCTGAACCCGAGTCGATTAAACACTCACCTTGGTACCGATATCCCAATCAAATATCTCAACCTCGAACTTTGCCGCCGCACGGGAAGCAACCTGGGTCTCGAAAACCTCGTTCCAAGCCGGGTGGAGCGTCTTCTTCTGCACCTTGGTCTTGTGGATCTCTTTGCCGTCGAGTTCGAACACGCAGAAGGGGTCGCTCTTGCCGTTGCGGTCGGCAGCAGGAAGATTCGCAGCATCGAGGATGTCAACGCGGAGGGTGCCCATGTTGCTGATGCTCTCGCTGGGGTCCAGTTTCATGACGACCGGGATGTACTTCAAGCTGATCTTGACTTTGCTAGGCTGTCCATCCTTGTCCTTCAGAGTAAGAACGGTCGGGTTGTTCAGGCACATCTTGAGAGTTTCGAGAGTACTTCCACCAAGCTTGGCCAAGACGGCATCCTCGCCATCGTCACCGTGCTCGCGCAGACGAAGAGTGATCTTGGAGAACTCGAGTTCACGGACCATCGCATCACCAATCTCATCGAACTTGACGTTCTTCGACCGAATCCTAGTGCTGGAAAAACTGGGGAAGTGCATGTCGTCCATGAGGACCTCGAGGTAACAATCCTTGTGGGCGAGCGCGCCATCGATGAACTTGAAGATGATGAGACCGGAATCGTGACGGAGCAGCTCTTCGGGAGACAACCGGATCTTGGGAGCCTTCTTGTCGGTCTCGTCACCATCGGCATCCGTAAACGCAACATTAACCGGCGTCTTCGCCATGTCGGCTTCGGCAACAGGCTCGGCAATCTTGGGAGAGGAGCCCGGAGCCGGGACCCCGAGGGCTTTCTTCGCCTCTTCCGCCTCTTGCTTCTCAATTTCGAGAAGTTTCTTCTCCTCTTCTTCCTCCTCGGGATCAGCAACGTTGAGACACGGGAAGAAGGAGGCGGTGAAGTTGAGTGTTCCCTTGGGAGTGGTCTTCTTTCCAAGATACAATCCCTCGGAGCGGTTCCTCTTCTCGGCGTGGACCTGGTAGAGCTCCTGAGAGTCCTGCTTGATGAACTCCTCCAGACTCAGCTCGATGGCACCAAGGGACTTATCCTTGCCCATAGATTCTTGATCCATAACCTCGAGGGTCAACTTCTCCTTGGCGGAATGAACCGGGACGTACAGGACTTCGTCCCAAGCCGGGTTGAGGTCGTTCTCGAAGGTGACGGTTCTGGCTTTCTCGGCACCGGCAAGCATGACGCGGACGTAGGGGTCGGATTTGCCGAGAGCCTCCAAGTTTCGGAGATCCTTTGCGCTCTGGAAGTGCAAACGCATGACACCGATCGGGGTGATGTAGCCACCGGTTCCAGCGATACCCTTGATAGTGACAGGTTTCCATTGACAAGTCATCTTGACACGGCCGCTCTTTGAGCCAACGAGGTTGAACCATTCGGTACCCTTCTCCTTCGATTCCAAGAGGTCCGTGAGCTTGATCTGGTACTTTCCGAGAACGGGATCGTCGACAAAACCGCGCTCGTCCTTGACGATGACACCGAGCTTGCAAGTACGACGGTTGGTGATGAGCATGTCGTGGGATTCCTCAAACTGCGGGTCGTTGTTGCGCTTCTTGATCTTGGTGGTGAATATCGGCTTGCTGTTAAGGGTCATCTGTGCGTACGGCGACAGCTGTCCAATCACACTCTTGCTCGCGTCGAGGTCCTTGCACTGATGGATGGTGAAGCGAGCGATACCGGTGTTGCTCTCCGGGACGGGTTCCTTGGTTCCGTCGTCGAGGATGCGGCCTTCGAGAACCGGGAAGAAACGAACGTCAAACATGATGTTACCGCGAGGTTTGCCGTTGGACACGATTGGCAGGTTGATGTTCTCGTGTTCGGGGTCCGTCTTGAGCTGTTCCAATGCGAAGCTGGCCACACCGAGCTCCTTGTCCTTGCGGATTTCGTTGTAATCAAAGAACTGAAGATCCAGAGAGTCGTTGAGGTTCGATAGGATGATGTACTTGGTCTCGTTCCACTTGGGTTCGGTGCTCTCGTGCACAGTCTTGGTCCTCGCGAGCTCGGCACGTTGGTTGATGGTGACGACGGCGTAGGGGTCGGGAGTGCCACTGAACTTGTCGGAATTCTTGAGTCCATTGGCCCTATGAATGGTGACTGCGAGGACTCCAATGGCGGTATCGATGGGTGCACCTCCGAGCATCTTGGCGATTTCGAGGGTGAAGACGTTGGGGCTGTACATCATGGGGCCGAGGTTTCCGTGGACTTGCTCCTGGATGAATGTGCTGAGTCCGGGGAGGAAGCCGATGTCGAATCCGAGGGTCTCTCCTCCGAGGGGCTTGAGCGCATAGTCAAACTTGGGCGGGCCCATGAAGCAGATGTCGACCTTCTCGATGTGGGGGAAAGGCAGCTGGAGCTTGATCTTGACCTTCATAGTTCCGGCAAACGCCATATCTTCGACAACGATCGGGATACCCTGCGAGATGATTCCCTTTCCGACGCGAACTTCGAGGACAACCTTGGGGTTGACCTTCTTCTTGAGCTGGCGACTGGTCAGATCGTCGGTGTCGTTGGGGGTGAAGCTGAAGGCCCAGTCCATCTCGACGATGTCGTCCTCCGTCTTGGGGTAAGTCTTGACGTGGTCGATCCTGGGGGGCTTGGTTCCGAGGGTGAAGGTGGTCATGCGCAGAGAGTCGAGGAAACCGGGAGTCGCACCGGCGAGGATGCCGTCGACCATGTTGATGACGGTAGCGGCGAGGACGGGCTGGTAGATGGGCCAGAACTTGACGACGAACGAATTCAGCCACTCGAGACTCTCGAGGTCGGTATCCAACTTGGTCTTCATCAATTCACGGTTCAGATCGTCGCGGACGTTTCGGCGCACGCGGCGGATGGACGTTCGGTAGTAAGTTGCGCAGATGGCTCCGACGATGGTGACCCAGGCCAGGCCGAGACCGACCTTGGTGATGAACCACGTACTCAAACACGCGAAAGCGATGATACCGGCGTTGTGCCACCATTCTGTTTCTCACAGTCAGCCATCGTCGTTCGACACGGACACCACCACCGGGCTTTCGTTCGAAATTTAATCACCTCCGAAGAACTTGTCGTCCAGGTTGCTCTCGACCCAAGTCTGATGATCGGCGCCGTCGGGCAGTGTGTTGAGACCGAGCGCGTCGTTGAGACTGCCTATTCTGGGCTCCCATCCGGTCCGCTCCCACTCGCCGTCTCCAGCCTTGGGGTAACCGTTCACGTAGGGACTCTTTTCCTTTTCCGTCGCGCCGTTGGCAGCAGCGGCAGCACCGTTGGTAGCACCGTTGGTTCCGTTCTGAGCGGGCTTCTGAGCGGCGGGCATGGCCACGGTCGCACCAGAACCAGCACCGTCCTACCCATCACAAACACACACCGGTCAGCTCATCTCCCGATTCAAATCACGGTACCACAAGTGTCGAGAATCGGCGGCGGAGATATTATAAGAAAAAGGAGCTCACCAGATCTGAAACAATGGCCTCCTGCGGTGTGCTCGCCTTCACTGTAGCTTTAGCTTTCTCGAGATCCAATCCGGCCGGGATAGCCTATGGAGGGGGTAAATTAGCCTCAAGCTTCGGCACGCGTCACATCACCGTCACCCCACCCCCTCACTCTCCGCCGGAGCCGGCGATCGTATAGAGGGGGAGAACGAGGCGTCGGAGGAGCAGTAGGAAGAGAAAAGGGGAATGGCAACATACCCTCTTTGCCATAGCAGCCTTCTGTTCCGGAGTCGCATTCGCGGGGAATTCAAAGGCGGGCACTCCAGCATTGCGGGCATCCTTTGCCATGCGGTGCTCCTCCGCCTTTGCAGCCTGTCTGGTGTCCATGCTGTTGTGGCAGCAGGAAACCCTTCAGCGTCTCGAAAACGAAGGCGCTGGGAAAGGATATAGGGGGGTGATTGTCAAGAATTGGAAGTCGCGGGCGAGGTGGGTTGCAGCGAGTGTTGTGTTGGAGTTCAGAACGCGCGTCGGGAAAAGATGATTATGTAGTGATCTGCTCCCGCAACGTCACTTGGGCTTTCTTGCTTTCTTTTCTGGCTCGCTCGCTTCCGAGCTGACGTTGCCTGTCGGTGCTGGTAGTGGGGGGTTGGGGTGAGGTGGCTAACGAGGGTATTTCGGAGAAGAACGCGGTATGATTGGCGGTGAGAGCCTTCGAAAGGGGTAGGTGGTGAGCAAGCGGATGCGTGACGAGGCTACAGCAGAGGCAGGCAAGCGGACGACCACGAACAATGGAATTGGGATCGGGATCAATCGACTTGAATGGATGCTACTCTGTTTGGAGGGGAGTTGTGTGTGGGGGTGAGTGAGGGTGAAGAGGAGAGGAGAGGGAGGGAGAGAGGGAGAGAGGGAAAGCAAAGGATGGGTATGAGGGAAAGGACCCGTCCAGTTGGTTAACGTGATGCGGATGTGGATGTGGCCGTCTAGTTATCTCTGCTGGGTTTAGGGACTGGACTCTGGCTGGGCAGCAGGAAGTAGTTGGTCCTTTGTGACTTGCAAGCAAGCAGGGCGGAGGAGGTGTTCACAATCTCTCTGTCTCTTGGGGAGGGAGGGGGGTGTGTTCTGTGTTGTGTAGCCACTACCAGCGAGGACTTATTCAGAGCGACGCTATTCCTTGCTTGCCGCACCGCGCATCCTGCTCTCGCCCCCATGTCGCATCGCCGTAGACTCGATGGATACCTGATACCTCCTACTCTGCTCTGATCTGCTCTGTTCTGCGCTGCTCTACTCTACTTACCGCACCGTCTGGACTCTGGCACTAAATCCAACACAAACAAAAATAAAATAAAATAAAGTAGACTCGGCCACCACCACCGGTGCATCACCACCATGCACGGACGCCTCCACCAGCGGCCAGAGACGGAAAGAACAGATGGCTTCGTTAACCGCTGCTGCTGCTGCTGCTGCTGATGCTGCGAACGGCCAACTGCGCGCAAAACACGCGACGTCTCGATCCCTTCCTCATAGTCGTGTAGAGTCGTCGATAGATAGCACACATACCACACGCAGAAGGAGTGATACCAGATACCCACTTGCGGAGCAACAACATGCGCAGACACGGCCACCACACACACACTCAGACACGCACACCCGCTCACTCACACTCACAATATGTATCCTTGGCCGGCCACTCGCATCCATACATCTGCAGATTTTCACGGGCTTCCCCTCATTCCTATTCGATGCGTGTCATGTCGGGGACATCCTCTCTTCCATGGCCACATGTATGCAACGCGCTGCATCGTGTATATGTATGCAAACCGCCGGTCCATGCAACGGACGGATGGGTAGGATGTATCGACCTACTCGATTACAGTAGAGTAAGTGGATGCGTTGTTGATGGATGCTGATGATGATGAGGATCCCCACGAGCCCGCGGACATGTGTTGCGTCCCTATCTATCATATCTGTCTCGTACCTGCTGTCCCTCCCTCCATCGTCTCCCAGGTACAAACCTACCTAGCGAGTCATGTATCCGCTGTACCTGACTGCTGTCGGAGGAGCCATCTCTTTGTCGGCGTCGGAGGACGAATCGCTTTCGCCACCCACCGGCGGCCAATCAGTCTCTTCCATCTGTTATTGAACGGAACTCTCTCTTCTCTCTTTCTCTCTCCCTCTCTCTCGCTGTCTCCATTCTGCTCCCCCCAGCCAGACCCAACCCACCCGCTTGCGTCATTCAGCAAGGATCACACATCGCACATCACCCACACCTCCGTCTCTGTCTCTGTCGCTCTTTTTTTTTCTTTGCTTTCTTTGCTTTCTTTCCTTTCTTCTTTCCTTCCCTCCCTCGCTGGGGTGGAAGGGGGGGATCGGAAACGCGAATCACCCCCCAAACCCATCCCCTACCCTTGCGCCCGATCGTGGTGCTGGGAGCTGGGGGACCCTGCAAGATCCGCTGAATGAGGTTGCGCGACGGGGGGGAACGGCTAGCCGCTCCCAGCGCTAGCGCTGGCGCGACACGGCCACGACCCACGAGCACGACCACGAGCACGACCACGACCACGGCCACGGACAAGGACAAGGACACGGCCGCCACGGCCATGAACGATCTGGCCTGAAGGGGGGAAGGGGAGACGGACGGAGACGGGGATGGAGACGGACGGGGATGCTGTGTGTCGCGTGCATGGTGTATCCTACTAAAGTAGGGTAACTAGAGTGGCCGTCGGTCTCTCCTCCCCATCCCCTCGGGACTCCCGCTCCCGTCGCCTTGATCCCCCCATCCCTCAAGACTCCTGCTCCCCTCACGATATCGAGAAGTCGAGACATCCGTGGCGGTGTGGCAACAGCAACACAACCGCACAGCGTGCGCCCCCATCTCCAATCCAATCTCCAATCTTCAATCTCGCTAGCGAGGGAGCGAACGCGGCGCGCGCCCAGTTGCACGCATCGCACTAGAGTCGCTCTAGCCAGCTAACGCGGGCACCGCATGTCGCCACTGGTTGCGACAGAAACAGAAACATCTGGGAAAAAAAGGTAGATGCGGAAGAAAAAAAAGAAAGAAAAAACCAAAGGAAAAAGGTGGTAGATAGAGTAGGAGGCAACTCCGCGAAAGAAAGAGCGAGCGAGCATGTGCGTTCGATGGGGGATGGATGGATGGAGGATGGATGCGATGACGAGCGGTTGATGGTTGTGATGGGAAGTGGTGGGGCGATTGAGTGCTGTAAATGTCGGCGAAGCGAGGCGGGGTGCTGGGCGCGGAGGACATCCCGGGGGGAGTGAAGATTCGGAAGCCTGCTTGCTTGCATGCTTGCTTACTTACTTCCTCGCGCGCACGTGGGCGATCTTGATGGCGATTATTGTCGATTGATGGCGATTTTTAACGTTGATTGATGAGCCTGACCTGGGTATAGTCAAGAAATGAACCCGACGATGACGGTCGGGAATGAAGAGGTCTCGTTGATCTCCGAGTCTGTCTCCGGCGGGAGGGACGGGGAGGGTGAGACAGGGAGGGACGGCGCGGGGGCTGTGTGGCGAGGCGAGGCGAGGGGATGTTCGAGTGCCGGGCCGTGAGTCTCCGCTTGCTAAGGAGACGGAACGGTGCGACTCCATGAGCTTATGAGTCTGTGCATCGAGCCCCCATTGACTGGTGAATGGAGGCTGGAGACTGCAGTAACCAAGTAACAAAGCAACTGCCCTTCCAAATCACTACCTCCGAGTTTGAATAGCACTCTCAGTCTCACATGTTCCAAGTTCCACGGTCCACCACCCCCGAGGCTCGATTCCGTTGAGCCTCTCGGTCTCCTCCCATTTCGGACTCCGGAGGAGTCTCATCTGTAAGCATGTACCTAATGTATGTACGATTCCAAGATTCTCCCAATCGATTTGCAATTCTTCAGCTTGCATGTAGACTCTCATACAATGATGGTAAACGCTACATCATCGTGCATGCATGCATAAAATCCGCACCCTCCAATCGCCGGGGATCGCTCGAAGTGAGGTGAGTGAGTGAGTACAAACAAGGCGGAAGCCCCCACCTTAGATATCTGGGCACATCCTGTAAGTGCAATTGTAACTGCAATCGTCCAGCTATGAGGTATGTAGAGTAAACCGTGACTTTTCTGCAGATCACCACAGCCGCGACAATTTCATGTTCAAAGACGGTGGATTTGTAATCTATCGCTTTCGTGCAATAGCAACCCAGTGGGAGTTCCGTCGCTGATACATTTTCCCCTTCTTCCCTCCATTGCTGTTGGTTTTGGCGGTGGTGGTGGTGCAGGTAGAACTCTACTCTAGTGCAGGGTGCTTGCGAGCCGAAATAGGCGGAGCCACAGCAGCCAGCAGCAGCAGCCACGACCACCTGGCACGTTTCACACCTCTACCCCCCCCCCCCCACTCCACCTTACCTCACCCGACTTCAACGCTCGCCATCGACAACTACCTCCACCACCACCTCCTCCACCTCCACCTCCACCTCCACCACCCCGCACTCGAAATTCCCACGATGGACGTGATTCGCGACGCGATCAATAATGTCTCCCTCTACGAAGTCAAGGCTGCCGTACGGAAGGCGCAGAATGGTGGGTCCACCCCTCGCTCATCCCCCTCCCTTGCTCCCTCGCACGCGAAAACGAGAGATGTCTCGCGCAATGAGAGATGGCTAATGTGAACAGTTGTGATGAACTACACCGAAATGGAGGCGAAGGTATGTCTTCGCGATGCGGGTGGGGAAGGGTGCTGGTGCTGATGCACATTCCAGGTCCGGGAAGCGACAAATAATGAGCCCTGGGGAGCTTCGTCCACACTCATGAACGAGATTGCGAGTGGAACGTATAATTAGTGAGTTCGCATCGATGCTTGGGGGAGTGGAGTAGGGGGGCAGTGAAGGGGGCATTGTGCTCACGGATCGATCGATAGCCAATTGCTCAACGAGATTATGCCAATGATTTACAAACGGTTCACTGAGAAGTCGGCCGAGGAGTGGAGGCAGATCTACAAGGTTGGTCTCGCTCGTGGTGGCAGGCAGGCAGGACCGTGCGGATTTAGGTGGAGCTGACAGTGCGCAACAAACAGGCTCTGCAACTCCTCGAATTCCTGATCAAGAACGGCGCCGAGCAGGTTATCGACGATGCGCGCTCGCACCTGTCGACCATCAAGATGCTGCGCCAATTCTACTTCATCGATCAGGCCGGCAAGGACCAGGGCGTCAACGTCCGCAACCGCGCGAAGGAGCTCGCGGACCTACTCTCGGACGTCGACAAGATCCGCGCTGAACGGAAGAAGGCGAGGCAGACAAAAAGCAAGTACATCGGCGTCGAGGGCGGAGGTGCTGGAGGTTTCAGCACGAACATGGGTGGCATGAGCAGCAATCGCAACAGCGGCAGCAGGTTCGGCGGGTTCGGCAGCGAGTCGGCGGACTTTGGCGGGTACAATGGCGGCGGGGGTGTCTACGGTGATGGCGGTGGGTTCAGCGGAAGGGCGACGGGTGGGTTCCAGGATGAGGGGGGGTCCACCTCGAGGTCGGATTCGAGGGGCGCGCAGAAGTTTGATGAGTACGACGAGTACGACGATGGAGGCACTACTTCCTCGCGCCGCGCCGCGCCACCACCACCACCGAGACGGCAAGAAGCGGCCGCCGTGAAGCCATCTCCCCCACCACCAAAGAAGAAGCAGCCCGCTCCCGAGGTCGATCTTCTCGGAAGTGACGATGCTTTCGCGCCTGCTCCTTCGGGTCGAGTGGCGGCGGCACCACCATTGCAAGCCGCTACCTCTTCCGCCGCAGCAGACTTTGACGACTTTGACGACTTCCAGTCCGCAGCGCCCCCGAAAACCCAGTCGATGCCAGCAATTCCGTCGATGCCCTCGTTCTCCACACCGATGCCACCTCCCCTGACATCATCCGCCTCGAGCCTCAGCATCGTCCATCCGAAGCCGGTATCCAGCAACGACCGCTCTGACATGAGAACCCTGACCGGCTTCACCTCGCCGCCAATATCCACGACGCCCTCAGCCTTTGGCACCCCCGCCATCACGCCCTCCACCACGGGGAGCGGCATAGGCAACATGGGGATGGTGGGCGGCATGACGGCGATGAAGCCCTCCAACACCGGCTTCCAACCCGCAGCGCCGAACTACTTCACCTCGGTCCCAGTCGCGGCCAACACCCCCGGCTCCCCTCTCTCCCCCAGCACTACGACACAGCCAAAGAAGGCCTCTGGCGACGCTTTCGGAAGCATCTGGAACCAGGCCAGCGTGGGCATCAAGAAGTCGGCCACCCCAACCGCAAAGACGCCAAGTCTCCAGACTATGGCCAAGGAGAAGGCCACCGCAGGCATCTGGGGAACCGGACCTGCGGCGGGATCCACGGCCGCTGGCAATAAACCTCCAGCGAATAGTGGCGGGAATGGACTCGAGGATCTGTTGGGTTAGGGGGCCGGGGCCTGCAGGACGTGAAAATGGGGAGTGTTTCGTTCGTTCCTTCGAGGTGGCGGCGGCGGCGGCATACGCAATGGTAGTAGTGGCACTGGACTTGGTTTTCACTTGCGATATTTTGCGGGTTCATTCGTTTATTTTCTTGTAGCTCTTTTGCGAGGGGGAGGGGGAGGGGGTAGGGGGGAGTGGTTGTGGTTGTGGTTGTGGGTCTTGAAATGCAGCGCAGTACTGGTTGTACAGATTGTAGTTGATGTTTCGGGACAACATGATTGCAGCGGGTTTTATCGATGGATCTATGATAGACGGACCTGAGACTGATTTGATTTGCGAGGACTGGGTGGTGAGATTCCGCGGCTAGGCCATCCGGAAGGCGAGATGCGCACGTGATGGTGATGGTGATGGCGATGATGGTATAGGAGGGAAGTCGCGACGGATTACTGTCACTATCACTCGCGAGTCGTTGTGGAACTCAACTCGGATGGTTGCGAACGATTCTCCTCTTCGAGCAAGTCACAACACACTACCAAGTACTTACCTGTTAACCCCACCGATTGCTATATATCTTTCTTTCAGCACTCCGCTATTCCGCCAGGTCAGCTGCGGTCAGCTGCGTGTACTGTATTCTATTGACAGCGTGAATCGCGCCGGGCTTCAGCCTTGAGCTGGCTCTAGCCCGGAATTCAAACCTTCTGAGCTGAGCCGAGGAAAAACCGATCCGAGTGATATTGTGTGCATTAGTTTGTTCGAAGATGCCTAGAACGACGAGTGCTAGCTTGTGCAGCCTCGCAGCCCCGAAGCCACGCAACTACGCGGGAGTTTCCGTCATGTGGGATTGCGGGTGGTTGTAAACTGGTGGGGTCAAAGCTTTGAAGGGTGTAGGGCGTAGGCAGGAGGTGAGGCTGGGGAGCTCGATCCGGATATGACCATTGACAGCTGAGCTCGATGCGGTAGGTATGTCAACAAAAAGCTACAACTCCTTGCAAGTTGCGCGCTGTATTTTACAATACAAACGTGGGGATGAAGATTGCTGGCTTAATATCCATACAGTACTGGATTCACCTAGGAATTGCCCTCTCGCTGCTGTGGAGCAGTAGATTACCAGCTCCGCTAAGAATTATCCTCCCGCTGGCATGGGGATACTCCCCTCGCTGCTGTGGAGCAGTACTATGTAGTCCTGTCTAAGATTCGCCCTGTCGCTAACGTGGATATAGTACTGGAGTTGACTGTTGCCGGGGCAGTTATATAGCCACAGCGCAGGCGGCTAAAGCTGCGTTGTCGCTGGCGTTGTGATGGAAGTAGATAGACAGAATGCCAGATAGCAGTTCAATGCGAGACACACAGGATCACTGCATACAAGCCAGCCCCGTAGTGGTCTACAAATCAATACACATCCTCAATACCACTAGTATAGTCACATAAAATACCGAAATTGATCTAATGTTCATATCCACTGATTGCGCATAACTAGCAGGTAATATTGGCTTTCGACGAGTAGAAAATTCCATCTGGTTGCCATATCGATCTAGGTAGTAAGGTTATGAGAGCTGTGCGAAAACGCATACGTTTGAACGCCAATATCTTGCCATACGGCGATCAATATCAAATAACGGGGTGAATGTCATTTTTAGGTACCGACGTGGCAGAGTCATGGGCATTACTTTTCACATGATACTCCTTTGCTCCCTGTATGTAAGAACTTCGCCGATGTTGGATTACCTGTATTTGACCTAATGGCGCCTGGCTTTGGTAGGTACTGCCTCCATACCAATAAACCCCCAATTTTTACTATTGTAGCCTGTAGGTAGTAACTATGCTCACAGCAGAACCCACACCCACACCCGCGCCCATCAAAATCTTGCCACCTGGGGGTTGTGGGTTGTGGGTTGAGGGATGGAAGGATGGAAGGACGGAAGGCTACGCGAACTATCCACACATGCTCCGTCCCCAGCCTCGCCGCATCCGTTGTGTACCTACCACGTATCTCTGGCTCCGCCGTCGCCGGCGCGCCGCCGCCGGTTCTATCCACCGTCCACGCACGCGCGGAAGCACGACACCACCTGTAAGTAAATTCACACGCAAGATTGCGGTAGTCGCGTGGTTAGTATGTATGTAGAGCTTGTCTGCCAGGGCCCAGGAGGAGGAATGGCTGGTGGGTTGGTTGGTTGGTTAGAGGAAGAGGATAGGATGGGCTGGAGACGTGAGCAGAGGAAGGTGGGGAGGCACGGCGAGGAGGCAGTCTGTGACTCTGTGACGCTGTGCGTACGGGCGACGAGGGGATGAGGATGTAGAGTTACTTTTTCGTTCTCGTTGTCACTGAGATAGCGGATAGTCTAAACTTCCTTCATGCTGTTCCGGACGAGTGATACCCCCTGTGGTCACGCCAACTATCGCGAAAAGCGTTCGGCAGACACATGATATCTCACTCGCACGCGGGAATTGGGAGTGTGATTTGCGGACCTCGTTCTTGTTTTTCATCCGAACAATGCATTCGGTCTTGCCATCATCTATCGTCTATAGTCTAGCCAGGTCGCATGCGGTCGATTATGAAACAAAAAAGAGATTTCCCCAGGATTCCAACGGTATAATGGTAGCCGCTCTCGAAGATAGCTACTGCTGGCTCCTTGCTGAGAATCGTGAACAGGATAAAATATTATGGAAGGCATGCTTACAACTTAGAAGAGATGACAGAAGAGGATAATGAGCAGCATGAGTTCGGCGGAGATAATATAGAAGGTTATCTACGCCTTCCCCACATCGTCGAACTGCCCTCTGCCCTCTCCCCCATCCGCCCTCCCGCTAACACGCATGCCTATCATCCCTACACACCCAATCGTTACAGCTCCCATCCTCGCATAGAATCGGGATCTCGTACTCCTTCACATACTCCGGTAACTTGCTTCCACACTTCTCCTCGGCCTCCTCTTGCTTCTTTCTCGCGATCTTATACTTCATCTCAGCCTCATCAAGATCCCGATCCGCGCGTGTATGCTCCGCTTCCGCAGGCGCTCCCACTCTTCTAGCGCGCCCCGCATCGCGAGCATGGTGTATCGCGTGGCGATGTAGCGGCGCTTGGTGCATGTCAGGTGCACGTTTGCCTGCCGGGTGGCGTAGCGAGCGCGCACGACGGTGAGGGCTAAGTCTGTGGCTTCGTCGTCGCCAGATACCGAGGAGGAGGCGTAGCGCGTGTGCTCAGCTGTGAGGGCGGGGTCTGTGACTTCTTCTTCTTCGGAAGAGGAGGAGGCGGATGTCTCCTCACCCTCCTCGTCGTCAGAGGCGGAAGCGGAAGCGGGGCCATCGTCGACGAACGCCCAGTCCACCCACGCTTTGGTACGCTGCTGCTTCTTTCTCCGCTGGATATCTACCCCACACCATACCACTCAGCACCCCCTCCTGTCTATCAGCAGGATGGAATAGCTACGTACCCTCGCATCCACACCCGAAATCCGACTCGTGCGAGTGCATGATGGGGTCCAGCGGCTGCTTGCACGCAGCGCAGCGGAACTCATCATCTAGGTCGATTTCAGAGTGGTCTTTATGCGACGGATAGTGCTGGTGGGCTTGGGGTTTTCTTGGGCTTTGGGAGGTACTGATGATGCTTGCTGGGATTGGCGGGATCGGCGGGAGGGTCAGGAGTTCCGGGGGTGTCAGTATGGGTGGTATGGGCGCATCACGCGGTGGGGAGGGTCTGGATTGAGCGCCAGCATTGCGGAGTCGATTTTCATGGTGTCTGGGGGGTTCTGTGGTTTTGTGGAAAATAGTAAATAGAGGTGCTGTGGAGTGGTAGGAGAGATCAATGCCTACCAAAAAATAACATAGGAAATCGCACAAAGAACATACTACATATCCTCGTTTCTTACTTCCTCGCACCGGGAACGGACATAGTAACCTGCTCCTGCTCCTTCTCCTCCTCCTCCTTCTCTTCGGACTACTCCTCCTCCTCATTCTCCTCCTGCTTCTCCTCCTCCTCCTCATTCTCCTCCTGCCTCTCTTTGGACTCCTTCTCTTCCTCCTCCAAGTCTGGCGGAGCTTTCCTTCCACGTCTGACGTTCCTGGGAACTCTAGGATCGGCCCGTCCGTCCCGTTTTTGCTTGCTCCCGCCTTATCCTATTCCACCCGAGTGAATTTGAATGCCACCGGGTACCCGGGCCTGTGTAAGGGCGAGGGTTAGGATCGCCCGGCACATGAACTTCGCCCCGAAGCGTACAGTCAAATCAAGCATAAAAAGTGCAAAGAAAGGTGACTAAAGCGTCAATGCAGAGTAAGGCGATAAAGAGGCAAATAAATAACTGGAAAAAAGATATTTCACTGAGAATGACGTGGCCGGACGGGCGGCTCTCGTAGTCGCTTACCAGCTCTTGCGAGTTGGCTGGGTTGGAAAGGGAAGCCCAGGATTCCCACCTGGGGAGTTTCTTTTGTTGTTGTTCGATGGCTAAGCATCGACCGTCCGGGTTCTGGACCAAGGTGGTGATAGATTCAGTGCGCGCCGCCTGTGCGGTGATGAATGTAACGAGTCTAGATCGATATCCATCGGGATGTCCTATGCTCTAAATCAGCAAAATCCCGAGTGAGAGGTGACGCTGAGAAAATGTGGCCACTTACGATAGGGATGAAGAGAAAAAGGACTCAGCTATGTTGAACCTCGTAGATACTACCACCGCAACTAACATATTTGTTGGAAGAAGAAGAGGTATCGAGGAGAATATATTGGTGGTGAGAAGTACGGGAGGGAAAGATTGGCAGGATGGAGTTGCTTACAGATGAGGTTGTCGATATGAGTGTGAAGACTGAAGATGGTGTTGTTAGGAAGCCAGGAGGGAGTCGGTTCCTCTTAGATGGGGTATTTTCAAGGGCTCTTTTCTAATGCCTATCTAGGCCGGAAAGCGACGGGTCGAGAGGAGAGCACACAGAGAAGAAGAGGAGATATAGAGGTTTATGATCTTTTCGGTAGACGACGGGAAAGGGTGAAGAAGAGATAAAAGATATGGGGGTTAATTTTCGATTTGGTAGATGTTGAAGAGAGATGAACGAGAGGAGATATGGATAGTGACAGTCGATTCGGTGGATGATAAAAGAGAGAAGTGAATGAGAGATGACAAGAGAGAGGACTCTCTGGACCCCCGCCATCGTGGCTACAAACCACATCCGTTTTCTGCCGCCCACAGCTCATCTATCGCTCCGCTACGGCGTTATGAAGGAAGGAAGGATGGAGTCGGTGAAGTTGGCTTCGCTGTTGAAGTTTCCCGCTGAGCTTGAGTGGTGTGCTTCCTTAAGGATGCAGTTGTCGGTATGATTGTGAAGAGTGAAGGAAGTGTTATTAGGAAGGAACAGAGGAGGGATGAAGGGAAGAGTGAAGGAGGAATGAAAGAGGAAGGAAGGACTGACGGGGAGCGATAAAGTTGACCTCTGTGGTATTCAGGAAATTTTAGAAGCTCGGGGGTCGAGGTTAAGACAAACAATGAAAAATCACATTGAACGAGAAAGATAACCGCGACGAACAAGAACAAATCAGATGATAAGACCAACAGACAGGCAGACGACCCTACTATATATACCTGAGTTCGGCGAAATTTGGCCGACCGAGTTATACCAGATTCGGTGGGGCTAACTTTCATCGCTCGTACGTCGACTGTTCCCGCTCACAAACGAAATCAAAACAAACCACTTCGCACATGGTAAAACTGGTCATCGCAGCTGGTCCCACCCGGGTCCCCGACATCTTGACAGTAGGTCCCTCTCAGGTCCGTCAGTGCAGGGATAGAAACCGTCGGCCAAGACGTAGGTTTCAGCTGGGTCCCACAGCGGAAGGCTTCACTGGTTTACCCTCCCCCCACTGCACACTCCATCAGTGGGCAGCATTTTCGATGTGGCATGAGCAAGACCTGCCCCCTCCTCCTCTGTATGCCAATTCTTCCAATCCACACCTCGGTACCTACACTCTATCCATCTCGGACTCTACACCCTCGGAAGCCATGGGTACTTAGCTGTCGTCTGCCACCACCGGGAGAGGAGCATGTATAGGATAGATGTAGGATCTGATAACATAGGAGGATGAGAGGCTAGTCGGATCGAGTGACACCGAACGTTGTAGGCAGCGGAGGAGAGCCATATTATGTAGATGGCTCTTCGAAGATACAACCTTCCGGGGTTACGTCAGTAGTACCCGCTGGTTGGTATTTCTGCAGCCATTGCCATAGGTCTAGGTGCATACGTTGCTCTGGGCCGCTGGGCAGCTCGAAGCCTCACCAGCCGCTCCTCAAAGCGTCCACCGTCGACCACCGATTTCGAGCACAAAGCGCCAGCAGCAGCGCCACCTCCACCTCCAGCTCCAGCTCCACCGCCACCACCCACGCCGCCACCGTAAAACTCTAACAACCGCAGCGGTGTGCTCCATCCACTACTGTAAGTTGGGTTGGATGGTGTGGGACACAGCGGGACTGACGAGCATGGCAGATGCACGACCGGTGATATTTCGCCGACCTTTCTAGACCAGATTCGGTGGGTTTAAACGTTCCGAGTGCTCTTGTTTATTTTGCCGGCGGGTCAGTCTGTCTCTCTCATCGTCCATCAATATTATTTTCATCATTGCTTTCATGGCCTGTTTGCTTTGCCGGTGACTTGATTTGTCCTGTGACTTGTGCTCGACTTTCTTCATCCCCGTAGGCTGTCATAACCTATCTCTACCAATGTCGGCTGAGGGCCCCTCCGGATCTCGGTTCTTCAATGGACGGTCTCGCTCCGAAGCACCACCCGCCCACTACTCTGGTTCTGCACATGCCATCTGCAATCTGCCATCTGCGTAACGATTGGAATTACTGCTGTGATGCATCACTGATGCCACGGAATGTTTGCTCAACTGTTCCTTGAATACCGGTACATACCACGTACCGAAATACCATAACGAAACCCCAAATCAAGAAATCACAGTCCTCCTGCCCCCAATCCACCCCAAGTCAAGCATGTCGAGCGAGTCGAAGACTCGAAGGAGATTTAATTTCCCTACGGGGGCCAGACGTCAGCAACGACTGCTCCGCATCCGAAGAAAGGAAGGAGCGGGCACGGTGGAGGGGGCGGAGGAGGCGGAGGCGGCGGACATACATGCGAATGGCCGCACGACTGACAGGGATCTCCGGTTTGGTCGGAACAACCGCAAACCATGCATTGGCCCATTGTTTTTGGTTTTGTGTTGGTTGGTTGGTTGGTTGGTTCTTTCGGCGTGTTGTTGGATGAATGTACCAGGATGTCTGTGAGCTTGATGATCGGAGAGGGGGAGAGGGATCTTTATATCGCAATCTGGCCACGATTTGAGGCGGAGGCTGTGATGGGAGATCCCCGCGAGTGTCGAGTGGGACCGATAGATGAGGCGGACTACCGAGCAGGTGGATGTTGTCTTACTACAGAGCTGTCCTCCTTTCGTCTCGAAAGATTGGCAGATGTGCAGATGTGCAGATGATCGCAGGACGCATACGAGCTCCCTGCTGCAAACGAAACCGGGAAGAAATAGATGGACTCTCAGGGCTTGTTCGGGAACTGGGACTTCGTCTCCGGTGAGAGGCACAGGTCTAGATGCATGGCGATGCAGCATAGCTATGGAATTGATGTCTCGCGCCGCCTGGACATTGTGGGACATAGCGGAAACGGCGGGCATGGCAGATGCACGAGCGGCGAAATTTCGCCGGCCTGGCTAGACCAGATTCGGTGGGTTTAAACGTCCAGAGTGCTCTTGTTTATTTTGCCGGCGGGTCTTTCAGTCTGTTTCATCGTCCATCGTCATGGGATCGCTTTCTTCCGTGTGTGGGACTTCCTGAATTATCGGTGGTCCATTTCTAGTCTCGTCCTCTTTTCTCTCTTGTGACTCGTAGGTACTCGGCCTCTTTCACCCTTTGCATTCCCAACGTTGACTATAAGGGCCCCTCCGGTCTTTAGCTCTTCAATATCCATTCTGCGCCCGACCACTCGAGAGTCCTTCCGACCTTTGTCCTTCGGTTCTCACCGCCGATAGCGAGCCGAAATCTTACAGTCCACAGAGCCATTCAGCATGCCTGTTTACATGTCTCCGGTGCACACCCACCAAGTTCAGTGTGCGCATCGCTAAAGCGACCAATCCGGCATGCAGATCGCAGCGCAGACTGCAGTGCACCTCCGCACTCATGGAGATTTCCAATCACACACCGTACCGTACACACCTAGTGAGAACGACGAGAACGACCAACCATCAAGATCATGGCGAATCGACTCTACTCTACTTTGTAGTATGCGCGCGTCGCTGCATCAGGAGTGCGGCTGGCGATTGTTGCGTCATCGTCTCGTCACCTCAGTGCGTCTCACCTAGATGCGGTAGCTACCTCTTGGCGGACTCGACCCAGCTTCGCGGGGACGGCGATCGCTGCAGGATTCCGGGCATGGCGGGGAATTGCACGTGTCTACCGGGCGCAAACATGGCAAACGTCACTTCTTGTTCGACCGTCGGCGTACACAGTGTGTCGGGCACTGAGTACTGATGCTGCCCGCCCCCAGGCTGCCATTTCGTACGTAAGAAATCAACGACGATCGAGGGGAGAAGTGATCCCGGCCTCTGCGACTGCAACCCGCTTTGTAGACACGTTAAATCAAGACTTTCCCCGGGGTACTTTAGCGTGACTATGTAGCACCCTTGGCCACTCTAGAGGATTGCGGGGGAATACCCAGCAACCAGGTCCGTGTATCAAATCAAGACCAACATCACCAGCAAGCTTTGGAAACATCTTTCCGCCGACGCAGTCCACGAGAATCCGCTGTGTACTCGCAGACTGCCGTTTAACTTTCGGGCACGAGTGAGAAGTATGTACTGTACATACAAAAAGCTACGCCGTCGTGATCTACTACTGGTATACAGCCAGGCCACGCTTTCTGCGGCTGTCGAGCTTGTCGAGCTTGTCGATCCCGTCTTTTCGTCCTTGACGAGCAGATCTGACCATTGACCGCAGACCAAAGACCACGAGACGGCAGCCGACAATCGGCAGGCGAAAGTCGTCGTTCACTACGTACGGTATCGGGTCGAACAGCCCGGGAGGATGTTGCGTATGAGGTAGGTAGTCGGGTAGGATGACGGGCGGGTGATACTATGTGTTCAAACTGGCGGGAGGGGAGGCCAGGTAAGTGGACCGTCCATTGCACCAGACAGCCAGTTACTGCTTGTGACTGCCGATGGGAATGCAGTTCTTACTTATTGTCGTTGAGTTGACTACATACGGGGCGGTGCAGCTAGTTTTAGGTTTCCTCGGATGCGCATTGGCGAGCAGACGCGAGGCAGACAGCTTGCGAGTTGCCACGTCGAGTTGAAGGAAACATGTGGTAGCACGGGCCTGGCGGTTGCGGGGAAGAACATCGCGACATTCATCTAGTGCGGGGAGTCGTCGGCTCCGCTAACGTCATCCACAACGTCTTTTCCCCAAACCATCTCTTCCGAAAATGGAGTCTCTCACGATCACCGCCGCGGTTGTGGGCTTACTGCGAGTCGCGCCGGTAATAATCCGGCTGCTTTCCGGGGTCACTGACGCTCCAAGCACCGTTCGCAACGTGCTCATCGAGGTCAGCGCACTGCACGCCATCTTCCTCCAGCTCGAGAACTTCGTCGTCACGTTTGCCGAGCAGAACACAGACCGCAAGTCGAGGATCTATGTTGAGGACCTAATGGTTACCCTGACAGGCTACGTGTGCGCCTTCTCCGAGCTGGACATGGAACTTGGAGGGCTTGGGACTGCCGGCGATGGCGATGGAAATGGCGACGGGGCCGGCTAGGCGCTTGGGATAGGGTCAAGTGGGCGGCAAAGGATCTGAATATCATAAGGATACTGCAGAACTTTCAGATGCACAAGGCTTCGCTGAATCTGTTCCTGTCTGTGTACACAAGGTAGGTCTCTGTTGTCATTCCGCCTTGGCCACGACATGTCTAGGTGTGGGAATTTGTTGATGGTAGCTTTCAGCGGCTCGGCACAGGAGATGTAGCAAGACATGGCCGAATTGAAGCAGCTTTTAGCAACGGTATTACAATCGATCCCGGGCCTCGCGAAGCGCATGGAAACAGCCACAGTACCTACAGACAACGCCGACGCTAACACGATCCGTTCCGGGGCTGCTTCATTCCTTACCACGGCAACCAAGAAGTATTTTCGCAGATTCATGTTCGAGCGGAGTCTTAGCGAGACCCGCGTGTACAGGAGGGCGTTCAGGAACTATTCGACTGCCTCAGTCAGAACCGTCGACACGGCGGGATCGAGGTTTTCGCAGCTCACGGGACTGAGCTTAGCGCAGATCTCGAAAATTTCGGTTATCAGACTTCCCGTGTATTCTGTGGAGCTGAATAACGGTGACGTATACGATGAAGTACAGGGGAGCAGCGGTGACGGAGCGACGGCGCGTCGAAACTTCGACACGGCCGCGAAAAACTCTACGAAGCCACTTCAACGGCTGCGGAACAGTGGCACAGATTTCGCCACCAGGATCCGGCATGCGTCAACACCCAAGCGTCAGCTGGTTTCTCTGCTGCACGCCGCAGCTTCCGACGGAGACACCGCTGCCGTCGAAATGCACATAGCGACCCTGGGTGTCGATGTGGACTCACGGAACAAGGATTCGGATACGGCATTGCACGCTGCAGCTGAGCACGGTCACAGCGAGTTAGTGCAGCTACTATTCGGGCACGGCGCCACGATAGAAGCAAAAAAACATTAACGGCTTGACGGCACTGTACTTGGCGGCCGAGTACGGCCGCGTTGAGGTATTGCAACTGCTGCTGGAGCACGGCGCAAAGATTGCATCCCTGGGTGGTGCGGGGTGGACAGCGCTACACTGTGCAGCCGAGCGCGGCCACGGCGATGTCGTGCAGTTACTGCTCGATCACGGCGCCATCATCGAGGCGTTGGATGGAGTCGGCTGGACGGCGCTGCACTGTTTGGCGCGATACGATCACGGGGATGTTGTGCGGCTGCTGCTCGACCACAGCGCCGCCATCAGGGTAATGACGAGCTCCGCTCTGACGGCGCTGCACTGGGCTGCCTCGCACGGTCACCGCGACGTGGTGCAGTTGCTGCTCGACCATGGCGCCAGTATCAAAGCGAGGGACTATGTCGGTTGGACGGCGCTGCACTTTGCGGCCCGGTATGGGCACGGAGATGTAGTGCAGCTACTGCTCGATCGCCATGCCTCCATCAAGGCAACAACGGATTCAGGGTCGACGGTGCTGTACTGGGCAGCCAAGAATGGCCACGATGATGTGGTGCGGTTACTGCTCGAAAACGATGCTGGTGACTAGGAGCCGGAGAGCGAGTGGTTCACCGCGGACTGGGGATGGATAGGACTGCATTCTTACATGTATCATCAGAGTGACTGGGAAGCCGGTTTCGGATCGCGATTGGCGAGCCATGGATGTGCGTAGTACTACCGCAGGCGGCGGAGCCGTTGAAGGTGCAGACGCAAGCGCGAACGCCCTCCAGAGCTAGGCTAGGGGCCGCTTCCGAAGGGTCGGTGGCGGCGATGGGGGAGATATAAGACCTACACATTGCAGCGGGTGGGCTGGATGTGGGGCGGTGTGTCTTAATAGTCGGGAGCGCCCGCTGAAGGCGTTCAGTATCATACCTAGAGTAGTAACGAGACAGAGCAGTAGTTTCCTTGCTCAAAAGCAGCCTCTCTTTTACTCGTCTTTCTCATTCGACTCGTCAATCATGTCAAGTTCTTCTCTCAATTACAACATTGTGTGTTGTTTTTCACGCGTTGGTTGTTTGCTGATTGATCACGTGCTTGTTTGTCAAATTTTTAAGATTGGCCTGGGGCTGGGCGTTATGTGGCTAGCAGTCCAGATTCCACACCAGAAGCTCTAGCTTTTACTGTCTATATAGAGCACCCCCTTCTTTCGATTATATACCGTATCTTCATCGTTCTCCATTCACTGCACTCTATATCCCACCTCCATCTCCATTCGGAAACCCTGTCATCGCTTGTCATGAACCTGTATCTGCAGCGTTTCCCCCAGTCGTTGATCCCATCCGCCCCACTACCCCCCGCACTCATAATGAGTCCCAACGAAGTGTTTGCAACCGATGCTTGATAACTCGCGAGGAGGACCTCCTGGTGACCAAACAAGATAGACAGAAGGACTCAAGTCTGAATGAGAGGGAACGAGGGCTTGCCATCTACGGAGATAGACAGATGGACGTATCGTCAGATCGGACAGCATCTCTATATACATGCTCCACCGAATAATCGATCCGGTCCTCCTACGTGAGAGCTCCTTCCATCGGCCTATTCGGACGCAGGTTCGCGGTGAAAGGTCTGATACCGCAAGTTCCACCGGAGCCGCCGGTGGGTCGAGAGCATTTCGTAAACCTAGGCCTCGAACCTGCCGGACGTCTATCCCCCATTCTCTCGCCTTCTCGGCTGCGCATGTACACTCACTCGCCCGAACATTTCGCTCGGTTTTGGTTGTTTAATCATCACTGCATTCGAACTTAGTACTCAGATCATGGCAGACATATACTATCCGTTTCCACCTCGCTGTCACCGACCGCTGGCTGCGAGGGTTCCCACACTTCGGTCGTTCGGTCAGCCGTTGGTTAAACCACTCCCGCGGGACACCCGAGATGTGATTTCTCACTTGTTCTCGTTTTTTCACGCAGCGCATACCCACAAGTTCGACGCTGTTGCCAGCTACGTTGAGTTCAACACCACGATCCAGTGATAAAGTGTCTGCGCATGCGGATCAGTGAGTCGGCGGGGCGGGAATTGCGGAGGAATGGCGGTAACCGGTTCTCGATGCTATCTTGCTAAGATTTTCGAAGTTTACTATTTACTACGGAGCTATATAGGGTCTGATGGCAACAAGGAGTCGGAAATACTAGTTCTGCGTGTTGTATTCGTGGGATGGGCGCAGCATAGCTGACAGTAGATATGGCTGGACGAACAAAGCTGCTCTACATGCCCTGCCAGCCCGGCAGCAGTAGGCGCCGAGAGGAGAGCTTGCCTTGAGCACTCTTCCGTAGCCTCTACGGAGGCAGGAACATGACGGAAGAGTCTTGCCATGCTAGCTAGGTAGCACCCTCCAATGTGAATGACACAACTGATAACGATCACGTACATTCTATGATCACTCCTGGATAACTCCTTTGAATGCATTCAAGTGCCTATCGGCGGTTTTGCCTGCTCCCCTTATAAAAGCTCCCATCCCCAACCAATCCATATTCGACAATCCAATCCTTCCCTCCTTCCGAAGATATCGCTAAAGACCCTCCTTCTCGAAGCATCACCAAAGACAACATTTACAGACTACAACAATCAATATGCAGATCAACTTGTGTATCCTCCCGATCCTCTCCACCATCGCCGCGGTAGTTTCGGCTGCTCCTTCCGGCATTCTTCCACGCTCCGGCAGCGTCTCGGCCACGTCCATCAACACGGTCAACGAGCCCGCCGACAAATACCACATGATCGAGTTCCCGCACTTCGAGATCCCGGGCATCGACGACGCTATTACAAACCCGGAGCACAAACACGATCCTGCGCCGGTCATCTACCCAGACCCATCCTGCAACAGCACCTTCAACTACTACACCTCGGCAGGTGAGATCGGCAAGCTGGTCTGCGAGACCTCCTGGGCGTCTCCAACCTACGACGAGATTGACTACGTCGTCTGGAAGGTCTCCAAGCAGAAGAAGAATACCTGTGGCCAGGAAAATCATACGGGAAGCAAGTGCACGCGCTTGCAACGGTACAAGGGCGGCGAGCTCTCGCTGTGTGGCAGGGGGGGTTGGGCAATCCCTTGCCCCGCGGTTGCGTGGGCCGGCAAGGAGATTAGGAATAGGTGCGGAAATCAGTTCATGCATAGGGCTGGTGGCTACCTGGCCTTTGCGGATTCTAATTACCTGAGGACTGTGATTCATTAGATTTACTCTGAACGCTGAGGGTGAGGGGTTGGTGGAGTGAGATTCGGAGGCAAACTGATTCTTCCGCTACCTTCCTACCTTTCTATCTCGATGTGATCTGGTGCATGGTGAATGCTGTCTGACTGTAGTTTTTCTCCCACCGTGCGTTTGCGAAAGGTGATTTTATGCCTCCTCGCTCGGATAGTTCTCGTACCTGAAGTGAATCCAGAGAATATTGTTAGCCGTGAAGAAGCATAGGGAACGATGAACTCAGCTGGATTATTCCACCCTGACCTCGAAGTATGTATATTCGGTAGACGGAAGCGCTCTGTACTACGCGACCTTGAATTGGGTGTTATCGTGGTGATTTCCGATATGTGCTGCGAGAACCTTGTGGAGGGTGTGAACATGAGCACGCCGCGACTAGGTACGTAATGTATAATTTGTCTCAAGGATGCAAGCCCTCGGCGCTGTGGTTCAACAGGCCTCTAGAGTGGATTACTGGCGGCTTCTTACGAAAGGGAGATTATCACGTGGATTGATTCGTGTGTGGCTCTTTTGAGACGGTGAAAGTCACGTGGGTTAACTTGTTTCAGGTTTGTGCGTGTTTTGCGTTAAATTGTGCGTGCACGGTCTTTTGAGGCGGGAATGTCACGTGGATCGATTTGGGTTTTCCTATTTAAACCCTCGGAGTTTATCCTATCTATCCTTCCTTTCCTCTACCACCAACTCCCCTCCATTCCTTCACAACCAACTCTCTTCTCAATTCAGCTCATAGTAGCAAAAAATCATTAACAACAAAACAACAGGTACGTTTACAGTTCAGAAAATAACCGCCTTCTCACACTAATGCGCATATGTAGTTCTTCACGGTCGCCGTCTCCCATAGCGGCTTTCCACAACAAAGATCGGCAACGTCGAATTGTTGCTGCTGTCGGTTCCGGCGGAATCATCCACCGTCACGGAGGCTTCCGATGTCTACGAAATCCAGGGCGAGGCCGTCAAGTCTGCCAATTGGGGGCGAAGGGAGAAGTAGTCAAGACTTCATTCTGCCATTCCACACCACACGGGTGAGGTGCTCGTACATGGTTAACTTCGACCATGCACGAGGTTATTGGCAAGCCATGTTGGGTATTTACCGTCATAATTCAATTGCGATTTGAATGCCAGATACTAATGCCTATGTGTTCAGGTTTGTGAACCCAATGTGAAGTTCCAAGAAGGGCCGGAAGAAGCGTGGGGCGGAGATCTCCAAGTAAGTGCATCCTTCCAAGATGTAGTTGTATGCGAATTAATGCTGAACTTCCGCAGGCGCGAGACACCTGGCAGCCTCAATGACATGCCTGACTCACACGGTTACCAGCACGGCACCCAGTACGACGACGAATACTTTGCGCAACAAGTCTACGATCAGTGTTTGATTTCGGTTTACAATGGGCGGCTAGAAATTACATGATGGATACGTAGGTATCCAATGTGAAGCCCGGGTCTGGAAGCTAGTAAGACTCTTGATGAGATCCGAATGCTTGCCAGACCCGGCAATGCCGGGCCCGGAAGCGAGTAAGATTCTTAACGAGAATCGCTTGCTTGCCGGGCCCGGCCATGCTGGGTCTGGCGGTTAGTAAGACTCTTGGTGAGATCCAAACGCTCGCGAGACTCGACCCTGCCCGGCCCGGAAGCGAGTAAGATTCTTAACGAGAATCGCTTGCTTGCCGAGCCCGGCCATGCAGGGTCTCGTGGTCTTCGTTCTCATATTGAGATGCTACCCCCATGCTTAAAGTACGTATTCCTTTAACGATCATTATCTGTTATGTACATGTACTGATGATTGTTTAGTAGTAACCTGCGGGAATCTGGCCCAATAGAAGTCACAAAAGTTGAGGTAGTACTACTACGTGGATTGTTTCATGATTGCTTGATACGTTTGTTGAAGCTAGTTGCGATGGATTGCATTGGTATAACTGGCAGTATGGCACAGTTACTGCAGTTTTCTAGGTCTTTTGTTTCACACCCTGTTAGCTACTACATTCTCTCAATTTTGTTTCACTCGGGATCTTTTTGTGTTCTTTTTCGTTTCGATATGTATTTCTGCTTGGCTGAGACCTCCTAGTCCTGAAAGCTTGAATTCGAGCGTCAGCGAATGCAGTGGAAGAAGGGGAGATAACGAAGTTTGTTTGGTTTGCTCAGGTCCGTTGTTTTTCCAACGGTGAAAACAAACGTAACCTACTCTGTATGTAAAAGTCTCAGTCGAATAAGGGAGTCTCAGTCGAATAAGGGAGTCTCAGTAGAATAGGGGAATATCATAGCTGAATAAGGGAATATTGGATTTGAATTCCTCCGTAAGAGTGGTCGAGTGGAAGCCATTAACAACACGAGGCATCACTAGCACGGTCATTAAATGTCTTGCCCAGTCATGACAGAAGCACAATCAAAGAACGGTTTTACATTATCATCATGCCCGTCAAGTTTACCGCTACCGACGGGATTCGCCACACGTAGAGAGTGACGAGTCCTAAGGTAAGGACGGAGAATGAGACGTTTCTTAGACCAGATAGCTTTGATGGATGATAGATGACGGTAGAAGTCAAGGTGGTTTTCTTTAACCAGTGCACGAAATTCACATTGTAAAACCCATCCGAGACCAGAAGCCGCTGTGCAACGACACGCAAATAAACTATGAGTCTCGGATGTACAGAAGGGCAAACCTTTGCGGTCCCTAGGTGTCTTCAGCTGTGCCCGCGAGAGGGAGTCGAGGTGTCGGAGATTCGAAAGGTGATACGCACTAGCGGCAAAGCGGGGTGGGTGGCTTGCACACTGAGAAAGCAGCAACTCGACGTTTTAGGTTGCTCGACAGCGCACTTCTGTGACCCGGCTTCTCGTTTGCCGCCCACACAGCAGCATCCACTTTCTCACCCGCTACATCAATGATCACACCGATCCCCAACAAACACTTTCTCACCTGCTACATCAAAGATCACACCGATCCCCAGCAAACACTTTCTCATCTCCACGCCTTTTAACCAGCCTCGACTCCCGCAAAACTCTGTCAGCAAACCTACAGTACCGAATACACAAATGCAGCCACTTTTCACCATGACTCGGCTCTTCGCTGGCTTTGTGCTGGTGACGATGCTTCTCGACGCTCTTTTTGGCATTGTGGTAGTTAAAGTGCCTCACTTCAGCTACTGCAGCGTCTCCGACCAGACGACGCTCATCTTTAACCTGATTGTGAGCTTCATCTTCATTGTTTTCGTGATGGCCGCCTGACAGATGTTCCTCAAGTTGAATTACAACGCCCCGGCCCCACGCCGCTCGAGCACTGCCTCTTCCAAGGTCTAGTTGTTCGGCTACTTCTCTATGGTTGTCGACACCGATACTCCGGACCATCCAGCACCAGCCAGTCGCTAACTCGATGTACGCGCAGAGGAATCGTCGGCTTCTACATCGCTGAAGAGCGATAAGGGGGTTCAGTCTTTACATGAAGTGGATAGTCTCACGCCTATCGTCACAAGTGAGTCACCTTGTCTTAATGGCTTCCTCCATGTGATACTAATCAAGCATCGGGACTACTACAAGCCCACACGTGGGTTTCCCTGGGCTGTTGCGCGAAACTGTTTTTTCTTCTGTTTTATTGTTATTTTGCGTATAGCCTATACACTATAGACTTAGCCATCGCTGAATGTTTCAGTGTGTACTGCCATGATCTAGTTGGGTGGATTGCAATCGATGATTAAACCAAAAATAAAGCGCAAACTTCCTCCTCCTACACTAGCATCGTGTAAACAAACAAGTAAATATTCTAAACCTATCGATTATACTGACGAGATTGTGTTGGTTGGCGGAGGGGTTTCGCCACGTCTGCTGCGCCGGAACATTTCTTATTGTAAATCGAGTCCAACACGAGTGATTCACTATGCATCACGCATGCCACCGCCACACCGCTAGCGAATAAAGCCACCTACTTCCTCTCCCTACCACTCCCACATATCGCACACTTTAAACCCACGCTGCAACAACTCACACCTAAAACCTCGTACATCCCCTCAACCTCCCACCTCCCACCACTCATCCCCACCTGCTGCAACCATGTCCCGCGCCTCCTCCTCCACCACCGCTGCCGCCGAGGCCGACACTTCAGACATGACTCTCGACTTAGCCCTCGAGGCGGAGCGCACCTGCGCCTGCCACGACCCCACTGCCTGCGGTAGCAACGGCCCCTCGACCAGCTGGTCGATGTTCTGTGGGCACCTGGTCGACCAGTTCTGCGTCGAGCGCGCGATCATGGCTGCTCCTATGATGTTTTCTGCTTCTTCTCGTGAGTCGCACTCCCTCCTCCCCCCCCTCCTGCGCGGGCTGTAAAGAATGGTTGTAACGGAAGGATGGAAACAGGGTCCCAAGAGCCGAATGACGAGCTGTGGCGCCTCCCGTGCGGCTGCACGGTCACGTGGGAGTTGTTCCTCAGGAGCATGCGCGCGTACCCCGTGCCTGCGCCGGAGAAGCTGAAGATGTCGCCGACGGCGAAGAGGGTTGCGAAGAAGAAGGTGCAGGTAAAGAAGGAGAAGAATGAGGAGGATGGCGTTGCGGGGTACGCCGAGATGGTCGAGAAGATGAATACGCGCAGGAACGTCAAGGTCAAAAAGGAGGCGAGCGTCGAGGTCGAGATTGTCGTCAAGAAGAAGCCCTTGAGGAATAGGGCGGTTAGCGTCAAGAAGGAGGTTAAAACCGACTCTGATCAGGAGGATGCTGGCTATGTTAGCGAGTGGATGGACGAATAGAAGGCTGCAATTAGGAGTGGGCGGATATTGAGGGCTACATAGATGGAGGCTCGTTTTACTTACCTACTTACTCTACAATGTGGCGGAATCTATTACCTGCCTGTTATCACATTGCCGCGTGAGCGAGTTGGATGTCGAGCATTCCGAGACGGCAACATTTCATGAGTAAAACCTTGGCTTCAATGCATTTCCGCCCACCCCCGAGCGATGAGATTGTGACTGTGTACTGGCTGAATAATGGATATCGGACTTTTATTTTTTATACTCCCAATTACTCCTAATGAAAACCTAGCACGGATAAACAAAAAAACACTCTAAATACATTTGTACTAGGAGTTACTCGATGACCCCATCACCTTGCTTCCCGTCGATACCGGTACTCTCTGAGTGCCCACCACAGGCCGAGTCCGAAATCGAAATGAGGAGTGTGAAATGCCGCCTGCTCAGGAACTAGTACAGTAATTCATCGTCGTACGCCACGCTGACGGTATCGATAGGGGGCGCTTTCCAGGTGAAAAATACCGAGCTCAACAGCGAGAACCGTCGACGATCTGATGCCGAGGCGGGTCTATATGTGGGGACCATGGATTGCCTTCCTAAGCTCAACGGACGTGACCGCGAGAACTACTGCCGGCCGAGTGCCGAGGCACGCCGATATCGTTTGGTGATTGTGCTTCTCACGGCGGAAATCGTGGAGTCCGAGTCCGAGTCTTTTCCGGCGAAGATCTTCGGTACCGAGGCGGGGGTACGGTTAAGCGATAGCGCCGGTATGCTAACGTCCTTCACGGCGCTCGCCTGCGCTTCGTCGTATACGTAGCCGTTGCTCAGCTCGACGGTGTACACGGGGAGTCTGATAACCGAAATGTTCGAGATCTGCGCCAAGCTCAGCCCCAAGAGCTGTGAGAACGCCGAGTCCAGCGTGTGCTCGGTCACGATCGCGCTGCTCGACGAGTTCCGGAACGACATCCGGTACACGCGCGTGCTGCGGAGACACCGGTCGAAGGTGAATCTGCGCGACCTGACGGCGTCCGTGGTGCGGATCGATGTCATGGAACGGATCGTGTCCGTGTCCGTGTCGTTTGAATCTCCCGTACGTGCGGTGTGGACGGTGCTGCTCGAAGAGTTCAGGAGTGGTCTCTCGCCGTACATCGCAGGCTGGCCGAGACGCCGGTCAAACAGGACTCGGCGGAGTGATCTCGAGGTCTCCGTGCTGAAGATCGACGCCCAGGAACGTATCGTGTTGACATTTACGTCGGGATCCGCGGGTGCGTGCGCACGGGCCGCGCGTAGATCCGAGTCGTGGTATATCGGCACCGAGACTGTCGCCATGCGCTCTGCGAGGTCGGGAATCGCCTGTAATACGGAGGACAACAGTTGCTTAAATTCTGCCATGTCTCGTTGCATCTCTTGTACCGATCCGCTGAACTCTAGAATTAGCGAAAATTCCGTAAAAAAAAAGACGCAGTGGGATGCGGAGCAGGAGTTCGACAAACTTTGTATTGATCGACAGAAACAGAACCAGGGACTGCTTGTGCATTTGCAGGAAGCCCAGCAGCTTCGCGGTGTACTTTTCCTTCGCGGCCCACTTCGCCTTATCCTAGAAGTTCAATCCGGCGGTATCGTCGGTCTCGAGGCTTTCGAGCTCCGCATCGAGTTCTGAGAACGTACACACGCAACCCGTCAAGGTGAGCATCAAGTCGCCGACAAACATCCGGGACGTGCGACTTCCCAGCTCAAGACCTGTCACGTGATAGACACTGCCGAGTGATATCGAGTGCTACACTGAATAAAATAAAAACCGTCGCTACCCCGGCGGCCCGGTAGGTGGCTTGAACAATGGAAACCTCAAGAGTATTCAGAGTACAAAGGATATCTCACCCGGGCAAGGAACCTTCCCCTCTACTCCACTCCCCTCGCCGCCAAATCGGTGCGTCGGATGATTCTTCCATCTCAAGCTGCGGTATCGCCTGCTCAATTCGATGTTCCGAGGCACGAGCCTCGATATCGCCGACAGGAGATCATGGTTCACGTATTTTGCAATGGGAAGCAAGCTGCGGGCTGCGGAAGTCGTCTGGATCGGATGGAACACTGGCAGGCGTAGGTATGGCAAGAACGGATGCAGTTTCGCGAACCGGTGGTGTTCTCAGATAGTATTGCTCGGATGTTTGCAGAAAGGTTCTCCACCCCAGATCTTCGTATTTTCGATATTGACTTCTCGTTGGCGAACCCCTTCTCGCTCGCCTCATCCGCCAAAGTACAGCCTTCTCCCCTCTTCAACCTCTCGATTAAAATTCGTAGTGAAAACATGTTGCCGGCCTCGCCCAACTCTCTCTTTCGCCTCGACCGCCAAATTACTTGTAATACCGCAGGAGTCATCCGCACTGCAGTGACCGTTGGCCAGAAGAAGAAGAAGAAGGAGAAGATAGAGCTCTCCGTTCAGCTCGTTTGCGATTATTCGGCTAGACATGGTGGTCAAGGGATGCGAGCCTGCGGATTCCTTTGGCTCTCGTCTTCATTGGGCAGTCCTTCTGAATGTGGCCTGGCTCGACACAGTAGTGGCAGTAGTCATCGTCGTCGCTGCGAGCGTGTTTCCGCGAGTTTGCGCGGCGACTACACTCTTCGGTGGCGTGGTTATCCATCTCGCAGTACGTGCATTGGTAGACGACCTGGGCGATTCCGGATGGCGCACGGTTGCCGCGGTGGCCTCGTCGCGCTCTGCGGGCACTTCGATTTTCCGACTGCTGCTGGGCAGCGATCTCGTTCAGAAGGATCTTGTCTTGTTCGAACTCGTGGAGCTGGCGGAATAGATGCTCGAGCGTAGCCTTGTTATCCGGCAGGAGCATACACGCGTCGACGATGGGCTCGTATTCCTTCGAGATTGAATCAAGCAAGCATCTGATCAGGTGGATGTCCGTGATTTTTTCTGCGGTGCCCTGGAGCGGGGCGCGAGCGGCGACCAGGCGGTCGCAGAAATCTCGTACCGGCTCGTTTGGCCGGGGCCGCAGTCTCCAGAAGCATTAACCGGCACTGCAGAGTCGCCGCAGTGTCGTGCTTGTCCCTCAAGAGCCGCCACGTCTCGACTGGGTCGCGGATGCCGGTTGGAAGCATAAACAACACTTCATGAGTGCACGAGTAGCGGAGGGCAGACATGGCTTGCCTGAACCTGGTGTGGAATCGCTCGTGCGCAGCGCGAGATTCGTCCGTGTCGTCGAGAGCAGGCTCTTTCTCCGTGCCGAGCACGATTTCGAGCGCGTCGAATGTTTCGAGGAACATAAACATGTCTTGTTTCCAATCGAAGTAGTTGCCGTGCGTAAGCTTGTTAAAGCTTCCGTACTCACCATCACCGCCACTGCAATTGTAACTGCTGTACGACGGCGGACATTATCGATCCGGTGGGATTAGCCACACACGATGCGTTCACCAGCAGCACCGCGCCTCAGCAGCTCACAAAGCTATCCGTCCAAATTAACTTAACGAACGTTTGCCTGTCGAGTAGTGATACCCTGTGACGCGCGAAGTGAGGCCTGGGGCGAGAAAGCCGCATGCTAATACTCGGCGAGATCTCTTGTTTGATCATATAATTCATACGAGGTAGGTAGCTATCGTGACGCCCATCCCGTCTGCAGCCTAGTCCCCCTAGGTTTGATCGATGCAACACCCCCACTTTCCGCTATGGCGAGTGATACTCGAACCGAGAGAAAGAGAACTTCAGTTTATTTTTGCATGCAGCCTATCTAGACTATGGCGAAGGTCGAACTGAGTGGGTCGTATAGGTAGCCTATAGTTTGGTTAATAGACAAATGATACAAACCTCAGTCTTCTCATTGGCACACTCCACCGACCTATCCACTTGTTTTGCAGCACATCTCAGGAAATCATCACGGTCACGCCTAATTCGGGACTTGCATAGGGCGCTTCCAGCTGCCGTATCTACCTGGAGAGAGAGCTCATGGGAAGGGTGAAATTCCCACCCTCCCTACGTCTAGAAAGAAAGAAAGAAAGGTAGAGGAACAAGTAATTTATTGGCCTCCGAATCTCACCCCCACCAGCCCTCTACCCTCAGCAGCCAGCCAGAATCTAATGAATCACACCCTTCATTTCCACGTTGTCTATAAAGCGGTAGTAGCCACCAGCCCTATGCATCATACCATCGCGTCCACACTTATTCTTGATCTCCAATGAGCCCCAAATAAGCGCTGCGGAGGGAAGGCTCCAAGCATACTCTCTACAGATCGATAGCTCACCGCCCTTGACCTTGTGCAAGCGCGTACACCTGCTGCCCCAGTCGTTCTTCTACATCCACGAAGTCTTCTTGGACTTGACGAGCTTGTCGACGAGACCGTCGATCTCGGTGTAGGTAAGCGACGCCCAGGATGTCTCGCAGACGAGCTCACAGAGCCACGCGGCGGCACTCACATCCGTGGTGGAGTTGTAGTAGTTGAAGCTAACGTCGGAGGCCGGGTTGGGACGGACGATGGGCGTAGGGTCGAACTTGCTCTCCGGGTTCGTCTGGGTGTCGTCGATACCGGGGATCTCGAAGTGCGGGAAGTGGATGGTGTGGGACTCGGCGAGGATCTTGTGGGTCGTCTGCTTGATAGCCTTGTTGTCCATAACGGAGACACTACCGGGGCCTGGAAGGATGGCGGGGGAGCAGCCGAAACCATCGCGGCGATGGCGGAGAGGACCGGGAGAATACACAAACGAATCTGCATATTGATGTTGTCGGAGGCCGCTTCTTGGTTGTGGATGAGTTCGGAAAGGATCGATGGAAAGGGTGGATCGGAAAGGTTGATGGGAAGAATGGATGGAAAGAGTGGGAGGATTGGTGGTGGATGAGAGCTTTTGTAGGTGGGGAGGGCACACCCCCATACAATTGAATGCTTCCGAGGCCGTTTTCATACTATTGGGCGTCATCGGTTGTCTCAATTCAGTTGAAGTACCCTAGCAAGGCAGTGGTCATATTGAGGAGCCTCACCAACTGTATCAATCCAGTTCACGTGGGCTGGTCTAGCAGCAAGGCTCTTTCTTCACGTTCCCGCCCCGCTGACAGTACAGAGATATAACCAGAAGAATTTTTAAGGCAAGCATACAGTCACGATCAAAATAACATAGCATCAAGAAAGGCTACAGTTCGCTCGCCGAATCACTTTCCCAGGCAGTTATCCTGGTTTCTTGACTATGGGCACGGTGGAAAAGTGGGAATAGTGGAAGACTAGCGGCATGCCAGATATATGTGTTGACAGTCTTCACCCATCAAAGACGAGCAGCCAAAGATCTCTCGATTGTCCGAATGCGGAAATGTCGTGTTATCTAGAACCATCTAAACTCGATACAACCCTACCTGACGTACAATCCACCTACACTTCTGTAACCATCCACCGTACCCATCTACACTTCAGAAACCATCCACCGTACCCACAAACTACTCTCCATTCCTCAATCACAATAACCCCCCCTCACCTCCAAAAAAAAGCTTTTACACCTCAAAAGAACTTTCGAGGTGTGATTCCCGCGAACTCCGATTGTACGTCGCGACTAACTTACCATCCAGATGGAGCCCCTCCCAACCAACAAGACATTCACTTCGGAGGAGACCACTTCGAAGGAGGCTACCGGCGAAAACTTCCACAGTGGCCACGACAGCCACGCCGTCAGCATGGATCAGACTGGTCACGAGTTGTCAGATCTCGTCACGAATTACAGGAGTCTCCATCATGCAGACGTTGGCGGCATGTCGCCCAAGACTGCCTTCGCTGCTAGTCTCCTGCCAACGTCCGTCTTTGCTGCCAACTGGCACAAGGCCCGCCCCGCTCTCGCTTCTTCCAACTTCGCCGCCGTCGTCGACGAGTGCAGCCATCAAGCGGACTCGGGTTACTCAACCGGTAACCACCAGATTACTGACGCCGCCCTCGAGCGCGTCCTCAAGGAAGCTTACGAGCGTGGCAAAAGGGACTCCATCGATCTCGAGCGCATGATCATCGACGCTTACGAGCGTGGTAAGAAGGAAGGCATCGAGCAGGGCCGCGCTCACGGCAGGAAGGAGGGCGTTCTGCAGGGCCGCGAGCTCGTGCTCTCCGCTGTTCAGGAGTGGTTGGGTGTCACTGAGGAAGATCTTCTGCGCGACAGGGAGAGGCTTGAGAAGCATCTCGCCGACAATATCTAGCTGGGTATCTGCTTGGCTCTCTACGCATCAAATAGCTGGCCAGTAGCTTGTAACTGGTAGTAACGACGTCGTCTGAAGAATCGGGAATTTTCAAGGCTCAAACAGTTTTTCTCTCCTGTGCTAGACTCCTCATTCTGTGATACAAATATCAATGATCCTTCCGCCATAGCAACTATGTACCTACTCTTGCATCCTTCAAGTCTACCGTATACTCAGCCTTGTCAGAGCCGTACGGGAGGTATTTATACGTAATCGACCATATTCGGAGAAACACCCGGATCTGTCGCGGTGGGATCTCGCAAAATCGTGAAATCGTGCTAATGGAGATGGTAATCCACGGAAATGCTATCGTGAGTAGCATGCAGGTCATTACCAGAAGCCCACCTCCTGCGATGAGATACCTAGGCCGAGATAAATACTCTTGGAGAAGAAGTAATGTGCTGAGGTGTAAATATGCCATCATTTTCAGCCGTGAGCAGTTTAGTCGTACAGATTGATTCCGTAGCCAAGTAGAATCTACGGGCCAGTAATATCCAGTCCGTCAGGACTCAGGATCTTTGCGCTTGAAGTAGAGGCTGTAGATTATCCAGCTTCGTCGGGCAGTCGGGATCTCGAAGCACCACACGATTCGACACAATCACGACGAAAGCGAACGAGACATGGATTTGTCGGGAGGAAACAGTCCTCCCCAGGCCGCAGATAGCCGTCGCAGCCCCACGTCTTCCATAGAATCGGGATAATTTAGGCACGCAATACCGCCTCTACCACTTCCGATCCCTTGTGTAGTATGTACATCTACACTAACCACATCCTCCTCCTCCTCGTCACTGCTCCAGTCATCCCTCCCCCATCAACTCAATTCTTCCATCCAGCTCGTCGCACAGCCGCTCCGTCTTTACTCCCATTCCTTCCTCCCCATGGGCATCTTCCGCCTTTACCGCTCTGCATCGCGCCTGTGCACACAGCGGCCCAGTCGTCCAGTTGCTTCCTTCGTCACTGCTCCAGTCATCCCTCCTCCATCAACTCGATTCTTCCATCCAGCTCGTCGCACAGCCGCTCCGTCTCCACTCCCATTCCTTCCTCCCCACCGGCATCTTCCGCCTTTCCCTCTCTGCCTCGCGCCAACGCACGCAGCGGTCCAGTCGTCCAGACTGTCCAGTTGCTTCCTTCGGCTCCCAGCTGGCGGGGGGCTATGCGCCACGCTCCCGCATCCATCTCCGATGCCACAAGCCTCCGGCGCCGGTGTTTTCGAGTATCAATCCACTCAGCTCTAGGATTTCACTCTCGCACCCGAATGAAACCGGGAGGGAGGTGGCTGTTGCTCAAGAGTGTGGTAGTGGCTTCGGTCGCCTGCGTATCGTTCTTAGGGCCTGAGGCACGGTATGCCTGGCCGAAATCGGGATCGTAAAGGTAGAGGTAAAGCTCGGAAGCTGGGCCACCGCGGTAGCGATGAGCCTGTGGTCCTCCGATGAAGAAGCTCATGGCGCTGCTGTGGGTAGAAGGGAAGTTGTCCTGAGGATAAAGAGGGGGATGAGAACGTAACAGTAATGGTCGGAAGCTAGGCCACTGTGATAACGAGGAGCCGACGATCTTCCGAGAAAGAAGCTCATGTTGCTGCCGCTGCTGCTGTGGGTGGAAGGGGTGTTTTCCCGAGGATAAATTGGAGAACGAGGATGATGCTTCAAAGCCTGGGCTCCAGCACCGACGTCCAACGCATCTACTGACGAGTCCCTGAGCCTATATTTGACAGCCGCAAACCCGAGCGACGATTTCTGAATTGTCGGTACTATACTTCGGACCCGGAGGGATCGGTATGCCCTATCGTCACAGCTCACGCCGAATGATTTAGTGCGGTTTGATGGTTTGCGGTACTTGTGGGGCATGGGTACTTACGTCATAGAGCATACCAGATCAAGACAAGTTGTTTCTTCGCATAGGTATGCCCGCCCCCCGATGCGCTCCCCATCGACATCTATTTGCCCCTCTCCTCCTCGTCTATTAGACTCTAAACATATCGCAACGGAGTGGGACAGAGAGCGAACCAGCTTCTTTCTAGTCCAGGGTGAAGTCGCACCACTGCGGAAGAAGACAACACCGATAGAACAATTTCATTCACTCGCACAGCGGCCAGGGAATAATATTATTCGCTGCGAACAGCAAGGAAAACCCCATCAGGCCGAAGCCTTCAGGGAAAAACCTTCATCCAAATTGACAGTCATACGCAATGGCTGTGGGAAAGGCGAAACCCAAGAAATGGTGGAGTCTTTGGCATTGGGATCTCCGCGCAGTTTGCATTCGGGTTCTCGTGGACTCGTGGCTGAAAGTATCCCAACTAGTCGGGTGATCGCAGGTAGCAAAACCACGTGTGCCATCTTGGAGAAGATGGGCATTGTTGTCCATACACTAACTTTGGATTCACACTTCCGGGCGGCAGGAGTTCGCAACTGTTCCGAGAAGTCTTATTAGCATGGCTGACGTTGTATAGGAAGAAATATGGAGTACCCACCCTTTCAGGGAATCACCTAGGAAGTAGTTGTTCTCCAAACCAAAGATTGGGGAGTACTCCGCCGAAGGCTTGATCGAACGAGGAGTACGTCATCTCCTCTTCCAAGCAGCACAGCCCAGGTTGGGTTTTCGGCCGCGCTTCGCAGAGATGTCTCTGCGGGCGTACTCCGTAGGTGGTGTGATGGAGTACCATCCTGCTTTTCCGAGAACCCAAGTCATCGTTGGTGCCGTCGGTAGGCGATGAGCTGAGAAAAAACCGAAAGAAAAAAAAAAGGATGAGCAAAGCGGAAAGGAAATGATTGCGACCCGAAGGTCTTTGGGAGAAAGGAGAGAAGGATGTTGAGAAGGGGAAAGGGAATGATGTGGAGTGGGGGAAAGGGAAGGATGTGGAGTGGAAGAAAGAGAGAGAGCGAGGACGGGAAGGAGAGGTGGAAGCGGAAGCGAACACGTGATTCAGCCCTAAGATTCGACCCGACGCTACCGTCACCAGACGCTACATCTGTTTTGCCTTCGAACTTATCTGAATGCGATTTAGCCGCCAATTGTGGTGCAACCATATGCTCGTAAACAAGCACAATATACTTCTTCAAGTCACAGAAAACTCCCTTTCGATACATCATGGAAGCACAGAGATTCACACTCTCGCGCTCTCTTTGAATTACCATTTCGCACTCCGCACTCCGCACTCTCCGCCTGAACAGCTCTAACCTTCATCACCACCGCCCCGAAGCGACAGAATCACCATCGGTACCTATCGATCCAAAGATGTTTACACCACCCAGCCTTCTTCCTCCTTCGTTAGCACCCACAATCCGGCTGCGTGCGGGTGTTGTAACCAGTTGGGACAGCGCCTCGCACGTTCAAAGTTCGAATAAGCGGAGTGGACGTGGAGGACGAGTTCCTCGGGCTGCCGGTGAACGGAAGTCCTACCTATCTCCCTACGGTAACCAAGCTATAAGTAATACTGGCGCGGGATGCGTGAGCTTTCCTTCCTTCCTGCACGGCTTCTGCTTTACTTGCTGACAGGTTCAACAGCGCGACACACACAGTCCCACATCCGCCCCAGTCATCCCGCCATCGTCCGCCTCCACCCTTTCGTCATCTTCTCTACCACCGTCGACTCGTACCGGTATTCGTCCTCCATCACACAGACCTCCGCCGTCCGGTCGTATATAGCAACTCGTTTCTCGAACCCCCTTCCTGTTGGAGGGTATGAACAATTTTTTTATGGAGAGAGTCTGAAGGCCTCGAGAGAAGACATAAAAGAGGGGTGGTAGGCGGCCAGTGTTTCCCACCGTCATGACCGAACAACTGACTAAGCAATGAACGACTAAAAAACGGACGCTTAAGAAGCGGAAGCCTAAGAAGCGGAAGCCTGTATAAGAGACGCACGCCTAAGGAACGAACGACTACATAAGAAATGGAAGCCTAAGAAACGGAAGCCTAAGCAATGAACGACTAAGGAATGGAGGCCTAAGAAACGGAGGCCTAAGGAGCGAACGACCATTACAACACTTCCTCTACCCTAGCCCCTGGGGATAGGAGTCCCCTGGAGTGAATCATTCCTGCGTACTGAAAGTCAGCTTCCTCCCTCACCACCCCGGGCTTACTCATGAACTTTTTTTCGCGGCAGGGTGGACGTATGATCGGTCGGCCACTTTCTGTCCTTCGTACAGCTTACCGAGGGAGGGGCAAGTCAGTGAAGTGAGGGGATGAGATGAGGGACCCTGGACTCAGGAGTGGCTATTAGTTACAAACCAGAGTTACGGTACCTGTACTCATGGCGCTCTGATAGATACCCATACTCGCTGTCGGTATTATATTCGTGACTATCTGCTATCTTTGCGGATTGAGAACCGAAACTGGAGATTATGAACAGGTTACCTACAGAACTTTGGTGCAAAGTAATCTAGGTAGCAGTACGAGAGTCCACCCGTGGATCCATGAATGGGCTCCCCCACTGCAGAAAATCCGTGTCTGTGAGTGCACCAGCCCGGTCATCCAAAACATTCTACCCACATATTGGCCAGCTGGTAAATCTAACCCATCCATAGACGGGCTCGCTTTTTTTTGTTCATTCATTGATTGCATACGACCTATCTAGATCATGGCAATATCATCTGCTCGTGCACCCCCCCCCCCCCCCCCCCCCCCCGTTTCCACGCCACTGGTGACTGTCCAATCCAACTTTCATCAGGCAGCCCGATGTGGCTTCCCCTGCCCTCCGCACTGGCCTTTCCCGACAGTTTGTGAGCGCACCAAGCAGAGGCAGAGCTAGGAAGAGGCAACGATCGTTCCCCCCCGCCACGTCCACGTCCACCTCCACCGCAAGTCTCTGGTCGGCTACTCTACGTCGCTTGGCTCCTCAGCTTCAGCGTCCTCCTCCTCCTCGAGTCGCCTCAGCTCCGCTCTGTCTTCCCGCTCCTGAGCTCCCACTCGGTGACTCGGATGCCTCGCTTGCTTCATCTTCCTCATCGGCCTCTGGCATTCGTCTGCCCACATCAGTGGTGGAGAGGAAGTCTAGGATGGCCTTACTGCATCGCTCGTCTGCAAAGAGGTCCCGGATTTTGAAGTGGTCTTTTCCCCTCCTTGTCTGCTTCCGGACTTCTGCCCAGAGTGTCTTTTGCTGACTTTTCCATTCGGGACAGTTTTTGAAGAGGTGCTTCCGAGTCTGTGTCTTGTAGCGACACCAGATGGCAACCGCAGCGGGCATCCGGGCGGCTTTTCGTCCACTGGAGGTACTGGCCGTTGTGGCAGTGGCCTGTTTTCAGTTGGGGAACCTCGAGGCCAGGCGCTTGGGGGCCATCTCTGGATTTGGGTCGGGTCTCTGGCCAGATTTCCGGCTGCATCGGTACTTCTTATGAGAGACCTTGCTGTCCGCCCATGCCTTCGCTTCCTTCCACTTCATTTCTGTGATGCCTCGTCGCAGGAATGCCAGTGATTCAGGCGGTGGCTGACTGGAGCCATAGCGGTACTTGTGGCGAGTGACCTCCACTCCGTGAGCGGTCGGGTGGTCAGCTGCCAGTTTGGCCCATTCGGCCGCCTTCTCGTTCCCGGGAACATCTTTGTGTGACGGGCACCATCTAATCTCGATGGTGATCGCAGGCTCCCTTTGACGGAGAGTGACGATATGCTTTCGTGCCTGCAACAGTCAGCACCGCCCTCAAGGCCCTCAACAATACCACCATCACCGTTCAATGGGTACCTAGCCACACCGACGTCAACGGCAACGAAGCTGCCACTGCAACGGCAACCCCCCTCAGACGCCCGAGCATCTCATCCTAAGGTGCCCCGACCATTTCAAAGCCAGGCAGCTGATGAGGAGAACAACGCCCAAGATCTCCAAGCTTCGGCCAGTGTTCTCCAGAGTCCGGTCCAGACTGCAGTCCGGACGGGACGGACTGCCAAGATCCAGTCCCGTCCGTGCCTTTTTGCGGACGGGATAAAAGTAGTCCGTCCCGTCCGCCAATTTGCTGGACGGGGTTGGACTGCAGTCGACTGCAGTCGACTACAGTCCGGTAGTGAAAACAAATGCAACTATTTTCAGCACTTATCCCACCAAATTTGATGGTATTTCCACTATCGTGTGTTGAATTCCGTCCAGTGCCAGCAAAACCGTGAGCGGCGACACCATCTTCGTCCAGTACCGGGTATTCTGCGCCACAATCTTCGTTCAGGCGCAATAAACTGCGCCACAATCTGCGCCACAATCTGCGCCACAATAGTTGTTAAGTGCCATCAACGCCGCGGTGTCATCTTGAGCCCGTGCGCATATACTCCCCTCAGCCACCACAACCACCGATAATGCGCCGCGGGCTTTCTATCATGATTTCTGTCGCCTTGTACTAGTCTTGGTAGTCGACTGCAGTTGACTGCAGTCCGTCCCGTCCGACCTTACTGGTGGACTAGTCCGTCCAAAAGACACCTCCGGACGGACTGGATGTATGTAGTCCAGTCCATTCCGAGGCTCAGGACGGACGGACTGGACTATGGAGAACACTGGCTTCGGCTGGCCCTCCTCCTCTACACCAACATGGGAGCTGACGCTCTCGATACCTACATTGCCACAACCAAGGTGGCCACACGCGGATGGAAACTGGGCCAACATCGGACAGATCCAGATCCAGAACGCCAACGTCGGCACCCGCCAGAGTGGGGAACTTTCAACAACCCAACCGACGATCATAGAGAAGGCTCCAGCGAGGGGCCGGAAGAGGAAGAGGAGGCAGTAGAGAGAGGTGTGGGGGAGGAATAAGAGGAGACGGAAGGAGTAGAGGAAGGAGAGTGAGAATGAGAAGTGGGTGAGGCGGAGGATGGAGAGGGGAGGAAATGGTGAACCCCAGGGGGAGATCCCAGGCATACGGCCAGGAGCACGACGACCACGAACCAATGCTGCACATTCCGCGTCGTACGCCTCGTGTTCGAATCCCATCAGGACTTTGTGTCCCTTCCATCCGTCGCTGGAGCGCCAGACAACAGCGAAGCCGGCAGCTTTGGATTCTTTCCGAGATCCGTCTGTGTACATAGAGAGCCCTAGGGGTTGTGGGCCTGCCGCGTGCACTTTCGCTGCGACTGCCTCGTCTGTAGTGACCGTGCAATCAAGTGCTTGGGATTTTTCGAGAACCACCGTCACCTCTTCTGCCCGTCCAAGGTTTCCCAGGGAAGTGATCAGTCTTTGTCCGAGCTCACTGTCTGCCCCAGCATCGAATGAAATCTCACCAGTGGTTGATAGCATAAACGAGTGACGTTTCATGACAACGCCGAGAGCAAAAACCTTCACCACCCCAGCACTGGGAAAAGACAAATCCTCGTCCCTACCTCTTCATCAGGAGATTCCATAAACGAAGGTGTAGGCTCCTCGAACTCAGTACTACCTAGCCTCCTCCTCCCGCCTCCTCGCCGTCTGCCTCATCCCCGCTCTCTCGGCAAGTTAGCTCCCACTCGGACACCTCACTTGCTGCATCTTCTTCAGCGGACTCCGTGGTGGTAAGAATCTTGGGGGTTGAGGAGAGAGAAGGAGAGAGAAGGAAAAAAATATGGTATTGGTGTCTGGTGTCTGCTGGATGAGTGATACTTTGTGAACGCTCCAACTGCGGCCTCCAGCCTCCAGGATCCGCATACCCAATGCCCACATCCGTCCGTGGTAGCGACTGTACGACTCTGCGAGGAAGCATAGAGTGCGAGGAAGCCTATGGTGGAAGCCTATGGTGGAATGGCCTTCCTGCACTGCACCGCGCTGCTCGTCTACGAAAATGTCTCGTCTAGGACCGTGAAGTCTCCTTCCAGGTCTATGCCCACGGTAGGTAGAGTAAATTCTGCTGTGCTTTCTCTAACGAAAGGAGATGTTGCGATTCTCGTTGAACAGCCACGGTCGTCACTCGTCCAAGAGATTGCACATTTGTCATATTGGTCATATGCGCCTCGTGTGCGCCTCGAGAATCCTATTTATTCTGCTTCTGTCTAGCTAGTCATCCGCTGTGTTTTACGAATGAATCAAGCAACTGAATAATATCAATCTCATATTTTCAACAGGAGATGGTGTCGGTGAATGAGTGATACTTCGTGAATGCTCCAGTTGCGGCCTTCAGCCTCCAGCCTCCAGGATCCGTCTGGGAAGAATTCGAGGAAGCTCATACAGTAGTGGAATTGCTTGACTACTATAGGTACACTGCACTGCGCCGCTCGTCCGCACCACTCGTCTGCGAAGAGGTCTCGATACTCGAGTTGGTCTCGGATCATGAAGTCTTCTTCCTGCCATTTTGTCCTGTGCACACAGTAACTTCTGCAGTACTGGTAGGTACCTTAGAGGGCAATGAGAGAGAAGGAAAAGAGAAGTGAAAAAGATTATGTTAGCGTCTGGTGGATGAGTGGATGAGTGATACCCCGTGAATCCTCCCTTGCTCACGAAGAATCACTGCTGCCGGGTATAGTGATTGTCGGTTATTTACACGTCTACTTGCCTCGCAGGAAAGGAGTGCGACGGTTTTCCATAGTCGAGATAGGCTGCATGCGAAATAAACCGAAGATCTCTCTCTCCCACGTCTACTGGCCTATTCCGGTGCCATTGCTACTTTTCTCTGTCCTCTATCATTTCGCATCGTCACATACGCAGCATTCATACCTTTCTCTACACAGGCTCATTGTTTCCCTTTTAAGTAGTCTTCTCTCTCGTCTTTCTCGTCTTTCTCATCAATCAAGTCAAGTTCTTCTCTCGATTTCAACAGAGATCGTGGATGGTGGATGAGTAATATTTTGTGAATCCCCTATGCTCACGAAGGATCATTCCTTCTGTGGATACTCTTACCGTGCATACTCCTTCCATGCTGCAGTGATCGAGAATCATATGCCCATGCTCACTTACCGTTTTGACGATTGGATGGGCGACAAGCGAATTATGGGTAGATAGAGATTTGGCTATGGTGCGGCCAGAACGCTTGCTCATGATGTAACGCTTGATGTGACGCTTCCTGGCGGCAAAACACTTGGGACAAGATTGAAGAGTGGATGAGTGATACTTCGTGAAAACTGGAGTCCAGCTGCTCACGAAGTATCACTCCTACCGTACCGTGCACATCTACTCCTTCTATGCTTGAGTGATCGCGAATCCGATGCTCATCCGCCGCTCTTATGGATGGGTTAACAAGCGGGTTTTGGGTACGTGGTGACTTGGTTATGGTGCGGCTATAAGTTATAACGTCTGCTTCTGATGTGAAGCCTGCTTGTGACGAAACATATGGGCATTTTGAAGTATCGTATGTTCAAACGAGCAGGTTTGTCTTTGGACGCCGTGATCACAGCGACGACATCCACGATAGTAGAGTACAATGCCAATTTCTCGCGGCTCCCCCATCACATCACATCAAGCACAACACACACCATTGTCTCCACGTATAATAATAATCATCATTCATTTACCCCGCACTAACGGGCGGAATAACGGCGACCTCATCGCCCTCCTTAATGACCGTGGCGCCTTGCGCCCCATGCTCATCGAGCAAATCGACATACTCAAGGTTAACCGTGAGCATGCTGCTTTCGAGGACGTCCGCCATGCCGGGGTATTTCTTGTCCAGCAGCGCAAACAGCTCCTTCACCGTGCACGGCGCGGGCAGCAGTTCGGCCGCACACTTGGCGTAGTCGGCTGCGGCGGCGAAGTAGAGCATTTTGAAGGACATGGTATGTGTGGATCTGGTCTTTGAGGGAGTGTTAGAAACTGATGGAGTGAGATGAAGAGGGTGGGAAAAGAGGGGAGGGTGTGTAAAGTCAGAGATAGAACAATTGCAATATGAATTAAGCATTGGCAAAGCCTTAGAACAGGTCTCATGAAGAATCATCATTGTAACACCGAGGGTTGTGCATTGTGCAAGCGGGCATGTAGCGGAGATGAAAAACGTACCCTTTCTTTTCCACCCTGGCAGCCGCCGGTTATTGTTATTGTCGTAGTAGTAGTAGCAGTGGCCGTAGCAGTAGTATCCGATCACCTAATAACCCCCCTTGTCAGCCACATGATCCCCCTCAAATACCCATCGCGCGAATAACAATGTCGAAAAACAGATCCAGATCAGAAGGCCGTTCTTAGATAAAATCCGCAGCATAAACTCGGAAACGCCATTGCATGTAGGCAAGAAAATCATCACTTTGAATCCCCCTCCCTCGTCCCCTGCCCCATCATCGCGCAGAAAGAAGAATAAAAAAGAACGTACCTTGATCAACGGCGAGACACGAATTCATTCAATTCATCAGCCGGAATTCCTCGTGTCCCTTGTAGTGGTTGTCCGTGCGGATGTGGAAGGCATAATGAGAGACGATCTCATACCTTGCTGTCGCTGTTGGTGCTGTTGGTGCTGTTGGTGTTGTTGGTGCTGTTGTTGGTGATGGTTGTGGTGGTGGTGGCGGCGGTGGGAGGAGTGGAGCAGAAGTGGGGGGACGATGGTGGTTGAAATAGGAACGGTGGTGGTAGTGCGAGTGGGATGGGAGAAAAGTTTTCGCCGACGGGATTGGCGCTGGTGCTGGCGCGTGGGTGATGGCTCAGTCAGCCAGGGCCGACCAGCCAAAGATTGCTTGGCAGATGAAAGCGAGTGATGACCCATGAGTATAAACTCTACGCAACAAGAATAGAGTCAAAAATAAAACTTTATCGTCAAGGTTTTTTGTTGAGATAGAGTAGAAGCTTTCGAACTTGCAAGCAAGGGAATACTCCTACTCCTGTGAATTGAAAGTTTGCATCTCATACCACGTTGCGGTTGCGGCTTCTCACTATCACGATCACAATCACAATCACTCGTCTTAACCAACTCAGATGCCAAACCCATAAAATTTCATCACCATAAAATTTCATCACCAATACATGACCCCAAAGTTTCGTATCTACTCTCGTCACTCATGACCATCACCCCTCTCCCCGTGCTTAAAAAATGCGAAAAGACCATATACAAAAAGAAAACGTAAAGAAAACAATCAGTTATGTCCAACAAACTCCCGTTTATGATGCTTCCCCAACCAGGACAGATACAAGAGAAACCCAAAGGAAAAAGGAACTCCCCCCCCTTTATGCAGATAAAAAACATAAGAAATGCAGGAAACAAAGCGTCAGTCCGTCAGTCCGTCAGCCCATCACTCTCGTCAACTTCACTAAAGCCTCGCCGCCGGGACCCTTCCACGGATGCGGGGGATGCTGCGTGTGCTCTTGTTGCCGGCCGCTGCCGCCGCCGCCGTCGCAGTCGATGTGTTTCCGCCAATCTTGATATCGACGCAGCTAGTGTACCACTCGGTGTGCCCGACCTTCTGGGGGCCAAAGTGCAGTGAGAAGTCCCAGACCCAATAGACGGTGTAAGTCGAGCCCGGCTGCAGGTCCTCAGGGAGCTTGAACGTGCTCTTGCAGGGTCCACCGCCGCCGGCCGCCTTGCGCTTGATCGCCTCGGGGGTACCATTATCCTCGACGCAAGTACCATCGTCGAAATCCGTCGGCCCGGCGAGAAGCTTCCCCTGCGCGCCGTCGCCGCCGTCTTTCCACGCCATGACCTCGGCGAGCGTGGGCTGCAGCGAGTTGTCTGCCGTGCCGAACCAGTAGGTGGTGCCCGATTGCGTCTCTGGCAACTCCTTCTTCGAGATGTGGCCGTTCTCGAGGTAGGCCCCCTGGATGTAGTCGCCGGCGAATGCGGTAAGCTGCGGGTACAAGGCGTTGGTGTATGAGGTCGAGCTCTGCTGGAATTGTGCGCAGGCGGGCGCGGCGAGGGTCGGGTCCTCGATGCGGTAGGAAGAGGTAGAGTCAACGTGCCCTTGGTAGTTGCGGATGTACCCCTTCGAGCCGAGAGTGGAGGCGATACTAGCGCCGCCGACTACGGTCAGGTCGTCGAGCTGGGAGGAGGTCAGTCTTGTTCATGGGCATCAACAGCAGGAATAATAAGACTTACCCAACTGTGCGCGAAAGCGGTGGAGATGGCGGAGAGAAGGGTCAAGCCCATAGGAGCGGATGTGAAACGCATATTGGTAGATTTGCGGGAGATCGTAATATGTAGTTGGGTGTTATGTAGATGTTGGTTTAGAAGGAGCGAAACAGCAAAAGTTATCGGTGCTAAAAAGTATCAGTCACTAGTGTTCTCTCGGGATGTTGCGAACTGCGAATTTATAGGCGGGGAGTCGGGGGACTTACAGGTTGCTTGTAGTGTGGAAGATGAACGAAGGGGATATCAAGGTGAACTGGATGGGAGATGCCGAGCAGTAGCGGGAGCGGGAGTGGTTAAATGAAGGGTAGATGGTAGCGGAGATGGAGTTCAAAGGGGAGGAAAAGGTTGAAGAGGGGGAGCCAGTCCGCGGAAGAATAGAAGCTGCTGTGGAAGTAGAAAAGGTGTGAGGGTGGTTAGGGTGAGAAGGTTAGAGTGAATGGAGCCCGAGGTAGTTGAGTGTTGTGAGTGATAATGAGGTGACACTGCAGGTGGGCGAGGCGAGTATTTGAAGTCGTCCGGGCCGTGTAGGAACAAAGCTACAACCTACGCCTTCCTTCCAGATTCCGGCGACAGTCACAGTCACAGTCACGGAGGCGGCGACTCTGCTGCCAGCGACATCGAAACGAAATGGTTTCACGCAGAATAGAAAGCCAGCCTCCTCCTCCTCCTCCTCCTCACGTTCGTTCTCGAGTCAAGCCACATACCATACCATACCTACGGCCGCGTGCCCGCGGCTCCGGTGGGGCATTGCCTGGTGAAACCGACAGACAGGTCGTGAATAGCACGGCCACTCATCGCCAGTCTCCGTGCGGGAGAGAGTCATGGAGACGAGGAACGCAGGTGTCGCTCATGGTTGGTGGGGGCGGGTACTGCGACCACTTAGATGAGCTGTGCAGTGCAGCGCGGCATGTCCATAGTCAGGGTACCTGCTTCCACCGCACCAGCCACAAGCCACGGTTTCATTCCATTTTGAATCCGATTGATCTCGGGACCCCCCGTGGCCCCCCATCGTCGTGATGAAACCGTGCAGATCCTACTCAATTCCCTCTCGCCATTGGCTCGGGCGGTTCTGCACGCGCCACAAGGCAAAACAAATTTCCCAGCCGTTTCTGGGGCCAGGGTCTCCCTAGCCACTCATGCACGGCGTCTAGCCAGAACAGCCAGTGTTTATTTTGAGCTTCGCCTACCCCTACGAAAAACAAAAAAAGAGAAACGAGCTTCTTTCCCCCGGAGCCAAAGAGCCTGTCCATGTCGCCCGATTCCCGACCGTTTCGAATAGGCAATGTGTCGCGATCCTGAGCTGTCGATAACGAGAGTACCTACCACCTACACACCTACCAGGAGGGAGGAAGTACCTTCCAGCCGGGAAGTGCGTGCGAAATACAAGCGCTGCCGCTATCGCTGGTACCCTCGGTTTCGGTTTATTTTTCGCACACTCGCTCGCTTGCCGTCCTCGCCCGTCCGCCAGCTGCAGCAGCGGCTGCACGGTCCAGTTCCGAGCATGCTGTCTGCCGATCAGCGAGGAAAATATTCTTCGGACGACGGTGCGTGCGCACCGTCCCTCCCTCCGTATGATGCGATGATAAGATACACTGAGCTCTCAAACGGCTCGACCCCCCCCCTCCCCTCCACCCCACACACAGACTCCCCCCACTTGAAACGATCTAAACGATCTAAATACAGTCACAGTCACAGTCACAGTCGCTCCCGAGACCGAGAAACGTGTCTGGAGCCTCCAGTTAGCACTGCACAGCCACTACCCACATAGCACCGGCGGCCGTTCCAGAGTTCCAGAGTTGCCACACTCGCCCCAAGATGTTTCTCCTCTCCGTTGCGGAAAGCCGCTTCGAAGTTCAAATGGAGCGGAGAGCGATCCTACCTATGCACGACATCTCGCGCACATACGCGCTAGGAGGTATTTTCTGCCGCGATGTGGCGTACATGCTCACCTACCGATGGTGGGTATGCGGATCCACTCTACCAGAATTACAGCAACACGCGGACGTCGCTATGCTATGCGCACACTACACCCCTCCAATATCTACATCCCCCCAACATCTACATCCCTCCACAGAATCCCGACAGCGACAGCGACACCGCGATGCCAGCAGCTATGTACCTACCCAGGTATTTGTGGCTTCAATATAGCCGAGACACGGAGCCGGCGGCTGGCCACGAGGGGTTCGGACGACGACGACGACGGCGGCGACGAGGAGGAGACAAATGGCATACCTATGGTACGGTAATATGTAGCGCGCTTGATTGCGATGGGGCGTGGGTTACGAGGCCATCACCTGAGCTCCAGGAATGGTATGTATGTACCGTACTGGGTATGCTCAGGCGCGTGCGCAACGGGAGGCCAGAATGCGGCGGGGCGAGTGATGGATAGGTATGATGGCTGTGATGGGCTCGGGGTCTGGCACGGGGGAGGAGCGCACATTGGTGCCATATTGACGCCACAATCGTCTCCCCCACGACTATGACTGCAAATAGCGCGCATGATTGCGATGTGGCGTGGCGTGGCGTGGCGTGGCGTGGATTACGAGGCTTACGAGGCCATCGTGACATGAGCTCAAGCCTCCAGCCTCCGGCCTCCGGGAATGGTATGTACCGTACTGGGTGCATGTATGGGATACTCAGGCGCGTGCGCAACGGGAGGTAGGGATGCGGCGGGGCGAGCGATGGGTGTGATGGGCTTGGACACTCCATTGGTATCCCATTGACGCCGACGTTACCTCTCCCGAGTCCCGCGACTACGACCATGAGTCTCCATCTTTCTGCGGTTCTATGTATGTAGACAACTGGAGCCGCCGAGAGTGCGTATCGTCGTCCAGTGACCAGTGGGCAAGTGCTCTCATGGAACCATGGAACCATGGAATCATGGGACGAAACTCTGTGTTGTTGGAACTTGGGAGGTTAACCGTTACGCCTTACGGTCTCTGAAGTTTCAAGTTCTCAACCGTCACGTCGGGTCGATACTCTACATACCGACATCCACCCACCACCACCGTCGCTGCCGTCGCTGCCGTCGCTGTTTCCCGTCTCAGACGACTATGCATACAGATAGTTACAGGCTTACAGCCATAGTTCACACCACGCCCCACACACCACGCACCACCGACGTCGCTGTTGTTCGTCTCAAACAACTACGACGACGACTACGACTACGAAGACAGCGATAAGTAGTCCACAACTCCACACCTTCAGAGTCCACATCCCCACCTCCCCACCTCCCCACCACTCTCTCTCATTCGTCCAAACATGATGCATCACCATGCCGTGCCGCATCTACTGTTTCACACTGCGGGGTGTTGCGAAAACTCCAGCGAATGACCGTGCGAACAACCCCAGCCGAAGCCCAAGAGAACGCAAGACCGTGCGAACAACCCCAGCCGAAGCCCAAGAGAACGCAAGACCGAATATGCAGTACTCGACTCGAAGCATACGTACTCTACTTCCGCCCCCGGCTCCCGCGCCACGAGTTCTGCGGCGTTCGATGTCTGCGATTCACGAATCCCAGCAGGTACAGAGAGAAAGATGGTTACGTCCGATGGTTACGTCAGCCAAGCCCGAGTGCCACGTTGTGACTTCGCATGGAAAGTTGGGCCCTGTTATGTAACCCTGTCCGGCTCGGGCCGGGGTGGGGTGTAGGGGGGGGGGGGGGGGGGGTGGGGGGGGGAGGAGGATCGACTTTCGACATCGAGGCTGGCGACGGTTAATCGGACAGGGCTATCGTGAGGAGGGAGGAGTGGGGAGTGGGGAGTGAGGAGGGAGGAGTGGGGAGTGAGGAGTGTAGGAAGTCGGCTGCGGAATTACTCTATCTACGAGAGCTCGCGAGTCGCGAGTCGCTGCACTGCGCGAGCCCCCTCATCGCTCTGCTCAGCTCAGCCCATCACTGCGCTCGTTGGAGGTGACGGGCAAATTGTACAGTACTTTAGATACAGTACTTGCACCTTCCCCATGCCGTACTAGAGTAGGTAGATGCATCTGACGTGGTCGCTCACTGGTCAGCATCCCCATCCAAAGCACTCTGCTGAGTCTGCGCTGCTCCTGGACCAGCGACGAATGGCGATGGCGATGGAGAAAGGAGGAGAAAGGGGAAAGGACATCACGGGAAAAGAGGGCGCGATAGAAGTACACGGCTCGAAGTATACTTCATCATTACTTTACTCCATTACTCCACCTTGATCTGATCTGGTCTGACGGGGGAAGGCCTCCCACTTTATATTACCATATGCACGAGGGATCATCGTCGTCGTTCGCTCATTCGGGCGGAAGAAGGCCCTGGAAAAGTCGAGCAGAGCATGTATGTAAAGCGAAGTCGGCGAGTCGATCTCTACCTATTGGAACCTGCAGGCAACCAGCGACCAGCAACCAGCAACCAGCAACCAGCAACCAGCAACCAGCAACCAGCAACCAGCAACCAGCAACCAGCAACCAAACCAGCCAGCCAGCCAGCCAGCCAGCAAGCACAGCACAGCACAGCTCAGCACCACAACAGCAGCAGCAGCAGCATTCGATTTTTACCGCCGCCAACTCCGCCAGTTTTCGTCCTGCAGACTGTCCGACAGACTCATCATCTTCCGACACTCGACACTCAACCCAACACTCAACACTCAACACTCAACACTTAACACAACCCAACGCTTCGTTCAATCTGCATACTCGGCACCCATCTACTCTCACGAGATCAAATCGCTCTCCACCCCCACACACACCCCCTTTCGAACGCCGACGACAAAGGCGACGACGATTATTTACGACGACAGACGCTGCGTAACCTACTCGCAAAGACCTCTCGCAGCACCTCTCGTCACATCGCAGCTCGCCAGCCCCGCAACCCCATCCCCGTTTCACCCCGCACAACCGTCAAGCTGGATCTCGTACCGATAGGCTACAACAACCGGCGCGATGCGTCGCCGGAGCGGGACCGAGTAGGAGGAGGCGGAGGAGGGGGAGGGACGGCATCACACCCGGCGTCGCGGCACCCGTCGCCACAGCGGTTTCCGGGCGGCGGCGTGAAGGCTGATCGGGAGCGCGAGAAGCCGCCAAGAACTTCGTCCCGCGTGCCCGAGAAGTCGCCGCGGGAGTTCTGGGGGTACCTCATCTCGCGCGATCAGCCGACGCAGCCCACACCGCTGTTTAGGAGGCTGCTCGGTGCTATTGCGGATTATGTCGTGAGTTCTCTTTTTCTCTCTTTTTATCGACTCCTGGGTTTTGGACACTGGGCTGCGCGGCGCGGGAGGGGGGAATGCGGGGGGTGCTCGCTATCGTTACAGCGGGGGCTAAATTGTGGGGAAACGTAATCCAGATCGAGAACATGGCGCCAAAAGAGATCCGGACGCTCACGCCGGCGAAACTTGCGGCTTTTTATAAAGAGGTTGGAGGGGATCTTGATGGTGGGTTATTTTTACTTTCGCCTCTTTTTCTCTTTTCTCTTTCGTTTCGTTCGTTCGAACTGACGACGAGGGGTTTGTAGAGCTGTTCCTCGGTACCCCGGCTGCGAAACTGTCCGACATCTACTCGACCTTGGGCTGTGCACACTCTCTTCAGCCCGTACCCGGCGATGACTTCATTCCTCCCTCGATCCCGGCCCTGAGCCAGCGGGGCTTCGCGTGTTGGCAGACGATACAGCTGCTTCTCGATCCGGAAGAGCACGTTCCGTACATCCAGGAGGCGGTGCGGAACTTTATGCTCCGCGATCCGGAAACAGGCGAGCCCTTCCCGCGCGAGATCCCAGCCGAGGCGTTCCCGCGATACACAGACGTAGAAACGGAGCGATGGCACAACGAAGCATTCGCGCTCAAGAACGCCGAGAAGAAGAAGCGCGAGCTCGAGGAGCGCGCGAAGGCGGCCGTACAACCGGAACCGGCCAACATCTCGACTGGCATACCGATAGAAAGCGAAGAGGAGGACTGGGCGTATCGTCCGAGACGGAAGCATCGGCATCGCCACACGGCATACGAGGAGCCATTGGACTACTCTCGGAGTGCGCCGGCCGCGCATGACCACCACGATCACCACGGCCGCTCGGCGTATCGCTCCTCAGGTCGGGGACATCGACACCACCACTCCTACTCCCACCCAGAGGCATACGGGCACACGGTCGTCGAAACCCCCGTCACGAGCGACATCGAAGAAGACCTCTACGCGTCGCGCCACTCGCGGCGCACGAGCCACAGCCGCTCGCAACACCGCCACGGCTTCAGCTCGCAGAGCCACAGCCGCAGTCGCCAGCCCTCGCGCGAGTACCTCAAAGCCGGCTACGTGTACACGCCCGACCGCGATCCGGTCGTCATCGATCCCTACGTGCCCATCGCGACCACCCTCGAGCCCCCCGCCACCTACATCCGCCCCTCAGAATCCCACCTGCACGCCTTCCACAGCGTGCCGGGCATGCACTACCACTCGCCCACGCCGCAACCGACGGAAGACGACCTCCGCAGCCGCTTCCTGCGGCACCGCAGCTGCTCGCCGGTCTCGCGGGCGCCGCTAGGCGCACTCCCCAACACCGGCAAGTCGCGCTCTCGCGTCTACGTCGAGAACGAGTACGAGCAGCCCCCGCACCCGCACGCGGACCAGTACTACGCCGACGACGATGTCCTCGCCGCTCAGGAGGAGGAGCGGCGCAGGGAGAAGGACGATGAGAAGCGGAGACGCCGCAGACGCGAGAAGGAACGCGAGAAGGAACGAGAGCATGAGAGGAAGGAACATGCTTACATACATGCCCATGCCCCCGCGCCAGGACCGGGACCGGGCGCGTACAGGAAGAGTGCGGGGGTTTATTATCCGTAGGAGGCAGGGGGGGAGGCAGGGCGGAGGCAGGGCGGCGAGGCATGGTAAGGCATGGTATGGGAAAGCGACGCGACGGGAAGCGACGGGGGTTAATGATTGATGGCCTTTTTTGATTATACCTACTCTACATTGCTCTATGCTTATGATACTTGCTTGTCTCTTTCTTGAAAGCTTTGGAGAGCATTGGATATTGATTTTTGAGTGTGCTGCTTGCTGCTGCTGTACCTACTCGTCATTTTGAGGGATCTCTGGGTTCCCGTTTTTGGGGTTATGAGTTGAGTTGAAATAGACTGTGATGAATCAGATCCGGGGGATGACATCCTCTTCTTGCTCGGAATTGGTCAAAGCTCATTGAGAGCGAGAGACCGAGAGACCGCGATTGAGTGCACATGTTTCTCTATCTATCTCACCGACCCCCGCCTTCATTCTCCATTCCGTACTTAATTGCCGACTGCGACGGTCTCTAATCTGACCCAGTGAGTGCTGCGGGCGTGCTCCTCCGGAGGGCCAGGGCGCTATCTGGACCTTATCTAGGGAGGGGGAGGGAGGAGGAGGGGGCCGGGACCGGGGGATGGGAGTGTCCAGGGGGTGAGGGAGGGGCCGGGGGATGAGGATGCGATGCCGCTGATAAGCGGGAGTTGAGAGATCACGATGGCCATCCATCTACCCTGCACTACGTCAAGGGACGTCAGAGCTTGAGCTATCCTTTCAAGGGCCGGCTGGCTCCTGGAATCTAAACACCTACTATAAACTCCCCGCCTCCTCCTTCATTCTCTTATAAGAACTGATTGTAAGAACACCTTTAAGAACCTCTTGAGCACACGACTGAGGTATAACAGCACACGATTGGAAATAGAGATATACTGGACGAGATTACATACCACGAGTACCTACCACGAGTACCTACCTGCGAGCTTCCATACCTACCCTGGCTACGATGGCAACAGCACACGCCCTCTGGCACACCGCCCGCCGTCTCGCCGTCCCGTCTCGAGTGTGCATACCCGCACCGCTACTGTGCTCTCCGTCTAGATTCCAATCAACCGTCTCCTCCATGCACTCGCACTCGCTCCCCACAGCAGCGACTCCACCGCCACCGCCCACCTCGCGCGATACCGGCCCACTCGCACGCCTACCGACCGCCTCGCTGGTGCGCTCCCTGCTGCTGCACACGATTACCAGCTCGCCCACGCTCCTCGCGCTCGGCACGAAGGTCATGCTCGCCACCGCAGACAATATCGACCGCATTCCGCCGCTGAAGTGGGTGGTTGATAAGACGTTCTACGTATTTCCCCCCTCCCCCCCACTATCCCAGCGAGTGAGTGAGTGAGTGAATAAGTACTGAACCCCCGTCCTACAGGCCCACTTCTGCGCCGGCTCCACCCCAACAGAGATAAGCCGCACTGTCTCCTCGCTACGGTCGCTAGGCTACAGCGGGTTAATCCTCGCGTACGCCCGCGAGGTCTCCTCACCCTCCTCCCCCTCGCCCACCAGCACCTCCGCCGACATAGCCTCCTGGCTTTCGGGCACGCTCACCACCATATCCCTCAGCACGCCCGGGGACTTCGTAGCCCTAAAATTCAGCGGCGCCGGGCCATCGATCCTGCCACTACTCTCCTCCTCCCAACCATGCACGACCATCCCCGCGCTCGCAACAGCTCTAGATACCATCTGCGCCGCCGCGCGCGCGCGCGGCATCGCGCTGCTGATCGACGCGGAGCACGCGGCGCTGCAGCGCGGCGTCGACGCGTGGGCGGTGGGGATGATGCGGCGGTACAACACCTCCCCCACCGGTGCTGCCGTGGTGTTCAATACCTACCAGATGTACCTGCGGCGGGCGCCGGGAGTGCTAGCTGCGCATGTGGCGCTGGCGGAGCGGGAGGGGTGGCGGCTCGGTGTTAAACTCGTGCGCGGCGCGTATTTGGGTAGTGATCCGCGCGCGGGGATGTGGGGCACAAAGGCGGAGACGGATCATGCGTATGATGCGGCGCTGGAGCAGCTGATGAGGAAGGGTGTGGATACCGTGGTGGCGTCGCATAATCGCCGCAGTGTCGAGTGCGCGCTCAAGTTGCGGGCTGACGTCGACGCACAGGGGAAGGGAGGGAGGGGATTGCTGGTCTTCGCCCAGCTCATGGGGATGGCGGATGAGCTCAGCTTGAGCCTGGTCGGCAGAGCACCGGTGCTGAAGTATGCCGTCTGGGGGACTACCGGCGAGTGCGTTAAGTATTTGCTGAGGAGGGCCGAGGAGAATAAGGACGCTGTTGGCAGGAGTGGGGAGAATTACAAGGCTGTGGTGGGGGAGTTGAGGAGGAGGGTTGGGTTCTAGGCTGGCTGGGGGGATGGGGGGATGGGGGGATGGGGGGATGTGGGATTCACTGATACACCTCGGCGGGCGTTGGTTTTTGTTTTATAGGCGGGCAGGCGGGCAGGCGGGATTCACTCATACACCTCGGCGGGAGTTTTGTTTTTGTTTTTGTTTTTTGTCTGTACACTTGGGGGATTCACTCATACACCTCGGCGGAGTTTGGACTTTGTTTTGACTTTTTGATTGTAGTGTTGTATTGATTGGCGGCGGGGCGGCGGGGCGGCAGGCATGATTCACTCATACACCTCGGCGGGCGTTGATCTCTGTCTCTGTTTTTTTTTTGCTTGTACACTTTGAGGATTCACTGATACACCTCGGCGGAGTTTGGATTCTTTGTTTTTGATTGTAGTATTGTAGTATTGTACTGTATATCATATCGAATATAGGTGGCTCGAATATACGTAGCACAAATACCAGAAATATCTCTCATGTACTGTGCAGTGTGAACTTCCAGTACCTCTGGCTGTCTCTGATTCTGCAGAGTGTCTAGAAGAGCCGGAAAAGGGATATGCGGAGAGGGCACTCCGGGAGGAGCGGATTGATGTACGCCGTGGGCCCGTGATAATCGAGCTCGTGATGTACTATCGGCTGACGGCTGCCTTCCACCACCCGGTTGATCTAACACTTAGAGGTAGGTGTACACGGGCCGATATATGCCGGTTGGTCTAACACTTGGAGGTCTAGTCGGCCCGTATACACCTACCTCTAAGTGTTAGACCAAACATACACGACGATACTATACACTCTATGTTTATTACTGCGGAGGTGGTGCGGGAGGTTGTGCGTGCCTGTGTCGTAGACTCTATATAGACTGTAGAGGTCTAACACTTAGAGGTAGGTGGATACGGCCCGGGATTTCGGAGCCTGCCGGTCGGGATTTCGGAGCCTGCCGGTCGGGACTCGGCAGTTAACCTGTGAAGCGGCAGCGGCCGAGGCGATGCGACGGTGACTTCTTTTGCATTGATTCAAAGCAACCGTGTCTATGGTGAAGGTGAGAGCGGGGGGTTGCAGTGGGGGTTGCTGCAATGGATGACCAGGATCTGTAATTACCAGCACCCGGGAGACAACTTCAAAGCGAGTGCAAGATAGTGAGTGAATCTACGAGGCGGTTCATGGGGTATAACCTGCCCACTTCTCACACATTTCAATTTTGAATTGCGATTGCGAAGAGGGTTATCCCCAGCGGAGTCGCAAACGTAGACTTAGGGCTCGCCTGCCGTGGTGGTCCGTGTGTTCTGGCGTAGATTTTGTTATAAATTCAACCTCTTCGTCCTCCACTTCTTCTCTTCTTCTCTTCACTTTCTCTCTTCACTTCTAATATCACAAATATCCAAGATCACTTGGTCATTCTCGAGTGTAAGATAATCCCAATCTCCTTCATCGTGTTTATAGTACTGACTTGCAATAGTCCCGCACTTTGCTTTCGATTCGAAAAGAGCTTGGTCTCAAGGGATCGTGTGTAGGATAACACCTCCTCCTTCAGTGTGGCTACTAACATGCAAAAGATTTGTGTCGCGGGGGCAAGGAATTCTGGTGCGGGAATCTGGTGCGGGCGCCGGTTCATGCCAACATGAAGACCACCAAGGCTGCGTAAGTGATTACTCCCGTCTTCTCTGCTCATAGCCTAGTCATAGATACTAATATTATTTTCTTCAGAAGCCATTCCACTGACATTGTGGAGCTCCGCCTACCCCTAGGCAATGTTTGCCGCTCCTGCCGGTGCGGCAACCAAGCAGCACCGACTGCAGGGGACATCACGAAAACCGGAGAAGACACCATCAAGTCTCCCGTCGACACCATCAAGGATCGTGTCGACAACATCAAGCATACCGTCGGCGACACCATCGCCGTCGCGGTTACCGTCAACAATACATTGTTGTCCGCGATGAGGCCCCTTTTCGATAGGGAGGTTTTCTGGGGTTTCTTTCAACCCGTTGCCGGTGGGAGTTTGTTTTTTTGACACCCCACCGGCCACTGCACCGCAGTGTGCAGCTGCTAAAAGGAGATTCGTCTCCAACACGTAAGTGATTCCTACCACCATCGCTACTTATGGCCAAGCCATACTGATATTCTTTTCTTCAGAATGGAAGCGTCGAATATCATGTGGCTGCCTACTACATTCTCCACAAGCAATTTTTGCTGTGTGCGCCAAAGGCTATGAAAAAGCCGCCTACCTTGTTGCGTTCCGGAGAGACCTCCGAACACCATACCGGAGCAGTTCGCAGCCACAGTCGCTTGTGGCGGCGCCGATGCCGAACCCGAAGCTCCCATGGGCTGCTGCTCGCAGAGACCTGCGAAAAGCCCAACACACCACGTGTTGGCGGCAAGTTGAACGCCAGGAGAACGGCACTGCCACCTTGGCTGCTCTTCGGGGGGCCAGCAACTAATGTTGCCGGCCCGTTGAGGCTAGTCGAAGTCACAGATTCCGACCAGGGCGTCGACAAATGTTGCCGGCCGCTTGAAGATGGCGGTGCAGCTGACGCTGGTTCCACCGACTGCTGCTCGGAGAGACCTCCGAGCAGCCAAGCAGCCGCGCAGCCGCGCAACGTTGTTGCCGGCGCGTGGAAGGTCGCGGGGTGCGGTGGCACAAAGGTGGAGAAGTCATTGCCTCTGTCGGTGGTACTCGAAAGAGGGGAAGCATGGATGCGGAACCAAAGGCTACCTCCAAACCACTGTCTCCGGACGACGCCGTATCCGTCTCGTCTAGCAATTCAGCAGACCGCTTCGAAGGAACCAATCTTGTCGCTGGGCCCGCCCATGACACCGTTCGTTTGGCTAGCACCGTTATCAAGCGGAATCGCTACTCTTATTCTTTCTTCAGCAGCAAGTCAACCAACTTACTGTGTTGCCGGCTCGTCGTTGGCGGCCGTTGAAGGCGGCGGCGACGCCGCCTTTGACTCCTGCTCGGGGAGACCTCCGAGCAGGCCGACAACACATGTTGCCGGCCCGCTACTTCGAGTGCTTCTCCGAGTGACCCCGAGCAGCCCGGTAACCGATGTTGCTGGACCTCGACTACTGCTCGGAGAGACCTCTCAAGCCAAGCAACCCATGTTGCTGGCCCGTTGGAGGTGTCGGCGACGCCACCTTTGGTTGCTGTTAGGGGAGGCTGCAGCAGCAAGTCGACCAGCTAGCTGTGTTGCCGGGCCTGGTGTCGGAGAGATGAGGAGCGCGAACATGTGGGTTTGCGAGATGTGCACCAACGACAAGAACCGCACCGCACCGTGTCGGTGAGGATGTGGACCAGTCGGTGCACCGGCTGCTGGTGGCTGCCAAACAGATGTTGCCGGCCCGTTGAGAGTGGCGGTGACGCCACACCCCGACAACCGATGTTGCCGGCTCGTTGAAGGCGGCGGCGACGCCGCCTTTGACTACTACCGACACCGACTCATCCGACCTCTCCCACTGCCTCACTAAGACGGACGGCTTCGACCTATAGCCTGGTCAATTCTCAAGAGTCGGCTCACCTTCCACGCGACGTGGCTTTCTACTTAAATTACCACAACCAATTTCCGCCAGAGACCGCCAACTCGACGAGGAGTGTTTCATCAACCGATCCCTTGATGCATCTCTCCGGAAACACATCAGCCTGCCTGGCGCAGATGGCCGAACTTCTTATCGATCAGCATAAGCGCCGGCGCGACGCGCAGATCGCGAACCGCCCACCCCACCTCGCCACCTTTGACTGCGATTCGGAGTTATCTCCGAGCAGCCCGGCAACATGTTGCCGGCCCAATGAAGGTGGCGGGGACGTCACCCGTGACTGCTGCTCGGAGAGACCTCCGAGCAGCTCGAGCAAGATTTTGCCGGCCCGTTGGGGGTGGCGGCGACGCCACTCTTAACTGCTGCTCGGAGAGATCTCCCAGCAGCTCCCCAACAGATGTTGCCGGCCGGACCGGCAGGGTTTACTCGACCAAAGTGCACCCTGATCTCAGGGTGCGCCGCGACCTGGCGGTTCGCGGCTACTGGTAGCCGCGAACCATGATGTTAGGAGGGCAGAAATTGGAATAATTTGCCTCGACGAGTTCGACAAGATTGCCAAACCTACGACGGCTGGCCGTCTTCCGGTCTTCCAAACATCCCCTTCTACGCGTAAGTGATTCCCCGCGTATACCCACCCTCGGATAGTGACTATTCCGAGGGTGATGCCACCGAAGTGGTAAAGTGCCTATCGCCGAGCAGCAGACGGCTCAGCAGAGTGCCACCGGTGGGTTACCAGAACTACGATTACACCATGTGCGCGTCCACGAGAATAATACCCTCCGTCGACCGGTCCGGGGGCCGGCCGCGGGCGGCCAGGCAGTAGTGACTGCCATGGATCTTTCCATCTCCCGCACCCAGCATCGGATCGGGGTGCCTTGCACCCCTTTCCTAATGGCCATACGTGGCCAGCTGTCAACAAGTACTCGGGAAGTACTTGGGTGGAGGTGTGGGGGGGGGGCCCCGCGAGGCCAGCTTGATCTGGCAATATAACAAGGAGAGTATTCTGGCACTTCTGGATAGCGGCGTTCGTCGGTATCAATCTGTGCCAGAATACTCTCCGTGGAGAACCCCGAGGTCTCCACCGCGCGAAACTGGAGTCGAACAGTAAACCATCAACTACTGAGAGCAAGCACTGCAGTCTGTTTCCCTTCGATGATACTGTTCTGGCCAGTTTCCGGCGCAATCGAAAATAGGTTTTCAGTCTAACCTGGATAATCAACCAGTTATCCAGGTTAAACTGGCGGATCAGTGTAGTGTCGGCGTTCAAGTGTCGGACCTCGGTGGTTTTGCGTCGGTGTGGATGGGTTGGTATGGATGGTCACTGTTGATGTCTCGGGCCTATTTGGCTTTGATCCGCACTTTGAAAATTACTTTGATTTTAGCAAAATCCAATTCTTTGCGGAGAGATACGAAGCCAAGGGCAAACATCGAGGCAGTCCAGCTCAAACTGGGCACTTCCTTGGGGCCTTTCATTTGGGCTGTCCGGCGGGGCGCCCGGAGAGCGCGGAGGGCGCGGAAGGCGCGGAGAGTGGGGAAGGCGGGGTTCCGCCCGCGTAGGCACGGAGGGGGGGATATATATCCCGGGCGAGCAGCAGTAGTAGCTAGAAACATAGCAATATAATGGAGCAGTTCGTTCTCGTATAATTATACATCAATGACCTTGCAAAGCAGTACCAGCAGCTGGCGGTGGCGTACCCAAAAAGACCTATCCCTGACACCATGGTATTTTAAAATTCAGGCCGAAAACCATGGCATTTTAAACATTTGCCGTTTTGTTTGATAATCATTGTATTCGACGTTATTAGATGATGCCCCATAAAGCGCAGGCGGTGCTTTCCGCGGTTTTTAATCGAGTGTCATTTCTCTGTGACATCCGTATTTGAGGTTTGCGCGTATATCCTTTTGCTCCGCCGCTCCGTGTAATCGAATAAACCCTATATTCGAACACGCCTAATAGCCAGCCCGAAGCTCTTCGATGAGAAGTGCCAGGCATCCGAAGGAGTTCATGCGATATCACTCGCTGCGGCACTGCAATCGTTGAAAATGAGAAAATTGCTGTCTCTATTGCGAGATACTTTGAACAGGTCTGATGCGCCTGAATGTGATATGTAATATGAGGTAGTTTTTTGATCCTGATTGTGGCTCAAGTGTTTTGGTGCGAGGCGTGCAAAACGTTATCACCTTTTGTCGTTTGAGACGTCTTATCTGCACACGAATCATAACTCCGATACCGTATTACACGTAATCATGGCCCGAGCACGGACATGAACACTTTGCCGGAAGTTTGCAGTTCGTTTAGTGAATTCTACGTATCCAGTGAGTTGAAATGTTGCTCTTCAGAAATCTGAAACAGCCACAGTTATAAATACCCGGTGCAGCCCAGCGGTCTTTGCTGTACGCGGGGATGGAGAAGGCCACATGGAAGACCAGCCGTTGCTCCTTACTCCTTGCTCCTTGCTCCTGGGTGCCACCCGCTACGGCTCACTCATGCCTCTTCTTCTGATCGTTAAGGTCCTAGACTCTAGACTCCTAGCAGTTCCCATCATCGGCTTCGTATGTAGCCGTGCCCGCCCTGGTCCCTGACTCCCCGTTGGATAAAAGCTGGTGGTTGAGATCGTTAGGCTCGGGGTTCTAACTTCTCCTCTCCCAGTTGGTCTATGTACATTTTTTTTAAAAAAAAACCGCCGGCCTTTTGATGCTTAATCGTGATTAACTGCCACCATAAAAAGTGCCCAGCTTTGTACCGGTAGTCAGAGTAGATCGCCGTGGCCCGTCCGGATTCTGCATGCGACCGCTCCTGTGAAACGGAAACGTAGTTCTACCACATAGGTATAGTGACGTAGTTTTCCTACTCCTCTGGACTCTGCTCTAGTATCAGAACTATGATATTGCGGATCCGCAAGCAAACGTGACTCGTGACCGAGAGGAGGGAGGGTTGTGACGGGCGTCCCCCGGAACTGCTTGTATCTCCAAGAGGTCCATGCTTTCCCTGCCGGCTGTTAGGACGGGACGGGGAGAGCAGCCCTTTCCGTAGTTACGGCAGATTGTATCGCACCTGTTTGGTTGCGGTGAAAGGGATCCAGATTTGGGTAGGTAGAGCTTATATGATTCTAGGATTCTATTCTGTTTGTGCTACAAGTTGGCGGACATGATTCCTCGACATGGGCGTGGATGTCGAAGTACATAGGCGTGAATGATGGTGGAGATACATGATGTCATTGGCGGGGAGTGGAGCTTGAGAATACCTAGGTGGTTAATAGAGGTAGAGACACCGGGCCACGTCGGATCGGAGCAGGAATTCAGGAGGAAACTGAGCAGTTCGACAAGCACATAGTCACAATACCGAGAAGCGAGCGATAGTTTTCTCAACAATCATCAATTCCCATTCTCGTATCCCAGAACCCTTGAAAAACAATCATTATTTCCCATTACCGTATCTCAGAACCCTTGAAGAAAGTATGTAGTATCAACCCAGCTCTCGAAACATTATCCATCGGCTCCACGGACAGACAAGACGCAGTAACGAGTGGCGCGTGATCGGCCGACTTGATTCTCTAACGTTAGCACTGTCACCACCGCCGAGGGTATATTCCACAAACCTCTAAGCGTCAGCAAGAACGAACTCCTCCATATCGGAGTCGGAGTCAGAGTCAGAGTCGGAGTTAGAGTCGGATTCACAGTTGGATTCACAGTTAGATTCAGAGCGGAAGTCAGAGCCGGAGTCCGAGCCGCCGTACTCAGCCACTGTCGATCCACCGGTGTTTTCGTCGGACACCTGCGCTTCGTAAACCTGCGCTTCGTACAAATCCTGTGCCATGAGAAAGATCTCTTGCGTGTGCAATAGTGCTTCCCTGAACTGCATCTCCTCCTCGAACTCCATCACTTCCTTGAGCAACTGGGCCTCATGATACAACTGGGCTTCATGATACAACTGGGCCTCCCTGAACAGAAGGGCCTCCTTGGCGTCGTAGAGCTTCTCGTCCTTGTCCTTGTCGTCGAACTTGTTGACAGCTCCATCTCCGCCGAGGCCGTTCTCGAGGTCCCTCTCGGGATGAAACTCGTCGAGGTGGATGCGAAAGAGGACCAACCTGATCGGGCGGTCGAGGAACATCAAGCAGGTGAGAGCGAAACCGGCCACGAAGCTGGAGGACGTAACGAGGCCCAGGTACCAGCCGAAGATGAAGCAGTGCGTCCTGTCAATGTCGGCGGCGTCGCACTTCTCTTGGTGGTCGGCATCGATGAGAATTGCCGTCGACCAAACGAAAAGGAAGACGCTGCCCACAAAGAGCAGAAGCATGGTGTAACGCATGCTGCGGAGATGAATCTGGCGGCGGTCGTAAGGAGTAAGCTGGCAGCGGTGGTAGGGAGTAGGAGCGAGATTCGGCATGGTGGGCCTTGGGGTGGGGTTGTGTGGGGAGATGTGGAGAGAAAGTCTTGTGGTAGAGGGTTGGGGTGTTGTGGTAGAGGAGGGTTGTGTGTTGTAGGAGAGAAGATGTAGGAGGGTCGAAGGTGATTGTTTAAGAGCGAAAGCGATGCTGCTGGTCGCCGTATCAGGATTCACTAGCAGCAACCCTTCAGAGCGTCTTCATCAGATATCACGCAGAACTCAGACCAGACAAAGCACGTGCAGAAGTTAGTGTACCTAGTTCAGCGTCATACATAGAACAGGAATTCTTGCGGGGCAATGGCAAAATCTCTCGCACCCTTTCTCTGGGGAGGCGGCCAGTCGAAATGCCAAGGTACTTCCTTCCACGTGACAATCCACTATCCACCAGCGAGGTAGCTTCTACCCATCTACAATAGTAAAGCCAGCCAGCCATCCTTTGCGTAATCAATCCGCTCTGGCCCTCTCGACTCTCAAGTTGGTTTCGTGATGGATGGTGATAAATGGATAGATGCGACTTCCGGGCAGCGGAAACACAGCTCACTGTACTTCGTGATAGACAACCTTCGGTCGAGTACTGCGCGGATGAGCAACCCATCCCAGGACCCAGGCCTCGGACGCTGGTCTCCCCTCTTTAAATCATCCTTCCTCTCCAAATCGTCCTTCCTCTTCCTCGTCTATTCGTCTAGTCTACGCATCATCCCCTCCACTACTACCACGTGCTCACAGCTCACCAAGTCGTCACCGAATGGAAAGGACAAATAGAGTCAGAGGTTTGGCTGAGCGTGATTTTCAGCTCGGGGCTGAAACAGACGAGCCATAGGTACTAAGCCATCACGTTCGGACTGGGGGATTGGGGAGATGATGGAATATTTGTGCGAGCAGAGTCGGTGCCTACCTACCTAGGTAGCGGCAAAGCGGGGTGGGTGGCTTGCACACCGAGAAAGCAGCAACTCCACGTTTTAGGTTGCTCGACAGCGCACTTCTGTGACCCTGCTTCTCGTTTGCCGCCCACACAGCAGCATCCACATTCTCACCCGCTACATCAATGATCACGCCGATCCCCAACAGACACTTTCTCACCTCCACGCCTTTTAACCAGCCTCGACTCCCGCAAAACTCCGTCAGCAAACCTACAGTACCGAATACACAAATGCAGCCACTTTTCACCATGACTCGGCTCTTCGCTGGCTTTGTGCTGGTGACGATGCTGCTCGACGCTCTTTTTGGCATTGTGGTAGTTAAAGTGCCTCACTTCAGCTACTGCAGCGCCTCCGACCAAACGACGCTCATCTTTAACCTGATCGTGAGCTTCATCTTCATTGTTTTCGTGGTGGCCGCCTGACAGATGTTCCTCAAGTTGAATTACAACGCCCCACACCGCTCAAGCACCGCCTCTTCCAAGGTCTGGTTGTTCGGCTCCTTCTCAATGGTTGTCGACACCGATACTCCGGACCATCCGGCACCAGCCAGTCGCCAACTCGATGTACGTGTCGGTGATTTGGTTTAATGTCCTCGGGCATCAATAGACCGAGTTGGGAACGGACGGATAAGATGGGAACGGACGGATAGGATGGGACGAACGGATATTGTGGGGCGGACGGATATTGTGGGGCGGACGGATATCTTGGGATTTGGTTTTTGCTCCTGTGTATCTCTTTAAATACTGTCTGTTGTCCGCTCTTTTTTGTTCTGTATCTAGCAATCACATCTCCATCTTTCTCTCACTCGTTTGCTCAGATCCGCTTGACAAAAGTACGCACAGAGGAATCGTCGGCTTCTACATCGCTGAAGAGCTCCCACCGCCACAAAGCTGAACATCTATGTGAGAAGGGGGGTTCAGTCTTCACATGAAGTGGAAGTCTCACGCCTATCGTCACAAATGAGTCACCTTGTCTTAATGGCTTCCTCCATGTGATACAAATCAAGCATAGGGACTACTACAAGCCCGCACGTGCGTTTCCCTAGGCTGTTGCGTGTAACTGTTTTTTCTTTCTGTTTTATCGTTATTAGAATATAGCCTATACACTATAGACTTAGCCATTGCTGAATGACTTCAGTGTATAGTGCTACGATTTAGTTAGGTAGCATGCAATCAATGATTAAACCAAAAACAAAGCGGTATGTACCTGGTACACTCCCCATTCCCCACTCTAACTCATCCCGCTGAGCCCGCTGAGCCCAGTGATCTTTTCACCCAGCTCCGCTCAGCTTCCACCCAACTCCCGGCTCTCACGCGGAACACGCCTTGCAACCCAGCGCAACCCACAGCGCAACCCACACCATCCATTCACTTGAATACTGCCGACCGATCAAGTACCTACCGTACCGTATATCCTCCCGCCTCTCGCCTCCCCCTTCACGCCTCTCCTCTCCACGCGCCCGAATAGGCAAACCGATGCGACACCAAGATGAGACGACGAGTGATTACGCGTGCGTGAGTGCGTGCGTGAGTGAGTGAGTAAGCTGCATCCGCACGTACGTACTCGCTGAGCTAGAAATTGATCAGCCGCGGGCTTCCTTTTACTCCCTCGACTCTCGAGATATTCGGATCGGTGCCGGTCAGGCAGGGCGGGGCGGGGTGGCTGGTCAACTGTGTACGGTAGGTAGGCGTGCAGGATGGGTGGTCGCGGATGGCCGATGGCCGATGGGAGAGATGATACATAGTATGTACTTAGTAGATCACCGATGAGGGAGCCCAGAGACCGATGAGGGAACCCAGAGACCGATGAGGGAACCCAGAGACCGATGACATTCCTATAACGCAGCACGGACAATAGGCCTACCAAGCAATCACGCGAACACCTGTTCAAAAACTACTCACGGTGGAGAAGTCAACAGAAAGCCTTGTGGGCAAAGGTTGGGAAGGAGACGGAGAGAAGGAAAGAGAGGTGGTCGATAGCTTGTTCGCCGACGAGCGGTGCAGCGAGGCAATCCTAGAGTTTCTAAGAACGACGGATGTGGGGAGGAAAGCTCCACCAGACCTGGAGGAGGAGGAGGAGGAGGCAAGCATCGCATTGGGAGCAGAGCAAGAGTTCCCAGCAGGGTACTGTGTCTGCGGCCGGTGCGAGGAAGTAGGAGATGAGGATATGCGGTAATATTCTCGTGGTGCTATTACTTTTGTTATTTGTTTGGCAGGCAGGCAGCGGCGCCACATCGTGCTGGCTGGTAACGGGGTCGCAACCCTCGGCCGGCCAGAGTGGGCAGGAAAGGAGTGCGACGGTTTGCCATAGTCTAGATAGGTTGCACGCGAAATAAAAAGGAAGATCTTTCTCTCTCTTTAACGCAGCACGGAGCCAATACCTCCATCAATTGGACGGAGATCCACTCACGACATCAACCAGGCGACGTACCCATCTACATATCCCATCTACATATCCCATCCACCCTATCACATCCACCACCACCACCACCACGTTCTCACCAGGCCAGACACGGGAGATTATGCATTGTTTGCAAGAGTAGAGTTAGTACCTACTACCACCTACCTGGTACAGACCCCACTCCCCACTCTAACTCATCCCGCTGAGCGGCTGAGCCCAGTGATCTTTCCGCCAGCTCCAGCCTCTCCCGCGCAACCCACACCATCCATCATCTGAAACGCTGCTGATCGATTAACTATTCGCGAGCCCGAATAGGCAAGCCGATGCGACCTCGTGATGCAATGACGACTGATTACGTGTGAGTGAGTAAGCTACATCCGTAGGTAATCGGTCCGGACTCCGAAGTGCTACGGACCGTGAAAATCGTTCAGTTATGGGCATCCGTTCGCTCCCTCGGGATATGCGGACCAGTGCTGGTCGAGGTAAGGTGGGATGGAATGGCTGGTCAACACTGTAGTCGAGCAGCATGGTCGCTGGTGGTCGACGGAGGATGATACTTAGATCACCGATACAGACTCATGGGGAACCCAGGGACCAATGACTCCTGGAACGCAGCACTGAGCTAATACCTCTATCAGTTGGCAGTGAGTTCCCTCACGAAATCCACACCACGCCCTACCACGGGAGGTACCCATCCCATTCCATCCCCCCCCATCCATCCCATTCCATCCCATCCAACCTATCCCATCGCTTCACATCAGATCAGATCAGATCACATCACAAGTCACGTCTCATTCTCATCGCATTGCATGCACAAACCAGGAAACCAGCTCGACCGTAACGCCGTCCGTCTTACTATTCTCTCCGCTTCTCCCCCATCTCCCCCATCTCCCCTTCCTTCTCTCCCCATTCTTCTCCCCATCTCCCCATCTCCCCATCTCCCCATCTCAACCGCCCTGACACGCATGTAAAGCAAACACATTAACCCCCCCCCGTAATGAAAGCTAACAGTAAGTAACGAGGTTACTAAAAAAAAGAAGAAAAAAAAGGGCATCAAAGTACAAACAAAATAACCCCATTCGGACCGCACCGCACAGCACTCACAAACAAGCAAATGGAAAGGAGGAAGGAGGAAGGTAACATTCATAAGGCTGGAAAAAAGATGAAGATGAAGATGAAGGACAACGAAAATAAACTCCCTCCATCCCTCCATCCCTCCATCCCTCCATCCCTCCATCCCTCCATCCCCCTTGTCTTCCTTCGTGCATCGTCGTCGTCATCATACATAGCATGGTCGTAGACGTGGGCGTACATACTCCTTTATGATTTCGCTGTGGCCTTCTTCTTTCCCTTCTTCTGCTTCTTGGTCTCTTTCTTCTCGGCTTCTGGAGACTTCTGCTCGGCTGGCTGGGAATTCCCCAAGGTGCGGGGTGTATCCTCTGCACGGAGTTTCTCGTCTGCACGGGGTTTCTCCTGAGTGTGGGTCTGCTCCTCAATCTCCGGAGATTTCTGCTCTGCTGGCTGGGCATTTCCCGTGGTGCGGGGTATCTCCTCTGCACGGAGTTCCTCCTTGGTGGGAGCTATCTCCTCCTTGATGAGAGCTGTCTCCTCCTTGACGACATCCGTCTCCTCCTTGGTAGCATCCGCCTCCTCCTGAGCAGCATCCATCTCCTCCTCCCCGGGCACACGCCCATTTGCTCTAACTCCGGCCTCGAACGCAATACTGCCGAGCTTCGGCGTACCGCAGTCCGCGTCCTCATCCTCAGTTGCCGCGGCATCACGTTCGCGCTCTTCATGTTCCTTCCGGATCTGCTCGAGGCGCTCCTTGCTGTCCTCGTGTCCGACTTGAAAGCCGTACGGATGCACGTCGCGCGAGCTGGTCGAGAAGTGCGATACGTGCGCGTGGTGCTCGAGACCGTCGTCGGGTACGAGCGCCGACGGGTTCATCTCCATGTGGCCGTCCGGGCCGGGGTGCATGTCCCTGAGCAGACACACATACTCCTCTGGTACCAAGCCGGACTCCCCTTGGGCCTGTTAGCTTGCTGATATAGTGTCGTTCGGACCCGGGGAAAGGGGATGCATACTTGTTTTTGGGTCCTCGGCGACCAGCCAGCCCATTCCGTGCCGATAGCTGACCCACACCACCTGGCCCTCCACCAGTGGCAGTTCGTTCTCGTTCTCCTGTATGAAATCGAACAGAGCCACCGCCTTGCCGTGCATCTCCTCTGCGGGGCTAGCGATCGTGAACTGGTAATCCCTGCTGAAGCGCGAGCTGTAGTCTGCGAACGAGTCCTCGCCCTCGACGTTGAAATCCGGGCCCTCGTCGTCGGAGTAAACGTAGTCCGGATCGTAGTAGCCGGCGCTGTGCGGATTGTACTCGTCCACCTCGGCGAGATGGTAGAGCTCGCCGCCCGGCTCGCCATCCTCCAGATCCTGCGGTCCTGCGCTTGTCCGGTAATAACTCTCGCCCAGATCGCTGCCGTTGCCGGTGCTCCGCCTCCGCACCGCCCAGTCCCCCTTCGTGCCCGGAAAGTGCTGCAGCTGCGTAGGTGTCAGGGTGTTGCTGCCGTTGTGTGCGCGCGAATGGTGGCTCTGCGGCACACTCGACTTGTGTTTCCGATGGACCGCGTGTTTCGGCACCACCACGGGACTCTGCAGATCTTCATCCTCGCTCCATGGCGGTCCGTCGGCAAAGTTGAGTGGCGGCGGTTGATTGTTCTGACCTCGTCGGAACTGTACCCCGAAATCGTCGCCCCAAGGATTCTCTCCCGACACGGCTGGATCCGACAGCCGGCGGAACCACACGCCGCTGGCCGCCACCGCCTCCTGGAGGTCCACGCCTGGCGTCGTCGCCCCCGCCGCCATTGTCGGTCCATAGTGCAGAGGGTGGACAGGCGGGTATGCGAAATCCCTGACACTTGCGTACGACAGTGACGACGCAAACTGGGGGCGGAAGCGGCCGTCGTCGTCGTTATCGCAGGGCGGCGAGGTTAGCGAGATGATGGAGATTCTCGTCGAGGGCTGCGGGGTGGTCGGGAACGATGGGATCGTGTGGCCTTTGGTGCTGGGATTGGGGCTCGGACACGGGCTCGGCCCACGCACGCCGGGTGACGACGAGAGTGGCAGCTGTGAGGGGCTGGGTTTGGGGGCTTCTCGCGACGGATTGGACGCCATCGATAACCGCTTCGTGGGCGTATCGGGAGGCGACAGTATCCGAGACCGACGATTAAGGCGCGACGAAGCTTCGGCGGCGGCAGGGTTGGGGCTAACAGCGGGGTCCCTCAGACCAGGCGCGGGCATCGGTGGCATCAGGGCGACCGAGGGAGCCGAGGAGGCCATGGTTGTTGTGTTATCGGATGGTTCTGCGCTGACCATGGATGATGAAATTGAGGGCGCAGAGGTCAGGGAAGTTCAGGAGTTTGGAGATGGGGGGGCGTCCCGACGACTGCTGGTGGAGGGGGGAGGGGGAGGGATCGCTTGCAAGCGGTTGTGGTAACGAAGGCTAAAAAGGGATGTACGTATCGACGAAGTCGAAGGGGTAAGAGAACAGAAGCCAGACCAGCTGCAGTTATTTTTTCTGAAGAAGCGACGAACGATCGAATGGCAAAGGAGTAGTTTGCGAAGAAAGTAAAGCGGAGAAGCCAAAAGAGACTTTGGACCGTGACGCAGTAGGGGGGTCGGGAAAGGGAGAATGGAGGAGATGAAAGGTGGCGGTGCGGCAAGAGAGACGGAGGTGGGTGGAGGAGGGGGGGGAGGGAGAAGAGGAGGAGGGGCGGAGGGTTTGAGGTGGATTTTTTTTGGGAGTGGAGAGGTGGTTTGGAGGAATGCGATGACGGACGGACGGGGGGGTGGTCTCGAATGCAGGTGAGTAATTGGGGGGTGGGTGTTGGGGAATGATGGGCAGTGGTGGAGGTGGAGGTGGTGGTGGTGGTGGAGGTGGAGGTGGGAGTGGTGGGAGTGAGGCGAGGCGAAGCGAGGCTCAGTTCAGTGGCCAGTTTGGCGCCCTCGAATGGTGAAGGCGAGGAGCGGACTGGATGGTTTAGTGGTGGGCCAGTCTGTGCGCCAGAGGCGAATGAAGAGCAAAGTCATGCAGGCAATAGACGCAGACTGGGGGACTTTCCATCATGTGTTGGGGCCGATGACTGGACGGGCAGCCGACGACATCACAGAGGTCTGCACGAAGGTACGGTACTTGCTATAGGTACAATGCAAACTGCCTATCGAATCCATCGAATCGATACGGGAAGGAAGGACGATGGACGACGGTATGCGAAACGAGGAACCCTGAATGGCAGGCACGGGTGCCGGTAAGTGACCTACCAGGTAGCTGTTCGAGCGGATGTGGGCGGGCGATATGAACGCTGACGATCACTCTCCAGGAGTGCTCCGAAAGTCTGCGCCCCTGAGGTGGTTGGCAATCATCAATCAATCATCCATCTCCCGCCGTGCGATCTATGTACCAGGAGCTGCCAATAAGCGGTGCCTCACCACCATTACGAATGAGAAGCACTAGTCTGTATTGGGAGCGCACTAGTAAGCCAGATACACTTAAACGAGTGAGTGGTTGTGACTAAGTTGTATGGGGGAAAAACTGGTGAGGCAGCACTTACCCTTACACCCGAGTACTACGGAGTAGCTATTTGCCTACTCTATTTTTGAAGCGCCCGAAGAATGCGAATCGAAGGCACATCGAAGACACAGGGTTTGGTCCCGTCATCCCCCCTTCCGTCACGACGATCCGACAACCAGCCTCCTATCGTAATGCCGATGGTAATGTGCCAAACCCAACCAGAATTATCCCGTCAGTGGTAGACTACCGGTACATGTGGCTGACGGATCAAGGCCGGGGCTGTCGAACCCAGGAACCACGTTTTGAACGATATCAACTTGGAATTGCTGCCCGCCGAACCGCATGTGAGTGAACGTGACTGTGACTGTAGGCTTGTATGGCGAACTAACTGGCCTGAACGTGAAGGAAGCTGTTCGTCCGTATGGTAGGTGCCTGCGTCGGAGATCGGAGACTAGAGACCCGCCCGCCCATCCGCCTTGATGATTTGTCCTCTAAGAATCAGGCACTTGGGCTGAGTGGCACCTACAGAGCAGCTCGTGGGGCATTGCAGAGTAGGTGCTATACGGTTTATCCGAGTCGTCTTCTTTGGCTACGGCTACGACCGGGCACATTATTCCATCGCACCAACGGCCATAGCCTTGGATGAATGGCCATAGGAGGGAAGCCGAAGATACCTGTGAGGGCAATTCGCAGGAATCATCACGGCCGCGGCGGGGATCAACGTCGGCAGAACTACTTGCCTACCAAGTACCTTCTGCCACCTGCTCCAATCCGCCTGCTCCACATGAAGGTAGATACTCTACACATAGTATGATACAACATCCACATCAGCACGCTGCAATGCAATGCAAGGGCTTCACCCTTCATCCTTCGCGCTCGCCGACGATGGAGAAGACAAAGATGATGCCGAAGAAGCAGGACTCTGCATCGGGAGTGTTCTAGTCTCTGTCCTCTCGCTTCCTCATCCCCTTCCCTTCCACCCTTCTGTTTTTTCCATTCCGGGGTGTGGACTGCGGTTGTGTTCTCTTCGTCAACTTTTCCCCGAGACAGATGCGCATCTGCATCTTCGGCGCTTGAGACCAGCAACCAGCCCAGCAATCAAAGATGTTTCCGCGCGCGCTGCGCTGAGCTGCAGGCCGTCCAACCAGACAGACTCTTTTCTCCGCAGCAGCTCGCCAGAAAGCTCTCCTCGGCGTGCAATCATCTTGCCTGTCCCTCGCGTCCCCCCGCTCGCTCGCTCTCTGCCAAGCCAAAATCGTCGGCGGTTGCGGTAGGGCACTTCCTTCTTTGCACTTTCCTCTTTTATTTCTTTTCCCACTTTTTTTCTCCTGTGCCTTTTCACTTGCGGTTAGTCCAGGACGTGACTGGTTTCACAGTTTTCGCCGCTCCGGTCGCCTATGTCAACGCCAGCTTTCTTTCCTCCTTCATCTCCCTCTTCCATCAACACCACCAACATCACCACAACCAACATCAACCACCGTCTTTCTCTACACCACCATCACCATCATCGCCACCCGTCTCCAATAATAAATCCCTGCGCGATCTCACAGCAACTGGTATGTTTATCCTCAGCTACTCGCACCTACGCGCACACGCACAAACTTTCCCACTTTCCCACAACTGCCCCTCATGTGATGAATTAAGATTATATTGGAGCTGTCTTAGTCGTTCCTCCTTTATCAGGGGAATTGGCGATGCGGATAGACATCTAGAGGCTTTTTCTGACTTCCCCCGTCTTACCCCACTTTTCCTCTCGCGAAAACCCAAACCGAAACACGTGTTGCAAAAGCTAACGGTCTCGAAAGAACCTAGAATCGTGAAACACACCAAGAAGCGACACCGACATCTACATCTACCATCGCAATGGCCACCACCGCAATGGAAACCCAGCCGCCGCATGAAGGCATCTCTACCAGCGGAGCCGAAGACTTTCCCCTCACGTTTTGCACGGTCTGCGCCAGCAACCAGAACAGGTTTGTCCCCGCTTTTACTGTGTCACTGTCGACTTTCTCTTCCGCGTGCATCTGCGCATGCCGGTATCGTGAACCACTATGGAGGGCAGCAGCTGGAAGCTTGGGACAAAAGGATATCAAGGGCCACGCCCACTATGTAGAATATAGACATCATGCACCATCTCGCTGCACTGATCAATCCTGTGTACCTGCTCTGTCTGCGTTGTTCGTCGATGAGGCAGCATGATCTGCTGTCGACGAAGAGGCGGAGACGGATGCGAGTCAATATCCACACTCGTCCACTGCACTCCACCCATCCCCGTCAAGCCCGTGCTGCTGCCCCTCCAAGCGACCCCCACATCCCACGCCCACCGCGCGCGCGATCTAATCGTTCCGAACCCGCGCTGAGAACCCCCCCCCGTGTTCACAGATCAATGGAAGCGCACCTGGTCCTGTCGCTAGCGAAGTACCCCGTGATCTCGTTCGGCACCGGCTCTGCGGTGCGGCTGCCCGGCCCGTCGATCGACAAGCCCAACATCTACAGCTTCAACAGCACCACCTACGACGAGATGTTCCAGGAGCTCAAGAGCAAGGATCCCCGCCTGTACTCGGCAAACGGATTGCTGCAGATGCTGGATCGCAATAGACACATCAAGGGACATCCGGAGCGCTGGCAGGATTGGAAGGTGGGCGTGCCGAGGCTGGAGGGGAGTGGGGCTGTGGGTGGGGGAGGGGGGGAGGGCGTTAAGGAGGGCGTTGTGGACGTCGTCGTCACGTGCGAGGAGAGATGCTGGGACGCTGTGCTGGATGGTGCGCCCCCCCTCTCTCTCTCCCCACCTTCACTCCGCTAACAGTGAATATTGCAGACCTAACCAACCGCAACTCCCCTCTCAACCGGCTAGTGCACGTAATCAACATCGACATCAAGGACAACCACGAGGAGGCGATCGTGGGGGGGCGCGGGATCCTGGAGCTGGCGAACATGCTCACCGCCGCTGCGAAGGAGGAACGCGATAGGGCTGATGCCGACGGCAGACCGTTTGAGCGTGGCACCGTGGATGCGCGTGTGCCAGAGGTCCTCGGAAAGTGGCAGGAGAAGTGGACTAATTTGCCGGCGCTGTGGAGTGTGACTTACTTCTAGGGGGTGGGGCATGGGAGGGGCGTTCGGTACGTTTGCTTGGGATGGATTTGCTTTGCTTTTCTTTGGTTAGGTTTGGTGATGGTGGCTGTGCTTGATACTACTGCACTTCACTGCTACTACCTATACTATACTGTTTGGTTTCTACTTTCGTTGATTACCTTCTGCTGGCTGTTCTTGGAATACTACTGCTATGCTACTATACTACTTGGTTCCCACTGTACTTGACGGAACGAGTGGGAAACGGGTGATCTCTTCACCTTTGCGTCAGCCATGGCTTGGTCAATGGCAATCATAGGATCAGCTAATGGCGGGGCAAATTGAGGCACGAGTGAGTGAGTGTGCATACCTCGTATGCCGACCTAGTATCTACGGCTGCAGATTGAGACTTGAGCGGGTGATGGACGTGCTCGAGGGTAAAGCATGACCAGGAGGGGATAAGAAGATACCCGATGATGATGGATTATGTACGAGTGCCAATCTAGTTGGTCGATGATGGGAAGAAATCAAATCCCTCCACATGTCAAAGCATTCTACCGTACATACTGTACTCGAGTGTAAGCGTAAGTGCTGCCTCACCTTGAGATTATAATACGTAATGGTGGTGAGGCACGACTTATCGGCTGCACGTTCCCGGTGCTGTAGCTGTCATCTACAACCCGCACTCCTCCCACTTCCACTACAACTCCTATTCCTACTCCAGATAAATACCGTAATGGCAGTACCTATCATTATCGTTAACCAGCTCAAAATCCGTGTACCAGTGAGTGAGACCTCAGAGAACATCAATTGATTATCGCATGCGGTGCGGCCTTAACTACAGTTTACTACGGTAGACTACGGCAACCACCAACTTCCCTTCCCTTCCCGAGATTTTTCCTGCCAGCTCCGCTTGAGAGAATGCTCCATCCACAACCACGGCCCGTTTCTACGCTGCTACCTACCGACCGATAACCAACCAACCAATTTTACATTGGAAAAACATGATCACCTCCTGCAAATGCAATACCGGCCCGCGAGAATTCCTGTTCGACTTCATACCCAGGTGGCGGCGCTCCCCTCTTCGGCTTCTTCCTCCTCCTCCTCTTCGGCTTCACCCTCCTCGGCTTCCTCCTTCTCGGCTTCCTCCTTCTCGGCATCCTCCACCTCCTCGGCCCCAGCCTCGGCCTCTTCTACCTATCGTTGGGATTTTCTTCCCCACGTACCTATTCTAGCACTGCTTCCGATCAGGAGCCATGTTTATCTCATCCCATTCGCAAATAGGTTACAGGTCTGCCGTGCTCTATTTCCTCTCCTCTTTTCCTCTCCTCGTTTGCTTTCTTTCTCCGTATCATTTCCCGTATCATTTCTGATCTTGATAGATAGTTACCAGTATACAGGAATAGGTATCAAGCCCTTAACCGATTACGAGGGCAAACCCCAAGCGCAGAAGCAGCACTGCCACGACCGCGCGGCAGCGGTAATACTATCGGGCCGGAAGGAATTCCGGTAACTCTAACTACGAATATCCGGAGTGGTACGTATTCCCGGCTCTACTCCGCACCGGCTCTAAGTACACCGGCATCGGAAGCGGCACCGGCGCCGGCAACCATCGAGGTCCGACCATCCGAGCAAGGAGTCCTGTCAGCAGCATTATCGTTCACGACATCTCACTCCCCCCTCCACCCCCTGCCAGTCCGTCGACGGAAGTGGTTAGTGCGTGTGCAGAACTCAGGGCCACCCTGGGTCCCTGCCAGCCTGCCAGGATGCGGGCGCTGTTTTTCTTTTTCGGAGAAATCAAAACGATCGAGGCGAGAAACATCACGGGAACGCCGCGTCGGGACGTGGGGCTTGCTCGCTCGACAGCAGGGCGAGAAGAAGGCGTGTCTCTGGGAGATGATGTTGGTGCTGCTGCTGGTGATGCGGGTGGTGGTGGTGCTGGTGGTGGTGCGGGTGGGTGGGGGAACTAGTGCGAGGTGCGTGCCCGCCCGCCCAGAGCTCATGTCTGTGTCTCTCTTATGATCTGGCCGGACTCGGGTCGGTGGTGGCCCCCCCTGCCTAGACAGGTCTGTCAAGACGAGACGAGACAGGAACACCGCGAGGACTTCGACATCGCGACTCGACAATTGCACCACCATCGACTCCTTGACTGAATCCCGATTGAGAGAATTCCCATGTTAAGCGTCGGCGTCGTGACTCTTTAGCGTCTGTACTCGGCGGCTGGAAGTTGGCTGGAAGTTGGTGGTGGTTTGCGTTGCGGAGAACACTCATCGTCAGGTTAGTTACCTACTCTACCTACCTGGTTCCTCGCGCCCTGGGAAAAGTGAAGTGAACAAGTTCTCCACGGAGGAGACACATATACGCCCTGGAACTGCCCTTTCAACCTCCCTGCCATAGCTTCCACAGTTGTGTTCTGCAGCGACCCGAGAAAGCTACAAGAAAAAAAGGGGGGGCCGACACCTTCGACGAACTTCCTTCTCTATACCGAGCTATCCGAAACTCGACGAACGAACCAACACCGAGCCATACCAGGGTTGCAGAGCAGAAGATCCCGTCGTTGTTGCTAACGGCCCTTTTTTCCCAAGCACCAGCACCAGACCAAACCAGAGATCGCTCGCACTCCCCTTCCTCCCCCAATACACACCCACCCACACACGCACTTACACACACCACCCGAAGACGGTCAACTCTTTCCATCGCGAAACCCACACCCCCATTCCCGACTTCACGCCCTCTCGCATATACCTCGGTCCGGTCGAGCAAGTCTCGTTGTGCTACAGCATAGCTAGGCAGTCGTTGCCGACGGGTGTCGTGTTCATTGAACGGAGAAAGGGGGTTCACGGAAAAGTCGCTGCGACCATTCGAGACGTTTCACTGCACAGGCGTCGACGAAGGCACAGTCATTCTACTATACTTCACGCCCCACCCCACCTCCACCCCCCTCCCCATACCCCACTACGTTGCGATCGCGATTGCTGTCGCTCGTCGAGATCCTGGAAACTTAGAGTAAAGATCGGACGTCACTGGTCTCCTCCAGGTGCCCTACGATATACCTGAAACCACCCCCCAATCCACACCCCCCGCCAAGAACACGATGAACGCGAATGATCCCCCGAGTCCGCAGAGCCCTCCAACCATCCGAGGTCATGAGAGCGGCAATCTATCCATCTCGATGAACAACGGCAATGCCAACATTCCGCGCTCCGCCCTCTCTCCCGTCTCCGTCGCCGGCAGCGACTGGTCCGGAATCAAAAACTACAACTCTCCCGAGAACGATCTGATGTTTGGCGGGCCCCCGAGCAGTAACCCGATGAGCGGCCGCCACAACGTCTCGCCGCCCGCCTCGATCGCCCGGAGCTCCGACGGCACCGGCCTGTACGCCTCGAGCGAGGGCTCCGTCACGCTCAAGAACATCGCGCTCGAGGAGCAGGTGGCGCTGCACCACACGGCACTAGCGAAATGGCTGCGCGACTTCCTGCGGACGAAGGGCAGCATCCGGCCAAACCGGGCGCGGGACAAGCTGCTGCGGCTGTCGGTTATCCAGTTCCAGGAGCTGTCGACGGACGTGTACGACGAGCTACAGCGGCGGGAGCCGGGGTCCACGGGCGAGGAAATCCCCGAGGGCGACACGCCGCCGTTCCTGCCGCCGAAACCGAACTTCCACGAGAAGCGCAACCAGGCGCGGCAGAAGCTGTCGACGCTCCCCGCCGAGCGCTTCCGCGACCTCGCCACCGACGTCTTCTACGAGCTCGAGCGGCGATTCCCCCGCTTCCAGTCCGGCCTGATCCCGCCCATCACCTCGCCGACCAATTCCATGGATGGCCGCGGAATCCCGCCGATGGGCGGCCGGGGCTCGCCGGGAATGCCGCCGCGAATGGGCTCGCCGGGCCCGATGCGAGCGGGGAGTCCGGGCCCAGGCATGATGCGCCCCGGCGGGCCGTACCGGCCTGGCCCCAACGGACCACCGGGCACACCAGGTGGCACGAACGGCTACCGCGGGGCACCGCGCGGCCCGCCGCCGCAAAACGCGCCACCGGGGCCCCCGCGCGGTCTCATGGGCCCCGACGGTCAGAACTCGTTCGGAAGACCGCTACCGAAAACGTTTCAGAATAACACTATCATCCCGAATAAGAGCACTATGGTCGAGGATGATGATGGCGATGACGACGACGATATGGACGCGTTTGGGCTCGAGGATAATGGCCACCGCCGCAGCAATGACCCTGGCAGGAGGGAGAGCGCCAGGAGTATGGCCAGTAGGTCCGGGCATGATGTAAGTTGGCTGGTTTCTGTCCCTTGTGGAGAATGCGGACTGACAAGGTGTGTGTGTGCAGGCGGATAAGAGAGTCATCGCAGAGTACCAGAGCAAGGTCGAGATTCTACACGACAAGGTTTCAAGCCTCGAGGCGAGTCTGGAGGAGAAGGAGGAGGAATTGAATCTTTTCAGGACCTCGGGCGGCGGCGGCGGCGGCTCAAGGGATCAGGATGTTTGTTCTCTTCACACTCCCCTTACATATCGCTCGTAATGTGGCTGTGGCTGACGTAGTTTCCCGTGTCACAGCATGACCAGCAGCGCGAATGGGATAACCTCCGGCACGAACTCGAGGGGAAACTGGCGGATGCTGAGAATCTGAATAATAATCTGCGGTCGGAGCTCGATAGGGTCAAGGCGGATTCGGCGGCGAGTGAGCAGTCGCTACAGCAGCATGTGAGGGATCTGCAGGAAGAAGTTGGACAGCTGAAGAGGAGTGGAGGCGGAGGTGGTGGTGGAGATGGAGGTTCTGCCGAATATCAAGAATTGCTACGACAACATGAAGATCTGAAAATGGATTTGAGGGAGCAGGAAGAGGTATGCTTTGGGCTTTGGGCTGTTAGTGGTGTCGAGTGCGGTCGTGATGCTGACGAAGACAGGTTACGGAGGAGGTTCGCAAGGAGGCGATGGAGTTTCTCAAGCAGATGAAGGACATTTCCGAACGAGCTGATGAGTCATATGAACGGGAAGAGAGGCTCCACGCGCAAATCCAAAAGCTTCAGGGCGACGTACAGGAGTGGAAGGCGCGGTACGCGAAGGCAAAGACGACGATCCGGTCCATCCGAAGCTCGACCCTCGGACTTCAGGTGCCAACCTCGGGGGGACTGTTCGGGAAGGAGGGAAATCTGGTCGATGCCAATGGCCTCGTCAAGGCTGTGCTCCTCACAAAGTTCCAGATCTCGATCGACGAGCTGCTCAAGGTCGCCCGCGGCATCAACTTCCACCAATCGTTGGACCAGGTCAAATCGGTCGTGATGGCGACTCGCGCGCTAACCAAGGGACTCGAGCGGGACCAGAGCGAGGCCGTTAACCGGGCGAAATCTCGCATCTCGGCCACGGCGAACAACCTCACCACCGCGGCCAAGAACCACGCCACCGGCTGCGGACTGTCGCCGGTATCGCTGCTGGACGCTGCCGCATCCCATCTCACCGCGTCTGTCATCGAGCTGGTCAAGCTGGTGCGCATCCGCCCCACGATAGAGGGCGAGTCCGACGAGGAGGAGGAGTTCGTCCCCGAGCCGCCGAACGAGGATTCTCGCTACGAGGTGCCGGTGGGTGACCATGATTCCTCCACTTACCACGTAAACGGCGGCGGCTCCGGTGGCCACCGCAACAGCCACGGCCACGGCAGCAATGGCGGCAACGTCAACGTCAACGTGCCGGAGCTGGACGTGAGTGGAGCCGAAAACCGGTTAAGTAACGATTCTTTATATAGTCCGCTCAACTCGCCGCGGGGCAGCAGGAACGGACCCAGGAGTAGAGACGGGTCCGCGCTACTGGGCAGTACCATCGGCACCGAGAGCAGGCATTGGGGCAGCGCGCCGCCGCCGCAGTTCGCGAGAAGCGAGGTTGAAGAGCTCAGGGTAGGTGCACTCGATTTTCCTATGCCCCCAAGCCGGAATATGCAGTATGCTTGATTGATTGATTTGATTGATTGGCGCCTTTGTTTTTTGTTTTTTTGTTTTCTTCCTGACTGCTGCTTCGTCCTTTGTTGCCCTTATTTCCGGTTTAATTGCCTCCTACTCTTTTTCTTTTTTCATCCGGACTGTTGTTTTGCGCTTTTTCTTTCATTGGTGGGGTTTGATTGTATAAACACCATAGACCTTGAGGTTGCTTGTTGTCGGTTTGTTCAATTTGTTTTCTGGTTGTTTTCTTTTTTCTTTTTTCTTCTTTTTTTACTGCCCGCCGCTCTTGTTTACTGCTACATATGGGACACGGAACAGGACAGGACAAAACGGACATGTAGAGGAACATTATACCATACCTAGAGGAAAATGACGATACCTTTACCCTCCCTCACTCCCATACCACGCTCCTCTACATATGTAGAGTGTCCCTCCCCTGTCCCTGTCCTCCTTCCCTATGTGGCACCTCCCTATGCGGAAGGCGTGCCCGTCCCTCCTTGCCGCGCGTCTCTCCCCCCAACCCTCCCCTGTCACCTACCACTGTCTTGTCTCACACGCAACCATCCACTAACGCCCACCCCCTTCTGGTAGCTCTTCCTCGAAAACCAAACCAACGCGATCGTAGAATCGATCCAGTCCCTACTGGAAGCGATCAAGGCGGACAGCTCAGCGGGGCAGCTATGCGCGCACATCCTGTCGATCGAAGCGGTCGTGGGGAAAGTCCTGTCCTCCACCGAGGCCGCGATGGAGAATCACGCGCTCCGGGACCGCGCTGAGTGGATCGTTAAGAATCTCGGCGCGTGTCTGGAGAGGATGGTGGGTATGAGGGTGGGGCTGGGGAGGGGGGAGGGGTTGGATGCGGATGGCGGGGACAGAGTGGCGAAGGATGGAAAGTCCAAGCTCGCGGGGCTCGCGTTTGATATGGCACGAGAGACGAAGGAGCTCGTGCGTACGGTCGAGGATATCGATAATGAAAATAGGAGGCAGATGGGTGTGAGCGTGGGCCCGGGGGTGGATTTGAGTTGAGCGGACGGGACGGGACGGGGCGGGGTGGGGTGGGGTGGGGTGTAATATATGGATGAGCGATGTGTGAAGATGGCTGGATGGGGGGATGGTTTCGATTCGTGGTTGTAGTTATACTAGCTTATATATCTTCCTTTGGTTTTTGGTTTGGTTTTTTTTGTGAGGAACGATTCAAATGGATTATGTTTCATCCTCAGGAGTCGGCTCTGCTACCTCCTCGCGTTTTGCATCGCCGTGGTTGGCTGTGGACCTGTGGTTGGCTGTCGAATGGAATAGGTACCTAGAGTCCTAGACTGTCGGTGCGAACGCTGGTTCGTGATCGTGATAGGATTGCCGCCATCTACTAGTACCGAGTACGGAAGCCTCCCGAGGCAACGGGAGCACCGTGGTGCCGGTACACAGGTGATGTGCGGCATCTAGTTCAGGCGAACCTTAAAATACCATACTAATTCCCGATTCCCGACGAGCACATGTGACACGCATGCCTTAGCATCTTGCTTTCGAAAGTAGAAAGTTGAAACTTGTGGTGGAAACTGAAAACCCAGTATACTGGAGCTGGGAGAGCTGGCACGTCGATTGTGGCGGTTTGTTCGCTGGAACAGAGTCGTGGAGTGAAGTCGTGGAGTCGTGGACGCCGGAAACTTTCCTCCACGGCTCAAGGCCCCGAGATCCGAGAGAGAGTAGGTTTGCAGGTTTGGTTATAATCCTAACCAATTGCACGTGACTCATCTGGAGTAGAAGCGTGAGCAGCCGTAAGGTGAATTGGCAGGGAGCTGCGACGCAAGTGGGTGGAGATTTGTGATAGGTGAGGATTTGTGAGGATGCTTACCCAGAGAGTTGTTGCCGTGTGGGAGCGCCGCTTCATAGCATCAAACTCGCCCGACTTGATTGATGAACAAGAGCATGTGCTCAAGAGCATGTGCTTTGTGGTTCAGTTTCTGCCAGTCCTGGTAACAGGGGAATTCCGGCTCTGTCCGCTTCATTACTAAACCGACAGGCGACAAGTGAATACTGTATTTGATTATTTTGATATCAACGGAACGAAAAGGACTTCCGAAAAGAGTGATACCCCATGAGGCAGAGTTTGTGACCCTGACCGGTTGTCACTCCCATTTATGGGCGTTGTACCTACTCTACATACCAGGGATTTCTCGCGCAGTGTTGCCAAGCGTTGTGATTTATAACACAGCACCGCGAGCCCCGTATTTGGCTCTCGAGGAAGTAATGAAGGATTTCTGTTAGAGGGGATGAAGCGGAAGTGGTTAGTATAGTAGGGAGCATCAGCGTTGGCGGGTCCAGCGAGTTGTTGGCGTGGGGGAGCTCCGCTTCATGGCACCAAACTCGCCCGGTTTTGTTATTCAAGAGCACGTGCTTTTTTTGTCGTTCAGTTTCGGCCAGTTGAGGGCACAGAGCCATTAGGCTCTCTTCGCTACGTTACATAGCGACAAGTGATGAGCGAGGACTCGATTTGATACATATCGGAACGATCCAAAAGGACTGAGGAAATGAGTGATACCGCATGAGGCAGAGTTTGTGCAGTGGCCGGCGGTCACTTCTTTTTATGGGCGTTGTAGGTACTCTACCAGGAGTCTCTTGCCGAATGGTGTCACGCGTTGCGATTGCAGTCTTGCGAGCCCCCCTATAGGATCTTCAGTTGATTTTGCATGCAGCCTATCCAGAATATGGCGTAGTTCGAAACGTCGCACTCCTTTCCTGCCCATTCTGGCCGGCCGGGGATTGAGACCCCGAGGATTGCTGCGATCCTGATCATCAATTGTACGCGAGGTATCTAGAAGAGTGAAGAGCCGTGATGATAATTATAGTAGTGCGCAGCTGCGACATAAATGGGTGAGGATTTATGAGGATTTGTGAGGATTTGTGAGGATTTGTGAGGATTTGTGAGGACTTGTGAGGCTTTGTGAGAATTCGGATGGCGTCATGGCGGAGCACTCACTCATCCACCACCACCCCGGGGCGACAATGTGCTTATGCTTGTGCTTGTGCTTGTGCTGTAAGATAGAAACACATCGGAGTCCAGTCCGTCGTGATGCTGCTTCCTAGCTCGGTCGAGAAAACTAAAGTACAAAATACACCAATAGTTCTTGTCGAGGCTCGAGAGTTGGGAGAGAATAAAAGTACCTGGAGTAGATAATACCGTGCAGGTGTTCCGGAAAGGATACTGCGCTCTTTCTGGAGGAATTGTATACCATCGGGAGTGGGTGAGATACATGTACTTAAAGAGTCGTGACTCGATGGCGTGGGCGAGCTCCGCTTCATAGCATCAAACTCGCCCGATGCTGTTAATAATAAAGTGCATGTGCTTTGCCATTCGATTTCAGACAGCCCTATGCACAGTGATGTGTCCGCTCCATTGGCGACCCCTGAAGAGCGAGCACTGTATTGATTATTTTGATATCGGAACGATCGAAAAGGGCTTCGGAAATGAGTGATATCTAATGATGAAGCAGAGTTTATGGAGTGACCGGCTGTCACTTCCTTTGATGGGGGTCGTACTCTACATACTAGAGATTTCCTGCGCGATGCTGTCGCGAAATATTATCTGCAGTACTGCACTGCGAGATCCGTATTTGGCTCTGGAGGATGCTCTACACGGGTGGAATCGTCGAAACACTCAGAGGTAAAGCAATTCCTTCGTTATCCTTTAACGTATCCTTCGTCGCTGGCAATGACATAGTAGTACATACCCTTCCCACGCCCCCGTAGTGACCTGTGTGCGAATTCCTTGGTCTCTCGAGACAGTGCCACGGTCTATACCACAAAAACTAAACGTCATCCATTTGATGCTCGCCGCAATGTTTACCGCTTCCTCCTTGGTCGCTTCTTTCCTTAGTAAGACTTCAATCTACCTACCTAGCCAGAGGAGTCGGAAGGGCCGGTATTCTGACTAATCATCTGCCGTGACAGGACTGTGGACAGGAAGAGCAACAACGTACATACTTCGCAGCCATAGTCTTGACTCTTGAAAGTACCTATTGTGAATACAGTGCAGTGTGATGAAATAGAAACCAACACCACTACCGGCAACGACAACGACAACGACAACGACAACACCCCCCTTCCTCGTCACAGACACAGCATTCACAAACATTCCCCACAATTAACGCGCTGTCTTTACCGTTCGTTTAAACTTGAAATCCATCGCACTAGATCCCTTCAAATCACGTGACATGCCGTTCGCTCGTCCAACGCAGCCAGAGTTGTGGCGGAGCTTGTCCGTCGTTTATAAGCATCGCATTCATGTTTCTAGCACGGAAAACCCTCACGTGGTCTAGTAGTCTACTAAGTACCGACTGCGCCATGCAATCGATCGATCGACGAGGGGAATTGAGGGAATGAGGGAATGTTCCGGTGAATGACCTTTGGATTGACTGAACCTCTTGGGGCTTCGAAACCAAGCCACCCACCGGCCGGGGGTGGTGACGGTTTCTTGTTTTCGGCGTGACGGAGTAGAGCACTACGAGTGGTACTTAAATATCACTCGGTAGTATCATGTGACACGCCTTGCGTTACAGGCTTTTTTTTTGTTGCATCATCACTACCTTCGTCGTTGGTACTGTAGAGTAGATCATGCAGATTATATATCCGTCTCCCCCGGCTATTGGCGCCGACCGCTGGCCGCGAGCTCGATACCGGTTTCCGAGCCCTATTGCTCTCCGTCCAGCGGCCCAAACCTCCCTGCAGTCAAACCTCTCCGCTCCTTACGCTCCAAGAGTAGTCCGTCCCGCCCGCCACTTTGCTAGACGATCCACTTTCACCGAACCGCAACCGCTGGTTTCGACGAGACAGGATAGTGGGAAACGCGAGTGAGAGTGGGTGATCTGGTCGGAGGAGCGGCGGGATGAGGTGTGTTCGAGCGGGAGGGAAGGAAAGGAGGGTACTACGTACGGGCGCCTGAGTAATCGGGAGATAAGCACTGGGATGACCATGCTCGACGGAGTGCAGAGGGGGCGGGGGCGCAATGCAACATCCGTAAGATACCTGACCCGTGAAGATACGGATGGGCATAACAATAGGACCGTTGCCGTGCAGATGTGAGACATGAAGATTGTATGGCCGGTAGACGAGCTCCGGCAGTTACTCGTAACTGTGTGACAAAAGATCCGCTGCTGCTGGCATAAACTGTTTATCTATGGTATTTACGCAAACTATGAGATATCTGTTCGGGATGTGCGTCGATGCGAGGACTCGGCACACGCTGGCCGTTCGATATTAGAAGCATTCGGATTCGTCACATACGGCCTCTCTGGACTATGACCATCATAAACGCGATATTTCCTGCCAGCTCTGCGCGGGTAGAGAGCTAGTCCTATCGCCGTCGTCACAGTCAGGTTCAATCGCTAGTGCAAGTAGTGATGAGATTACAGGTTGTCGAGTGATGGAATGTTTAGAGCTCTACCACGCTGTCTAGCCCTAACAATCTCCGAGGCAAGCGCTTTTTTCCCTCGTCCTCCCTTTTCCTCGATCCCCCTCTCCCTCTCTTCCCTTCCTTCTTCACTTCACAGCAAGTTCGGAACAACTTCTTCCCATCGCCAGAAATTTTCGACCACTTCTTTCAACAAATTCTCCACAACTTCGTTCCACAACTTCTTCTCCACAACGTCTTTGCTTCCAGCCCACAACCACTCATTCACTTTCGCATCGCGACCACAGTTTCCCTCACATCCTACCTTTCACAACCACAACCCTCTACTTCAAGAATCAACGCACAATTAGAATGGCTCCCAAACGCCCCACCGCGGCTCATTTTATGAAGTCAAACCCCAACGTCGACTCGAAGACGCCCACCAACAAGTCCATCCCTGTGCAGGGTCATACTCACTTTTCAAAGAAGAGCAAGGTTAGTTCTTTTCCGCTGTGTACTAATAATGACTCCGATGTAACTAACGGCTTGGATCTCAAGGTTGATGATGTTCTGAACCCGTCGCCGACCAACCGTTCTTCGAACTTTGTCGAAGGCGTCGTCTCCAAGTATAAAAGCACCCGTGGCGTTGGCAACACCAACAACACCACCCCCGCTCCCGACATTTCTTCCGCCGCGAAGAACGATGTGATTACTGGCAGCAATGAGAGACCCAGCATCACTCGCACCAAGAACGCTTATGTCATCAATAATAAGTCTGGAACTATACACGCGTTACCGATCAAGAGAGTCCCCAAGGCCAAGGCTGTGGGTGACGCTGCTAAGGACAAGAACACCATCACTTCGGGTGTCACTAAGGACAGAGTTGTCATCAAGCGCAACGCTGTCATCAAGGACAAAGTGGTCACCAAGGGCAATGCTGTCACCCAAGAGAATGCTATCACCAAGGAAGAGGTCCGTGGTCGCCGCCGCCCGGTTCAGCCTTTCACCACCAAGGACACGACTACTGAAAATTCCCGCCGTCGTCGCTCCGACTCCGTTACCAAGAGCCGCTCCATCTCCCCTGCACGCCCGCCCAAGGACGCCACCGTTACCTCCAAGCCCACCAACGCTCCTATGAACAGTGAAGTTTGTAAGACCTTGCATTCCCTAACTAGAGAAGCCTTCCGAAAAAAGAAAAAAAAACAAGAACTTTTCCGGCCTACCCCCCTCCCCCCCCATTGGTAAGTTGATGATGCATCGATATGAGGAGACGTGTGGATACTAACTACTCTATAGACTGCCGACCTAAGCAGGTGGAATTTCGCGTACCTGTACATAGGGCCCTCGGCTCTGCCGGGGTGCAACACCCAGTGCGTCTGGGGAGGTGACTACTAGACGCCCGGCCGTTGGTCGATGTGGGGGGGTAGGGGGCCGGGGTGAGGGGGGTAGGCCGGCCAAGTTCTTGTTTTTTCTTTTCTTTTTTCGGAAGGCTTCTCTAGTTAGGGAATGAAAGGTCTTACGAACTTCACTGTTGTCTTCAATGGAATCTGGAGATGGACGGGCCAAAGGGGGGATTGCAACTTCATAGAGGCATGTGCGGTGATTTTTGCAAATCCGCATCTCTCAGTGAATACGTTGAACATGCAATCAACTATCTACCTACATAATGTACCTAGTTGCAGTGGTGGTGATAAAATCTGCGATTGTCGTAGAAAGTAGAAAACCTTCGCAGCGCCATGAAGGTAGTATGTGTTTATAAAGCAAGCGATACCGTAGCCTGAAATGAAAGAACCATCCAGACGCTCCGATGACGGGCGGCACTTTGTCATTGTTATTGTCTATGGCGGGGCACCACCTATCACTCGGTAGTATCATATGACACGCCTTTGCGCGGCCGGCCGTCGACGCGAGAAGGGACAGAGAAAGAGTGCCCAGCAGGGTACTGCGTCTGCAGCCAATTCGAGGAAGTAGGAGATGAGGATACGCGGTGATAGTTTTTTGGAGCGGAAGCGGAAGACGGGGGAGAGAAGCGAGGGGGGAGCAGGAGGAGCGGGCATGTAGGCTCATTCCGGTCTTTACTGTCAATCTACTCCTTGCTTGTGTCGGCCCGAGGCGGATGGGCAGGGGAAGTGGGGCGCCGCATCGGACTGATCAGTACCGGGGCTTTCACCTCGACTGGCCAGGGCGGACAGGAAAAGGAGTTCGTTGGTTCGCCATAGTCTAGTTAGGCTGCATGCAAAATAAAACAGGAAGATATCTCCCTCTCTTTCCGTGGAGGCGAGAATCCAGATGATGAACATCATCACCGAGAGAAGGGACGAAGCGGAACGTACGGCAGTGAACAGTGCACCGGATTACTTGTGGTTTAAACCAAGTTCTCGAACCAATAAACCTGGATAGATATGGTGTCAATCCAGTGTCCATTCTACCAGTTTTTTTTGCCACGGTAGCTTTACCAAATCCGCCATCGCATTTTGGCGTACGTACGTTTTCTTGTTGATGGAGGCCTAATGCGAGTGATACCCATGTCTGGAGATAATCCGCCGTGTTTGTGGACGTGGACATAAAGTACCGAAACTCCATGAGCGTAGCCAATGCGAAGATTTGCAATGCTCTACTAATAGTGGCCACCTCGCTCCACCGGGAAGTCCCTTAATTCGACGTCGGCCATAACTACTAGTATTATGGCCCCTGCTTTGCCACGCCGAAAGCGGGGAAGTGAAGCGAGCTAACGGGCGCTGGCCGAAGTTCGAACCCTGAGCCCTACATAAGGGAGAGTACCTATGAAACGACACCACACCGACCGGGGAAAAAATCTTGGGTTCAACGGAAAGGATCGATGCAGATGCGTGTGTAAGAATCCGCACCAACGCCTCCCTTTCAGTGTGCGAGCGGTTGAAGTGGAAGGAAAATCGAATTTCTGTGGATGAGCCACACTCCGGCCTGGTTCCACGAACCGCAAATAGGAATCCAATGAGGAATCGTATTACCTCATAGTGGTAAGGAGGACGAGTCCACCTCGCAACGCACGAATCGTTTCCGCAGGGTGGTGCGTCGCGGAGATCCCCGCTATTCTACCAGTAGCGCGATCGCGGATTAATATTCGCGGGGCGTCCGAAGCCGGGATGAGGGATGAGGGTGTAGGTGTCTGCAGCGTAGCGGCTACTTTATCTGCACTTCACGTCTCACGGAGTTTCCATCTAAATACACGGACAAAAAGTGGACCGTAGGGAATACGGTAGGGAGTTTGCAGACATCGTCATTGGCACGCTTCCTCTCCCAATCAAGGCCGCACCATGAATCCGTAAAGATTCCATCAGGATTCAGCTCACACAGGCCAACAAGAAGTCTTGGTGCTGGTGCGGACGAGTCACGACAAGGCGCGCATTGCCCTATCGTCCCGTACCCATGTCTTCCATCTTCCCTCCAATGTCGATTCATCCCAGAATATGCACCAAGCCTTCAATTGGCCCTAGGAAGTCACCGGCGAATTAATTCCAAATCATCGGAGACGCCCGTGGAACATTCCTCCTTAATTCCTTCGTGCTGCTCTGTCGACGTTAGGTTCCTCAACCCCCGCGATTCGCTAACCTACCGAGCAACGGAAATCTGCAGTAACACAAACGTCGCACACGAAAGAGGGCTGGGAAATGGGATCGTTGCGTCGTTCGACGGCGTGGCTCAGCCGCATGCGGAGGATACGAGGAGGAGACCTCGCGTGATGTGCACTCTTGAACACGAACGCCCGTTCGGATGTGCCGACGATTCTTTCGGGCCAGGCGGCGGTGGCCTGGCCAGTGACCATATAACGTTCCCCTCCATCCTCTCCCCCTCCGTTCATCATCCTCACCTACACGGCAAACTCGGACACTCCAACAGGATGCAGTTCACCCTCATCTCCACTCTGTTCCTCTTCGCCGCCAGCGCCAGCGCAGCCGTCAACGGCCCGTGCTCCGTCTCCGGCACACCCGGCGTCTGCCTGTCGACCGCCGCGTGCTCCAGCGGCGGCGGAAAGTCCACCGCGGGCTTCTGCCCCAACGATCCTGTCGGCATCCAGTGCTGCACCAAGACGTCCTGCGGATCCGGCGGGAACTGTCGCTGGACCAGCCAGTGCACTGGCACGCCCGTGTCCAGTACGCGCTTTCTCCCTCTTCCCCCACAGAGATGCCTGCTGACGTATAGAAAGACCTGTGTCCTGGCCCCGCAGACTTTAAGTGCTGCCAGCCGTCCGGCGGAAACCCAACGATCCCCACTTCTAACTGCAAATCCCATGTCGTAACGAACGGCTACAAAATCCTGAACCAGTTTCCGGGGAAGGTGCACACTGTGTGGTGCTACGCCAACAAGTCCGTCCCTTCTTTCCCTCCTTCCCTCTGCCCCCTGCCCCCTTATCAATGGTAAGCTAACAGTCCCCATCGATCCTAGGCCCGGCGACCACGGTCTCGGCCTCGCCCTCGACCTTATGGTCCCCAACCGCAGTGCAATTGGCCAAACCATCGCCGAGTGGACGATGAACAACCACTCAAGTCTGAAGGTGAAATACATCATCTGGGGCCAGAAGATCTGGAACCGCGAGGTCGATGTCAACCCCAAGGCGTGGGCTAGCTGGCGGTCTATGGAGGATCGGGGGTCCGATACGGCTAATCACTGGTGGGTTTCTTCCTGATAGTGGGAGTGAAAGGATGAATGCTGATCCAGGAGTGAATAGGGATCATCCGCATGTTTCGTTCTTTGCATAGCGGAGATGTTTGGTTCTGCGTAGGTACGAGAAGAGAACCGGGCGCGCGGCTGGCGATAGTAGCCTGCTGCTTGTTCGGGAGAGGGAGACGCGGGAGAATGCGATTTTTACATGTAACTGTCACGAGAGAGAATGAATCACGTATTTCGGCGACGAGTCAATGATATCATACATTCACAGACCGTTGTATGTAGGATCTCAGGATCTTGTGTTCCCGCTACGGTAGGTAGATCCTTCTCTCCCTCCAAACAATCCCGCCCGAGCTGGTCTTCCCCGCCAGCAGTTCCCCGCCAGCTGGCACCACGACACAAAACCCCCCACTCCTTCGCCCCCCACCACACACGGCATCGCCCCATGGAAATTATACTGCCCCACCCTCAGCAGTGTTCGATCGAGATGCTCCGGTCTTCAGTCTTCAGTCTTCACTGATGGATTCCGTACCCTGGGGCGCACCCGGTTCCCCACATCCTCACTTCCCCAGACGGCGATAAAGCTTGCAGCTATTCCGGCTCAACAATCCACTGAGGGAGTGCAGGCACAGTTCAGGCCAGAATAAAATGGATCCCCTCTTCGCCGATGTAGCCGCCCGGGGTGCACCGCACTTCCCCGCTTCCTCTGACGGCGATATAGTCGGTGCCTCGCCGCCCCTAGGTTGTAGGCTGTCGGACCATAAAACGGACTAAACAGCCTCTTCGCGAGTGCAGCCACCAGTGTACACACGTCCAGTTCCACCCCACTGCACTGTCTCCGACCGGCGACCGCAGGCCGCTGGCCGCGAGCTCGAATCGATGTGGGTTCCCTATTGCACAAAACGATTCATTAAGCACCGCCGTAGCCTGTATGATGTATCCGCAGCGCACACACAATAGGACGTTTTCGACTGCCGGTTCGGCGCCGGCCTCTGGCTCCCGCCCGTGTGTATCTGGGGCGCACACACAATATGACGCGCTTGCTTGCCGGTTCGGCTGCAGCGCTCGCCTGTGTGTACGTACGTACGCGGTGGAGGCGGTGGAAGTGGTTGAAGCGGTGGGGGGCGGTCTCCCATTTGCAGACAAACAGACACGAAACAAAAATATCTAACCGGCGGAAACTGCGGATGGAAGCTCGGGCCGGATGGGTGGGTGGGTTTGGTGATCTGCGAGCGGTCGATAGGTAGGGTGCGATAATTGATGCATTTCGAAGAATGCCCTCCCTGATGAGGAGACTGGGCGATTAATTGTAGATATCCGCACGGCTGCCGCAACGTGCACGGCGAATTTGAGATATTTGTGCGGCTGTTGCAACTGGCAACGTGCAGGAAGGTTTGTAGATTTTTGTGGGCACTGGACAATAAAGCTTGTGCGTTCGCAGACTAGCCTCGAGCCGGGCCGTGATAAGTAGTATTGAAGTCAGGATTGGGCCCTCGATAGGTTAAAACGCTAAGAACCTCCATACGTTACTCCGCCAGGGCCCAAAACATAGTCAATTTGTGAGCGATGTGATGTGGTCCCTCTGTGCCGCCGTCTCGACCGTAATAAAGCGGTTTTCTTATCACAAGGCTCGAAGTCTCTGCACCGACCGGAGGCCGCTGGCCGCTGGCCGCGAGCTCGATGTGGGTGGGTTCCCTATTGCGCATGAAGATTCGTTAGGCACCGCCGTAGCTTGTATCTGGAGCGCACGCACAATAGGACGTTTTCGACTGCCGGTTCGGCGCCGGCCTCTGGCTCCCGCCCGTGTGTGTACGTACGTACGTGGTGGAAGTGGAGGCGGTTTCCCATTTGCCGACAAACAGACACGAAACAAAAATATCTACCCGGAGGAAACCGCGATGGTAGCTCGGGCCGGATGGGTGCATGGGTTTGGCGATCCGGATTCCGCGGGCGGTCGACCGGTGGAGTGCGGCGCACCGTGCGATAATTGATACATTTCGAAGAATGGTCTACCCGACGTGGAGGCAGGGCGATTAATTGTAGATATCCGCCAGGCTGTGGCCACGTCCAGGGCAATTATTGTAGATATCCGCACGGCTGTGGCAGCGCGCACGGCGAATTTTAGATATTCGTGCGGCTGTTGCAACTTGCAATGCGCACGGCAATTTGAGGTTGTTGTGGGCACTGGGCAATAAAGCTTGTGCGTTAGCAGGGCAAACTCGAGGTGACTGAGCGGCGAGCGCTGGAAGAGACGCCGAGAGCCATGAGACGTTGGCATCGTTAGCCACCGAGAACATTTGGCAACGTGCAGGACGGTTTGTAGATTGTTGTGGGCACCGGGCAATAAAGCTTGTGCGTTCGTAGGCTAGCCTCGAGGTGGTTGAACGGCGAGCGCTGGAAGAGACGACAAGAGCCATGAGGCGTAATCCTTAGCCGCTCGAGAGACAGAAGTGATGTTGTCCAGAATATGATGCCTACTGGCTTGCTCCATGCCATACCGTTCAAAAGTGGGTTCGGCCGCGCTCGGGGCCGATATTTACAGTTGGCCGGCAGCCTCTGAGGAAATCATCCGAGAGGACCCTATTAGTCGTACTGCCCAGGGCCAATGCAGCTAAAGCTGCCGGGCCACGATAAGTAGTATTGACGTCCGGACTCTGGATTGGGCCCTCGGTAGGTTAAAACGCTAAGAACCTCCATACGGTACTCCTCCAAGGGCCCAAAACAAGGTCAATTTGTAGTCGATGCGATGTGGTCTCTCTGCGCCGTCTTCGTGACCGGGATAAGCCGGTTTTGCAATCACGAGGCTCAACGTTTCTGCACTGTCCGTGCCGCTGTAGCCAGCCAGCCGGGCGCATTTTATTCTATTCTTGAATTCAACTTGGTCCGCGTGTGATCCGGGGCCGAGGCGGGCCCATAACGTGATATCTTCCATCAGCTGATCGACGAGATTTCTGCACGGCTGTGGCTTGTAACTTGTTGCTCTGAGTCTCTAGTCGATAAATTCTTGATCCGTACTGAGTATCATCCGGCGGAGGGGAGAGTGTGCGAGAGATGCATACAAGCTGGACCGGGGTTCGCCATTGGTATGCAGCGCCGGCCAGCACTTTCGGGGCGGTTGATCGAGGGCAGTGCATATCCGTGTGTAGGAGACGGCGTGGGGAATAGAAGAGTATACCTGAGCCGTAGCAACCGAAAACCCGCGGGCGATGCTGATGTGAGTCTGTGGCTCTGTAGTCGATAGCAATTATTGATTCCTACTGTGTATCATCTGGCGGAGGGGAGAGCGAGCGAGAGATGCATACGAGCTGGGCCAGGGTTAACCGTTGGTATGCAGCGCCGACCAGCACTTCTGGGACGGTTGATCGAGGACAGTACATATCCGTGTGTAGGAGACGGCGTGGGAATAGCGTTATATTCCAGAGCGTTGGCAACAGAAAGCCCGCGGGCGATGCTGATGCCGATCGACGCCAGCCTCGACTACGCAACCCGGGGAGGGGAGTGGACTACTGGTGTCTGTAGTTCGTGGCCAGTCAAGAAAGTCGCGCCAGATGAAAGGTTGTCGTATAATCGTTGAGAGAATTTGATGATTAGTCCTCCGGCGCACGTACTTGGTAGCGGGCGGCGCCGACGGCAGTGACGTGTGTTGACGGTAGTCAGCCTCCTGTCGCAAAAGGGACAGGGGCATGGAATAGGATAGGTAAATCTTCCGCTTTGTGGTGTCTTTCCCGCGCAGGGGCTGCTGGTCACAGTGTAGTGTTTTGATGTGGTATCCATCTGCAGTGCCGGCCTTGCCATTGTCCGCCGCGATAGGTACCTCTTCTCTGAACTGCCCCACTGGAACTTTAAAACGGTTGGGGAATCGGGAGAGCCTCGGACATCGTCTCTGTCGGACGACAGGCAAGCTCCTACTGGAAGACTGGAAGACTCGGGAAATTAATGAGTACAGTTGCTCCGACCGGAATACTCCAGGAATAAATGCGTACGGTCGCTCAGCCGCTCCAAAGAGTCCACACCAGGATGGTGGCAAGAAAAAGGAAGCTACCGGAGGAAATTTTCCATAGCCGTCAGGACATCATCCTTCGCCTGCACCGGCTGCACCCATGAAGTTCGGCTCTAGTGCAGGGAACATCGACACAGAACGGCAATAGATTATTACGTCGGGGACGTGAATAAGACTGTTTTCGCGAGGGATTCGAAGAACGTAGGTCGCACCTGTGGCCTGCTTGCTGTGGGCGCTGGCCGCGAGTGACCGGGGAAAGGACAAAAAGAAACTATCTCCCCGGCAGACGTCCCTCAATATCCCCGCCCAACTCCGAATAATCTGGCGCGATAAGGATTTTGCGTAAGGTCCTTCGGAGCATGTAGATTCCGCGCAATTAAACAGGAATCTTGAAGGATTCAAAGATGGTAGGGTCACGCCCGCTTGCTGTAGGCGCTGGCCGCGAGTGACCGAGGAAACGGAAAGACTTTATTCCCCCCGGGGCCCGGGCAGGCCTCCCTCATAATTCCAGCGAAATCCGAATAAGTTGAAGATGGTCGGTCCTTCGGAAGTATTCGTTGTAGGCCGCCTCGTCGAATCTACCACACGTCGAGAATTGATTGAGATCCCTGCTCCCGAATATCGGACGAGAGAGAGTCCTTCGGAGCTTGTAGATGCAGTGGAAACTCAGGAGAGAATTTAGTGATTTTGGAAGGAGGCCCGGTCGAGAGAGCGAGTGTAGTTTAGAGCTAGGCGACTCCTGCGGAATCGAAGGGTGCCAAGAATGTTTCGCTTGGAGCGGAAAGAAAGTAGTACCTTCGACGGTCACTACGGATTGGAACGGGACCAGGAAAGTCCTGCCGGAAGGGGGAGTGTTGGCTGGTTCTTGGCGGGAGACAGGAAAGACTGGCAGAGGGCCAGTAGGCCAGCGAATTAACTGGTATAGTGTTGGGCAATCACTATGGATTCGAAGGGGACTCGGAAAGCCATGCCGGCAGGGTAAGTGTTGGCTGGTTCTTCGCGGGATACAGGAAAGACCGGCAGAGGGCCAGCAGGCCAGCGAATAAGTTGATATAATGTTGAAGTTCAAGAAAGCCGCGCCAGAGTAGGGCTGTGGAAGATGAAGATGCCTGAGTGGTATGGCCCTGCCCCCCACCCCATGGAGTGAATGAGGGGAGAGCACTGCTGAGGAGGGAAAGTGTTGTCTTGCCAGTCGGAAGGGTATTTGGTGAGAGAGACAAGCAGGACGGGAATGGTGTCAATATATATTGGCGCGGTATACTGCTTCTTTCACGTTCGACTGATGGAACACGGCAAGGTTCGGTAATGAGGCGGAACAAACGGACGAGCAGTCAATCGAATATCCCCTCACTCGATCGAGTACCTAGGCCGTAATGCATCTCCATGTGCCCGGACATTTTCCCTTTTGCAACCTTCATCGCCTCTACCGGTTGCACGACGAGACCACGAGACCACCTCCGATATTTCGCTGGCAAATAAAGACATTATGTCGTCGGGGCGAGAATCGCTCCTCGAGGGCTAATTAACCTTTCTTTGTGGTTTCCCAAGGTGGATTTTGAATAGGGGCGCTCCGTGGGAGAACAAAGGAAGTCAAAGCACACGAGCCTGGATATTCTAAACGTGATATCACTGCAAGAGGCAAGAGTGGAAACCTACCACAACTTCTCTTTTCAATCGCAGGTAGTTGTGGCGAGAAATCGCGATTGCAAGCATCGGAGCGATCATGCTGTGAGGACGTGGGCAGATGTTGCGATTGTTTTTTTTTTGTTTAACCATCATTGTATTCGACTTTAGTAGATCATGGCAGATTACATAGCCTTTTCCACCATGGCTGGGGCCGCTGGCCAGCCGCGAGCTTGATACTGGTTCCCTATTGCTCTCCGCTCAAGCATCCCCTGAACCCCCGCACAGCCATGCCCGCTCAATCCTCCTCGCGCAGCCCTCCTAGCGCAATCATTCCCGCTCAATCCTCCATGAATAATCCTCTCCACTCAACCCGACAAACAGAAAGAAATACAGAAAGACAGACAACACCAAAAAAAGAAAAGAGTGAATGACTGGATGAAGGTACCAGTCCGGTTCTCGGCCCGTCCAGCGTTCTGTGAGCTCCACTAAGAAGTCTAGCTACTCATCCTGTCGCCCATGTTTGTCTCCTCGTTCGTCCGGCAGGCCATACAATGGAAGAAGCGCTGACTATGCATGCGATCAGCAGGGATGTTGCAGCTGCCAAGCTATGACGAACGTCACACAGAGCCTGGCAGGGGTCCCAGACAACACGCCAACCTAAACGCGACGCGCGAAACGTCGACCCCACTCCCGACCGTACTCCAACCACTCGTCCACGACACTCACTACCACCGACCAGCGAAAACTGTTCCTCTGCACCTTCTCACTCGCCGCCAATGTCCGCACCGCAAGAGGACGCCGCTACAGTCCTCGAAAACTTCGTCAGCGATGGTTCTTCACCCTCGCGTGCACGTGCTCACCCTGCAAACGGCGATGCTAATAAACCTCTGCGCAAACTGCCACAGCCTCCAACTTCCCCGCCGAAGTAATCCACATCTACGAGGAGATCATCGCGCGCGACCGGCTGCTGAACGAGCAGCGCGTGAGCTACCTATCGCGCGACGCGTCGCTACAAAAGCACATCCGGCTGCACGGCTCGCACTCGGAGAATACCAAGGAAGCGCAGTACGTCGAGGCGATCCGGAAAGCGCACCGCCGCGTCCTCGAGCTCCAGGAGGAGAAGATCCACCTCGCCCAGAAGGCGCTCGACCTCATCGATAAGCATAAGCGCAGGCTCGACGGAGGGATCGCGAATCTCGTGCGCGATGGTTCCATGCCAGCCGATGCATTGACCCCCGCCCCGCCGCCAAGTAATCTCCCCGCCGCGAGTCAGCATGTGGGTGGGCGGGGCGCGGGAGGGATAGGGAGGGCGAGTCCCGGGCTCGGAATGTCGAGGTCGTTCGCGCAGGATAGGGGCGGCACGCCGGCTACGCCGGGACTGCAGGCGGGTGGGAATAAGAGGCTGAAGTTGGGACATCAAGGCACACCGTCACTGTCGGCGTTGGCGGGGCGACCGGCGACTCCCGGGATTAAGAACGAGAGCAGTCGCGCTGGTACCCCGTCTGGCCACAGTGGGACGAGAAAGACGGGGCGGAAGAAACCGCCGGTGAAGAAGGTTATCGATGAGGATGGCGATGACGACGATGACGACGAGGATGAGGACGGCGGTGAGGGCGAGGACAAAAAGCTGTACTGTCTCTGCCAGCAGGTCAGCTACGGCAGCATGGTAGGATGCGACGACAAGGAGTGTCCCTACGAATGGTTCCATTGGGGCTGCGTGCACCTCACCGAGGAGCCCAAAGGAAAGTGGTTCTGTCCGAATTGCTCGGCCAAGAGGGAGAAGACGAAGACGAGGTAGCGCTACAACCTACCAATTACTTGCTTCAAGTTTCGGATTGCTTTGGGTTTGCGTTGTATGTCTTATATCCGGGTTTGCGATGGTTTGGAGTTGTTTTCTGCGCTGGGGCCCTTTTTTTTTACTTTTTTTTTTACTTTTTTTTTACCTGTACTTAATGCATTTTTTCTTTTCTTTTCGGGTCTAAATGTATTTACGCACGAATTGAGGCCGCTTGTGGAATTTCCTGAAGCCCACCGAGGGATGAGTTGGAACCCCATGGAACGGTTTCTTCACACTGAGAGTACTCTGCTTAAGTAGCTACCTACATGAGTCACGGGATTGAGCTGGTGCTCAAACCAAACTCTTCCCTCGCAAAAAAAAAAGACTACGATCATGGCGAGTTTCTGGCTACGCGCTTGGGAACGGATGATCTATAATCTCCGCGGGGTGGGTTGAACGGGGGTACTCGAGCTGCGAGCTGGGGATGATGGAGAGGGTCAAGGGGGGAGTTGGGATTGAGCAGGGAGGGCTGAGCGGGGACGTTCAACTCAAGGGAACGGCTGGGTGGCGCAGTGTCCTCCATCGTCCGGTCCGAGCCTGGGATGGACGGTTGCAAAATTTCTCCGTCACGTCCGATCTTGGGACGGACGGTTCGGTCCTCGTCCGACGGTGGAGGACGACCGTCCAGATCACATGATGATACTCTGATCACTCGTCCCAATAGGAGCATAAACTAGCCGTTTGCAGATAGGCGAGTGAGAAACCATGATATCTTTTGTATGGGGATCAACGACCTTTGGCAATTGCTGGTCATGACTTACGGATAGCGACATATGTTACCATGCTCACTCTACACTAACTACTCTTTTGGTGTGGACATACTTAACGCGACTGATGAGGAGGACGTAGAGTAGATAGTGCAGCGCACAAATTGTCTAGTCATGCCGACGCTCTTGCGACGAAAAGAAGTAGTATTATGACTCGCACGCCTGAGGTCCACGCCCGAAATCTCATTTTTCTCAAGGCTTGGCGTCAGACGGCGGCAGGACGGCCGTCGACGGCGGTCCGTCTGGTCCGTCCGCTGAAATAACCTTGGCCGTCATGTCCGAGGCACGGACGGACGGAAGGCACGCCGTCCGTCTTCATCCGGGGCCCAGGACGCACGGACCGGACGATAGAGAACACTGGGGTGGCGAGCCATAAGGAACCAGTATCTATCTCGTATCCAGCGGCCTGTGACCGCCATATAAACCGCCATGCTCTTTAGCACCACGGCCTCATCTCACGATGATCCAACAAAAACCAAAACCAAAGCCTCACCATGGCTCGAACTAAATGGCAAAAACCTTCACTACCCCCGGTCCGGTGGGTGGCTTGGAAACCCCAATAGCTGTACTGCTGTCGAGCTAACTCCGCCGGCCACGCGGGGGTTTTCCGTGCTGGAGATTTGCTACGCGCGCTTCCGAATATGTCGGAGCTCTGCGAAGTGGCACGTTCTGACACTGCGACGAGGCGGCAGTGCAGCAGTGCTACTTACTGCATAGGTACCGCCATATTCGATAGCGAGACCTGCCGAACTACATAGCGACAACTTCGTAGTTCCGGTGAAGCGTACGACTGCGTTGTACATAGGCCCGTTAAAGGCTTAAAGCTCAGACCTGTGAGGTACCGCACTCTCCCTACCCCCGGGCCCCGGGCCTCGGCGCTTGACGCGGGCGGCGGATTCGATGGTCAACGTCCACGGCTATCACGGGTTCATTTCTACTTACAGACCGGCAGAGCATGATCCCCAACACCGTCGCGAGCAAGATCAATGAAACAGGAAGAAAAGTATTGTCTGCCGCCTCCCAAGTGATCGTGCGTGCGGTGGATTGCACTTGCCTGTATCTGGTAATTAGAGCCGAAGACGTGTGCCGCCTAACTACGGTCGGGCGGAATTGGGAGGATACATACAGGCATCGATCGCAGTCCACTCAAGATTCCTTGTGTCCTACGGCCGCGCATTTCCTGAGTTGTTTCGGACGACAACCAGCTTCGACTTCCAGGCATTAAGCGGCTAGTCGATCACCCTAGATGAAGTAGAGGATATCCACCATGATCCCGGCCAACTTTATCTTGACAACAGCCAAGCCGCCGTACACACGTCGGGAACTCGCGTCGCTTGTAAGTTGTCCAACCACCCGGGAGTCGCGACTATCGATGGCGGGCAAAAACATCGGGTTTTATCTCACTGTGTACGTGTAGAGTAGAGTATAGAGGTCGGAAGCACACGCGACGGGCGGGTATGGGTTTGATATCGGAACGATCGAAAGGACTTCGACTTCTGAGACGAGTGATATCTACTCTAATGAGGCAGAGTTCTATGACCACTGACCACTGACCGGCTGTCACTTCCTTTTATGGACGTTGTACTCTACTATTAGGAATCCCCTGCCCAATTTTGTCGTGTATTATGATTTGCCGCACAATACTGCGAGATCCGTATTTGACTCTACAGGTCACAGTAGATGCTCGGCAATGGAATAGTCGAAACACGAGATAAAGCGATTCAATCGTTATCCTTTAGTTGACGTATCATTCGCCGTTGACAACCGCAAATAGTAGTACACTGCCCAAGCGCCTGTCCCTAGGTAATTATCTCTGTACGTATGCCTTTCTTGTCTCCTGGAACAGTGCCACGGTTTGCATGGAGAGGAAGAGCAAAAATGCACCTAGGCAGTCATGGTCTCAGGTAGGCTGAATAAATTATGATGACGATCAAACAAAACTAACACCGCGAGCAATGACAACGACAATTTATCCCGTCCTCCCCAGCGACTGCACTCACAAACATTCTCACACAACTACCGCGCTGGTTTAGCTCCGGCAGTTGCTCGTAGCTGCCGGTGACAAAAGATCTGCTGCTGCTGGTATAAATTGTTTATCTATGGTAGGTACGCAAACAACGAGATAGCTATGCGGGATGCGCGTCGATGCGAGGACTCGGCGCCTGCTTGCTAGGTCGTTCGATATTAGAAGCATCCGTTCATCGTAACTTACCTCTGATGTTTAGTCCACTACATTACTGTCGGAACTACTTGGTTTCATCATCTTGTTCCTCAATATCCCTCTAGATCATGGCAATTCATGTCAAAGTTCGAGAGAGAGAGAGAAGATCAATTTATCGTCACATACGGCCTCTCTAGACTATGGCGATCATAAACACGACATTTTCTAGCTAGCCATATCGCCGTCGGCTAGTTGCTGCGTCGCTATCAGGGTCAATCGCTAATGCAAGTAGTGATGAGATTACAATTTGTCGAGTGATGGAATGTTTAGGGCTCTACCTCGCTGTCTAGCCTGAACCATCTCCGAGACAAGCGCCCTCGCCCTCCCTTTTCCCCTCTCTCCCTCTCTCCTTCCTTCCTTACTTCTTCACTTCATAGCAAGTTCAGCACAACTTCATCCCTTCGCAAGAAATTCTCGACCACTTCTTTCAACAACTTATTACCAAAGACAACGCTGTCACCAAAGAGAATTTTATCACCAATGCGAAAGCTGTCGGTGTCACTACTAAGGACAAGAATACTGTCTCTAATGAAGAGATCTGTGGTCGCCGCTGCCAGGTCCAGCCTTCCACCACCAAGCACACAACCACCGAAAAATCCTACCGTCGCCGCTCCGATTCGGCCACCAGGAGCCGCTCCATCTCCCCTGCACTGCCGCCCAAGACAGCCGAGGTCACCGCCAGCAAGAAGAACGGTGCTCCTTGCAAAGAGCCAGAGAGAATCATCAAGAACATTCTCTAGTTAGGGAATGAAAGATCTTACAAACTTCACTGTTGTCTTCAATGGAATCTGGAGGTGGACGGGCCGAAGGGGGGATTGCAACTTCATAGAGGCATGTGCGGTGATAAGAAATCCGCATCTCTCAGTGAATAGTCTATTTTGCGGCCGGCTGGAGATTCCGCCATGGTACTACTAACTATAGCGAATAGCCGTGTATCACTAATGCAAGAGACGCACTATACTCAATGAACTGTGAAGAAGCAAGAACTTTTGCATTCCAGACGTAGTGCATGCCGACTCCCGAGCCTATTGGCCGTCGCGTTACGTACACTACTAGGACTACTGATACAGTTTACAGTCTTCCTCCATCCATCATCCATGATCCATCATTCATCCGGCTGCCACACCCGGGCGCAAAAAGTACGTATGTTACCCAATGTGTTGTGGCCAGCTCGAGGCTGCGCACGAGACAATAATCCCATCCCACTCCCTTCCTCCCCACGGCCAAAACAAACAAAAAGAAAACAAAAAACCTACCCCCCCCCCCATTCCCACAACTCCTCCAGCACCTCGGTATCTGTATCTGCTCCAGTGATCTCCTCGAGTCTTTCCATGACCCTCGCCTATACATTACGGGACGAGACGGAAGCTGCTCCTCCGGCCCGGTTCTTCAGGAACACTAGAAATCCTCGCCATCACCCACCCACCGGCCACGCACCCACTCACCCACCCACCGGCCGCACAACCCCTAGTTGCGGCCACCGACACCTTCTCCAACCCAACAACAACGTCCGAGTAGGACAAAGGAAATCTCTCAAGAGCCAGGAAAGCGGAATACAATTGAGAGCGAATAATAAAGAGAAGTTGATTTCGTAAATTCGTATAATTCGTAAATTCGTATAATTCGTAAATTCGTATAATTCGTAAATTCGTATAATTCGTAACAGCTGATTTCGCATAGCGACAGTGAAGCGACGTCGGCGGATCTAAGCGGCGCGGCAAGGAGGAGCTGCAGCCGCCTCCTTACCGCCAGTAAGCAGCACGTCCGATAGGCTGCGGCGCAGCCGGTAAGCGCCGTCGACCACGGTGTGCCGGTGGAAATCGAGCAGCAGCTCGGAGTACGTGCGGAGGTAACGCGTCAGCTGCCGTCCGATGGACGGGAATTTCCGGTCGGTGGCGTCGGCGCTTCCCGCGACGGCGTTCTCGACGTCGAAGTCGGCGGTGGGCTGGGGTTGTGTTAGCTGCTGCGAGAAACATGGGGCCTACTATCCGACCTCCGAGTACGTACCTTTGCCCGCGCCGACTGCGAGAGAATCTTATATGCCAGGTTGAGGATCATCACGGCCAGCGTGCAGGCCGAAAGGACTATCTGCACCACATCGCCGACGGGAACTATATTACATTAGAGGCTAAGTTCGCTGGATGGATCGAAGAAACGGTTGCAGTGGGTGGCTCGTATGCATACTTGTAATATTCGGAACGGACATTGTAACGGCAGCAATCTGAGCGGGGATGAAAGAGAGCAAAGCCGGCACTCAGAGTCGATGGTGGCAGGTTAGATTTGATGCTTCGTGAGGCAGCCGAACGGGCCCGGAGGCATGCGCCGTAGGGTTGATGCTTTTTTCCGGGCTTGGAATCGTCTTCCGTATTGTGGTCTTTTGTGGTAGAAGATAGTTGCAACTCTGTCGTAACGTGTGTATGTTTCAAAGTGTATGCTCGTATGCGCGCACCTATACGATGTGAGAAGAGTAGTTGCGTACAGTAGGAAGCAGGCTGCTCACCTTTGACTGCAAATGTGGTTGGGGATATGTATCACTGTGAGGTGGTGATGAAGGCGAGCCCTCGGCGGGAGTGTTGAGCAGGGAGCAGGGAGTTAAGACGGTTTTATGGGTTTGCATAAGTAAATACTTAGGTACCTCCTCAGCAAGGGTTGCCTGGCCTGCGATATTTTGGGTTGTGTCTGTGCGTTGTCGATGTGCCCGTCCTAAGCCAAGAGTTTTTTCGGAGGTGAGCAGGGTGGATGGCCGTGGGGCGATGGCGAGCGGGGCACTGCACCTGGAGAGATACGTGGTGTGGAAATATGGCGGGAGATGGTGTTTGAACGGCTCAAATCGATAGAATTGACGGGGACATGGCCGCGCCACGCATCACCATCGAATCAGAACGCGAGCCTTGCGGTGGATCACTAATGAATGGTATTTGGATACTACACTACTGCTATGATTTTACCCTGCTGATTTTTATTTAGTATATGCTCGGACAAAATGATACATCTCCCATCACCGCCTCTGAACTCTACTTGATCTCATCTGAGGGATGTGGATGGTCCTGATTCGTATAACAGCCATTCCACAGTCCCAAAATGGCGAGAATCGGCTTCAGTGAGTCCAGCCTAGGCAAAGGTCCTCTGGAGGAGTATGATGGAAGAGGAAGAATCCGGGCAAGCCGGCGGAGGGTGGTGTGCTGACCGAACAGTCATCCTCTCTCACAAGCTGCGGAGGAGACTTTGTGTATTGGCCGGACTCTATGAGGTGCCTTGTTGTCCTCAAATACAACGCCGTATGATGGCACTCATGGAGCGTGGGGGCAGTGCTCTTTGAATATATACACTCGTGGCCAAGTGGCACGATGCGGACCAACCCTACCGCCTTGATCATCCCAGCGTGTAGCGACGAGGCACAGCGCGTCGTCTCCCAGAATAACACTGCCGAGTAAGCACCTTAATCTAGGTCGTTCGATCCGTCTGCTGTTGGCTGTGCTCCACCGTCCTCGCTTCGACTATCGGGCCAATTGGAGAAATCAAAAACAGAGAAACAGCAAGCAGAGAACTGGCAAGCAAGCAATGCAGAACCAATGGTGTTTTGACGAGGGGCTCTTCTGCCAATGCCTCTTCCCGCCTCCATATTGGCGAGCAAATCGTTGGGCACCACAGAGGAATAGTGAAAGTGTGGTTAAATTTGTACAGACATATTCGTAATTCTGACAGAGGTGGGGGCTATGTCAACTGTTCAAGAGCAGCACTACACCTTCAAGGTAACACAGAATAAAAGGGTGGGTGTCTTTTATGTTTCATCGTTTTGCATTCGGCCGTATCTCATTATGGCAATGAGATTTAAATGCAAACTTTCATCATGATCTAAAACTCACAGATACATGGTTGGGCAGATCATAAACTCCCTCTCCTGAGATCGAGTGGTGCAGCAACTTCGGGCCGTGGAAATGGCGCTTTCTCTCCACCGCCGCGGAGCTGACAGGAAAGGACACTTGTGTGGTTGCCATAGTCTATTCTGCAAAGTCCGTCTGCGAAAATAATCCGAATGTCTCTCTTTCTCTCTCTCCCCTCTCTGCTGAACACGATACCCAAACCCCGCTCTATTATGATGGCAGACTCGGAGCCGGATAGGTCAAAATCCCATCCACTGCCCCATCCTCACTGCTGAGCAGCCTGAATCCCTGAGGCGTCCGCAACGAGGTTACCACCGAACCTGAGGCGAACTACGAGCAGCGAGTTCTTGACACGTCACTATCTTGCTGCCTACTGGAGTAGTTCGGATTGTTTGGTGCGCACTCGTGCGCAGTGTGCAGTGGGTCAGGTGTTTGCGCCCACAGACGACTAAAACAACAACGCCAACTGCGCATCGTCGTTGGTCCATCCCACAGCAACTTCTACCGAAACCTAGTGTGTTGTCAATCGAGTATGCAACCGAGGGGGGTAGTGCCGATATTCAGTTGTCGTGCGCGCAACCATCTCCTAAGTCCTGCCCTACCTAAGGTCCTACCTTCACCCAGTCCAGCTCCCACACGTGCCCATCTTCCGTCTTGGACGATCCCCTCCCAACAACTCACCAGAGCAAAGTGACGAAGTCTCCACACGTCCACTGCAGTCGCACAGCCCTCGCCCTGCCCTGCCCCTCTCCGCACATATATGTGCTCGGCACAGCCGCCATGCGTCGCACTGCGCCACAATCACGCCCACTCACTCGTACACTGCCATCACTCGCCGGTGTCGGCTGGTGTCCGCTGGTGTCGGCTGGTGTCTTGCGAACCAGTATCTTCCCATGAAGCCCCGCTTCCGTATCGGTCCGTCATGTTTTGAGCCGTAGATGTCGTACTGGGACGTTTCTGTGCCTGAGAAATGGGTATCACGTCTTTTAATCTCGTAGCTGTGCAGTAGGGTGGTAGTTCGGGTGATACCCGGGCTATGCGGAATCGTTACTTGTAGTAGAGAGAAGGGTGAGACACTTGGTGGGCTCGTCTATCGTGGCCCCTGGAGCTGCAAACGCACCAGGGTCGTGCAGCTCTACTTCCAAGTTCCAAACCGCAGGAAAGGGAGGTGCTGTAGGTTCTCCTGCAGAATGTCACGTGGCATGGAAACGAAGTGTGTGGGTGTATTGCCATGATCTAGCTACCTACCTAGGTGCGTTGCATGCAATTAATGATTAAACAAAAAAACAAAAACCTTCACCACCCTTGGTGGGTGGCTTGGAAACATCAGCAATTCCGCCGGTGTTGAGCTGGTAACCAATCCTCTCCCGCTGGATACGCTACCTAGTGCTGTGGCCTTCACCACTACCTCACGAAGGTATTTTTTCCGTGCTACAAAATGCCACGCTCCGCCAACCCAGCGAGCAACGAGTGCGTTTACGTGAATAAATCTTAGCATGATACCGTAGGAGAATCACACGGCACTCTGCCAATCGTGGTGTGGCTAGAGTTAAACAAGATATTAGTCCATTACTAGATACAAAAGAAGAAAAAACCAAATTCCAACTAGCCCCCGTATCCTCCAAACAACGAACCGAAATAAATCCAGAATCCTCCAGCACATGTGAACCTATGATTTCAGCATAGAGTCAGCGATTTCTAATTTACCGTCGAAGGTCAGGGAGAAAGAATGGTAAGTTCTTCCTCACCCTGTACTCCCTCGTGTGCTAGGTAAAATGGAGCGGGTATGTGTAGCCAGAGCTGGAAGGTTCTGCAGCCGGGACGAGGCAAAGGGAAAGGAGTGAAGAGAGTCGAAAGAAAGCAAGAAAAGGGGAAGGTGTGGGCCGAATCCCGAAGACTTTCTCCAGCGTGCCTTCGCATCGTAGTGTCCTGGCAAATTTAAACCATCTCTGTAGCATTGGCAATGCGAGAGCAGGCCGAGCCGCTAGCCGGGCCTTCTCCGAAGTATTGCCAATGCCAGAGCAGGTCGAGCCAGGTGGCGAGGAGCGGGTCGGCAAACCGAAAGAAAGCAACGGTACAGGGAAAAGGGAAAGGGGTAGACCGAGTCCCGAAGACTTTCTCCAGAGTGCATTCGCATCGTGGTGTCCTGACAAACTTCAAGGGGGCAAGGTTTTAATCCATTAATATGCTGCATGCGAGCAAACCACATATCATGCTTAGTGGCATGAGGTTGAGATAGGAATCAGCATCGCTCACTCGTCTGTTTCTAGGTCCCGACTGCGTACTAGGTTGACCGATGGATTGGCGAGTTCCTAAATGGACGTCGAAGAGGCAAAGAGTAGAGTAGGTACATGATGTTCGGTAGAGCCGCTGATTGTCGACGATCTTGAAGTTGCTTGCGCGATGAGGTGATGTCTAGCGTTGAGCGATGTGGCTTCACGTGAGGGGGTGAAGTGGAGGAGGGAGAGAGGAGGGGGGTCGTTTATTTGTCGGCGGGGAAGAGGGGAGGAAAGGGTGAACTCTAGGGGGAGAGCCCAGGCACACGGCCAGGACCACGACGACCACGAAACAACAAAAACAGCAACGCCGAGAACTCGGAAGGGTTTTCCACCATCGCACGAATTTCTTTACACAACTGAGCACGGAAATGGGGAAGGAGGGCGGCTGGTGGCCGGGTGGAGGATTTTCTTTGTCGGGTTTTCGCTTTCTGCTTTGCATACCTGTTTCTGTTTTGCTGTTGGTTGGTGATTTTCGTTTCTGTACCGGCCATAGCCTTAGGGCTCTAAGCTGTATGAAGAATAAATAAATAAATAAATGTGACTTCACGTGGATACGGCTAGACATTGGCTGTCACTCGGCCTCTAGCCCTTGGCTCGGAAACAACGCCCTGGAGTAGCTGATGACCTTTAGCGATAACACCGCTTCACTTCCTCTCCTCCCACCTCTCCTCCCACCTCTCCTCTTCCTCTCTCCCCACACACCACGGCCTCCCAACTCCTGCTTCCACCACCACACATCTTTCTCACCACGCTTCAGTCACTGATAGCTAACCACGACGAACGACGGATAAACCACGCATCATGGAGATGGGTAAACACGGTCCAGACGGCAACGAGAAACAACCGAAAGCTACGCGTTCGCCACTCGCGTCAGTAACTAACAACGTCGCCACACCGAAAACCAAGCCCGCTGCCATTGCCTTACCGAGATTTGGTATGAGATCTGGATCTGACACCCTTCGGTTGAAGAAACGGAGACGCAGCAGCTCTGACGCGAAGGACATAGACACAAACAACCCATCTCCTGAAGGGCCGAGTAGTCGAAGGTTGCGATTGACAAACGATACCCCACTCACTCCTGCCCCAGCCACCGATCTGAATATTTCGACGGAGTTGAAGGGGGGGTCGAAGCAGCTCAGGGAGTTGAAGCAGACCAAGGATTCCAAGGAGTCCAATGAAATTGGATCGAAGGAGACGAAGGACTCCAAGGAGTCGAATGAATCGAACGAGAAGGAGTCCAACGAGACGGCGGATTTGAAGGAGCTCAAGGAGACGATATCACGACTATCCGAGAAGCTGATGGCACGCGGACGCAACCCTAGCACGGGTGTATTGAAGCAGGGTTTCAATACGAAGATTGAAACAGAGAGGCGGCGGTGGTCCGGGGGGATTGTGGGACGCGAACGGAACCGTGACAGGGACGATTTTAAGACGAGGCTCGATGCCTTCAGGGAGAGACTCAACAAGAAGGTTGGGAAGCAGAGGCGGCGATCCGAAGAGGTGGCGCGAGCTCAAAGCAGGCGAAGATTGAGACTAGAGAGGAAGAAGATGTTGTCTCCCAGCACGAGACAAAGCTTGAGCTCGCATGCCAGATTCGTGGATGCAGCGGAGACCGAAACCGTCGACGACCGCAGAAGAGGAAAAAGAGTTACGCCTTCCCCGCTCGCGCTAGTAACCAATGCAGTGGTCGCATTGGGAGCAAAGCCCGCTATCCTCCCACCGAGATCGGGCTTGGGGTCCGGGTCCGACTTCAGTCTGTCGAGGAAACGGCGACGGAGCAGTTCTGACTCCACAGGCTCTCTAGTAGAGCCGGATAATCGACGAGTACGATTTACGAACGATCCAACACTTGTTCCGTTCGCAGCCACGGCTGTGAATAGAGCACGTGTTGAGGATTCGAAGTTCCTGCGAAAGGAGAAGCTGGCGGGACAGGAGAGCGGCCCTGGCACGGATACGTCCAAGGAGAGGCTGGATGCAACGATTGCACGCCAGAGATGGAGGTCGGAGATGACGAAGGACGCTGCAGCGACGAACGTCGAGGAACGCGGCACCAGGACCTCCAAGAAGGTGTATACCTTTGCGGCACCGGATAGCCCGTCCGAGGTACACCAACTCCCCGCCGCCTGCAGATGGCGAGCTCGCCCACTCGCGCGCAGTGGTCTCGAGTACATGCCGCCGTCACCCGCACCCGCACCCGCACCCGCTCGGCGTCCGAAGCCCACACCCTCGTACACGCGGATGGTGACTTCCCGCTCCTACGTCCCGCCGCCCACGCACACCCGGCCAGCGAAAGGTCTCCTCCGGGCCCCAGCAGTCTTCGACTCCGCGCCGGACACCCGTAGCTCTCCGAACCGATTGCAGCGTTTGGATGCGAAATCCCCGCTTCTTACCCTCACGAGGGAGGATTAACGCAGGATCAGGAAGCTGCAGGAGTTGAAGGCGGAGTTTGAACTGACTAGGGCCAGAGGCAGGTCGATCGTCCATAAGGCGGATGTGATTAAGGAGGATTTCTCCCCGAGGTTGAGGGAGGAGATCGAGAGCCTGGAGGTCGGGCCGGATCGGACACAGGGGCTGGGCTTCAACGACGAGAACGATGAGGACAGTGAGGACGACGTGGATGGTGAGGACGATGACGATGACGAGTATGACGAGGACGAAGAGGACGACGGCGACGAAGAGGAGCACAGTGACGACGAGGAGGATGAATGGCCGGGAATAGGGTGGCGGTGATGCATAGCTGGTAATTGGGGAGCTTGAATTTTACGGGTTTTGACAAGGTTAATCCAGTTTTTTTTTTCTTTTGGAGGGGGGGGGCGAGGATAGCCCACATTAAGCGCAGCAGTGTCAGTAAATAATACAAGAGAGAGAAAATCATCCATTTATCGTCGTTTGCAGCATTACTAGACCATATAACCTAAGACTCCCCGAAGAGTAACGATGCCTATGAATGCGCCTTTCTGCACGTAGAGGCATAATGGCCGGTCCCTTTGCATGTTGAACAGCAAGGTGGAGCACGGTCTGGGATATTCGGCAACTCCCCCTCATGCTCCAGCGTCCATTTCTTTCTCATTTCACCCCTTGTCATCCGATTCCTTGGGGGCCGCCCTTTCGGAACACGGGTGAGCGGTGGTTGACATTTTGCCACCACCACCACCACCTCCTCCTCCTCCTCCTCCTCCTCAGATCGCTATGCTTCAATATGCTTGTTTTCCATCTATACCGGTGGCATTGCAGCATTGTATGCTGCGATTCAGTTATGCCGTGGCATGTAAGCAGGCATGAAGGCTATCGGAATCTTCTTGACAGCTTGGATAACTGTCACGGCATGGCCACCTGGAGCACCGGTACCTGAAACTAATCTTTTCTGATGGTGGCCCGCTGGCGGTGTGGCGCAGCATGGCAGCTGAGCGCTTAACAAAACGGACAAAAAAACTAGATTATCCTGCTCATTATATTCGAAAACTGGATTATCCTTGTCAAACCCCATTTTTTTCTGGGTCGTTTGGGGGCCACGGTTAGAGCCACGGTTCGGCACCGGTTATCATTTAATTTACCGCGGCGAAGGGTTCCATTCAAGTTCACTTCCATTGTTAACAGCCCACAGTGGAAATTCGTGATCATTACTATGACACAACCAAACCCTGGACCGGCCTCCCCAGAGCAGGCCCGATCTCCAGTGACGACTCGGTCGCTTGACGCCGCTTCAATAACCGGAAATTTCTGCATCCATACTATTGCTTACCTCGAGCCAACGTTTGGTTATCCTGGAGCAAGAAGACTCCAGACAACCATACATGAAGGAACCATGAAACGTACAAGCAGAAATGGAAATCCAGATTCCAGAGCCTCTGAAACCTCTGCTACCGCTTTGAAAGCAATTTCTCAACCCCTTCCTACGCTCGCATCGCTTGTTTGATCGCATTCCCGAGCTCCCTCCAACACCGCAACGGATCCGGAGAGACCTCCTGCCACATCTACATTCCCAGCACGCCACCGAGATACCCCAGCGGCTCCATAATCCTCCAGCCTCACAGGCTCGAGATACGGTGGTTCCCTCTGTTCTTGTTCTCTTACAGGCCGTCGGCCGCGAGGCGGGGGTGGAGCACATCCTCTCACCGGGCAGAGTGACAACTCTGTCATGGAGTCGCGCCTCACACATCGCCCCAGCAATCCTGTAACTCCTCCAGTATCACTCTCGCGCCCTGCAGATCGACATGGGCGTCGGAGGAAGTCGGGATGGTTATCCGCGTGGAAGCCGCTCAGCTCCTCCGAGGTCGCACAGCAGTCGGTGTGGTCCTGTAGACCGGAGTCGAGGACGAGTTGATCGGTTAGCGTAAGTCGCCATGGCTTCATGGAGTGAGAGGCGACGGGCGGCGTGGACGTCGTTCTCGAGTCGAGCGCATGGTCGCGTTCTCGGAGTGTCCGGGGTATCGTACTTTTTGACTATGGGCTTTTTTTTTGTTGTTCATTCATTGATTGCATGCGACCTATCTAGATCATGGCAATATCATCTACCCGTACATCCCCCCGTTTCCATGCCACTTTCGACTATGGGCGGGGTTGATCTATAGTAGTGGAGGTGGAGTAGCGAGTGATTTGAGACGCGACGTTGGCGAATGAACAAGGTGTGGCTATTAGGCGCGGTAAACATCCCCACGCGATGAGCGATAGCCGATCCCTGCACCTTACCGCATCTGCATGGCCTCGCACTCGTAGAAGGCTGTCGTACAGCATCCTCAAGGCTGAGCATTTTCAAATTACTCAGCGACGTAAAATCAACTTTATTCTCGCTTTCGTAATCTCCACGTGACTCGAAACGCGTTGCCAACGCCTCTCCCCCAACCGTCGCACAACGCGTCGCCCCGCGCACAGTCATCTATCCATCCACCCATCCATCCATCGCAATGTCCACGGCCGCGTCAGCGTCAGACTCCGAGTTCGATCTAGACTACGCACCTGCCGCGCCGTCGAAGGCTATAGCGAAAGCGAAACGGAAACGGACGCCGGCGCCACCCTCACCAGATGCGGAGCTCGATGCCGTACCGCTGCGTACGACCGCGCACCCCAGCGGCAGCGGCGCGCGCATCATGATGACGGACGACTCCGAGGACGACGTGGTGCTGGCGGCGTGGAAGCGGCGGAAGTCTGCGGCTGCTTGTAAGCCGAAGCAGAAGAAGAAGGCATCGCGAGCGGGTAAGAAGACCACGAAGCCTTCTCCCGCCGAGCGGATCGTCGGGCGCACGGCTGCCGGCGCAGCAGGCAGGAAGCAGCCTCCGCTCACGTGGAACTTTACCGAGGACCGTGCGACTACCGGCGACGGCGTGCGACAGGACGACGAGGTCGTTCTGCCGCAGTACTTGCTCCCGCGGAAGGCGGCGGTGCAGCGCGCGCGCGAGGAGATGGCGCAGGGAAGAGCGCCGACGCTTGGTGGCGTGAGGCTGCCGCCCAGCTGGGACGATGTGGTGTTCAGTGATGATGAGAGGCTAGGAGAGCTGGAGAGCCGGCCGCACTTTGGCGGCGTGGTGAAGCCGTGCGCGCCGTACGCTGATATCGTGCTGCCTGACTCGCTGGGCGTCGTCCCCTGCAGCATTGCACAGTATCTGCGTGGGTACCAGGTCGATGGTGTGAGGTTTCTGCATAGGTGCTTTGTGCTGCAGGAGGGGTGTATCCTGGGCGACGATATGGGGCTGGGCAAGACGGTCCAGATCATTGCGTTTCTCACTGCCGCGTTTGGGAAGACGGGGGATTCGCGCGATGCGAAGCGGATGAGGAAGGCAAGGCGCGCGGGTGGGTGGTATCCGAGAGTGTTGGTGATCTGCCCCAGCAGCTTGATTGCGAATTGGTGCTCCGAGTTCAAGACCTGGGGCTGGTGGGAGGTGTATGTTTATCATGGGTCGAAAGAGGATAAGGAGATGGCGTTGCGTGCGGCGATGGCAGGTAGTGCCGAAGTAGTGATTACGAATTATGAAACGTATAGACTGAGGCATATGGAGGTGAACCTGGTGGAGTGGGATGCGGTAATTGCCGACGAGTGTCACAAGATTAAGGGTTGGTGATGATCTGTGGATGGAGCTGGGGCGCGGCTGATGAGCGGGTAGAGAGGAGCTCGCAGACGACGCAGAGGATGAACGAGATCAATTCCCTCTGCCGGATAGGTCTGACGGGAACGGCGATACAGAACAAGTACGAAGAGCTGTGGACACTGCTCAACTGGTGCCGTCCGGGCCAGGTCGGGACAGTAGCAGATTGGGAGCGCACGATCTCTGGGCCGCTGCGGATTGGGCAGACGCACAATGCCACGGTCCGGCAGCTGGGGAAGGCGCGGAAGGTGGCGCTGATGCTGGTCAACAACCTGCTGCCGCGCATGTTCCTGCGGCGGATGAAGACACTGATCGCGCACCAGCTGCCGAAGAAGTCGGACAAGATCGTGTTCTGCCCGCTCACCGAGACGCAGAAGGAGGCATACATGAACTTCACGGAAAGCGAAATGGTGCGGCTGATCCGCGACGCCAGCGACCCGTGCGCGTGCGGCAGCGGCAAGAAGCGGCGGATCTGCTGCCACCGCGAAGACTCGCAGGGCCGCAGAATCAACGAACTTGTATTCCCCGCCATCATGTGGACGCTGAAGCTTTCCAACCACCTGGCCAATTGGGTCCCCGACGACGGCGACACAGGAGACGTGCGCGCGCAGAAGCTGGAGCTATTGGAGACGTGTCTTCCCGGCCGATGGAAGGAGCTGTCGACACGCGAGAGGATGTACAACTACATGGACCCGCAGATGTGCGGGAAATGGATCGTGCTCGAGCGGCTTCTCAAATTCTGGTACGCCAACGGCGACAAGGTTTTGATCTTCAGCTACTCACTAAACCTCCTGCATATTCTGCACGCGCTCTTCCGCAGGACGGATTACAACGTGTGCTACCTGGACGGGGGGATGCCACTCGGCGAGCGCGCCAAGGCCGTCGACGACTTCAACTCCGACCCGGACCAGTTCGTGTTCCTGATCTCGACCAAGGCCGGCGGCGTGGGGCTGAACATCACCGCGGCCAACAAAGTTGTGATCTTCGACCCGAACTGGAATCCCGCGTACGACTTGCAAGCTCAGGACCGCGCATACCGCATCGGACAGACGCGTGATGTCGAGGTGTTCCGGCTGATCTCGACCGGCACGATCGAGGAGATTGTGTACGCCCGCCAGGTGTACAAGCAGCAGCAAGCGTCGATCGGATACAATGCGAGCGTCGAGCGCCGCTACTTCACCGGCGTCATGGGCGATAAAACTAACAAGGGTGAGCTCTTCGGCCTCAAAAACCTCTTCACCTTCCAGGAAAACACCATCCTCCAGGAAATCGTCAACAAGACGAACATTGCCGAGCGCAAGGCGGGCGTCATGGTCGCGGACATGGACGGGTCCGCTGACGAGGCCGACGAAACCGACGACGTCATCCCCGCCGACGAGGAAGCCGGCGTGCTACAAGTGCTCACGCGCGTCGCGGGGGACCTCGACGACCTCGGCGTCAAGCCCACGAGAAAACCCAAGCCCTTAGCGAAAAACAACCCTATCGCCGCCATCCTCGCAGACGCAGGCGTATCCTACACGCACGAAAACTCCGAGGTCGTCGGCACGTCCAAGATCGAAGAACTTTTATCGCGGCGCGCGGTCGAGAGCGCCTCGCACGATACGCAATCCGTGGACAAACCGGCATTCTTTGACGACGATGACGACGATTACGGCGATGAGGACAGGGTAAGGTACAAGTTCAAACCGCCCACGGCGGTAAGGAAGAGACAGTTTTGCACCGCCGCGAAAATGTTTGGGTTCAGTGATGTGCGCGAGTTTGCGCTGGTTGTTGAGGGCTGGAGTCAGGCGCAGCGCACGACCGCGCTCAATAAGTTTTATCAGATGCGCAGGGAGGGGTGGGAGCGGTTGGGGGAGGAGGGGGAGGCGGAGGGGGAGGACGGGAAACTGGATGGGCAGGATAGGGGCGAGAAAGACGGGAAAGGCGTGGAAGATGAGGCCGACGCGGTGGTGGCACTCGATGCGGTTGGGGCACAGTTGATCAAGGAAGCGGAGGCGCAGGAGAATGAGCCTGACACTGCTATTCCGGCGCCGACTCCGGTCAATTCCACTGCTGCTGCTGCTGCTGCTACCAGAACTGAGAGAGAAGCATCAGAGGCGGCGAATAGCGACACAGAAGACGAGTTATAGTCCTCTTTGAGCGTTTGTTTATACTCTTCAACGTTTTGTAATTTGTACAATACTCCCCCTCCAGCACAGAACATCATCCCTTCAACAGGAGGCCCGAATCACAATCCATGCTGCCTAGGTACCCATGTGAAGCAAGTGACACGTTATGGAGCGAACACTGTCCTGTCAAATATACCGAGGTCGATAGGTGGATGGGTAGGGAGATGTAACTGTTTTGTTGCCTGCTTGTTCTTCTAATCCGCGGAGACCGGTGTTCTTCTATATAGGTAGGTATGCAGGATATGTCTGCCATTAGCCAGGGAGATGGACCTGCCAGCCGGCGGCGAGACCAGACAGTAAGTACACACCTCCTCCCCCGGTCCTCCGGCTACAGCTCGCATGCCCGAGTCCTTGTGTCTTGACTCCTTCAGAACAGTGCTCCTTGAAACTTCACTATCGCCTTAACTACAGCGGACACGAGAGACCCTTCCCGTGCTCCACACGCCGTACGTACTGTATATTGAAGGGGAGGGTAAAAAATACGATTTGTGACCGTACCGATACGCCAAAAAGCGTATCTTTTACCCCCTCCCCCCCCCCCCCCTTCACTATAGAGTAATATGACAGAGCGAACGCAGTGCTTCACTCGTCACTCGACACTCGGCACTCGATACCAACTGGCGTGGACTTAGAAGTTGGGCCCAATGTATGGTAATTATCATCGTAATACCTACTCAACCTAGGTCGCGCCGGGTTCGTGTATGTAGAGTACATACGAGAGCTTCACAAGGAGTTACCTACCTACGTAACGGCAGTTTACACGTGCGAATCAAAGAGAACGAGAGCCAGGAGCGAGCCCCTCCCGGCCGCAAGTTAGGTGACCAGGGACAAGGGACAAGGGGCAAAGGACAAGGGACAAGGGAAAAGCGTATGATACGGTACATAAATCAGAAGAAAAGAGCAATAAGTTTCAAGATGCCGGATTGCAAGTTCAACTTCACTGTGGTGATACCGGTAAATCATAAGAATGTAGGTAATGTGAATCCGACCGCCCGCTTTCGCGGTACGTACTCTACTGAATGGAACTTCAGTTGGCATTAGGGGGTTGGGGGGTTTGGGGTTTGTTATAACCCTACTGAAGGTATGCAGGTATGTACAGTAGCAAAAAGTAGGGTGCGATTGATACGTGGTGAATACCGCAGTCATTTGAATACCGAAGAACTACCAGGTTTCTACTTTCTTTGCTACTGTATGTACCTTGTAGACTGCGGAGACAATTCTCCTGTATATATAAGGTACCTAATTGTATGGTAGAGCCGAGTCCACATCTGGTTCCACATCTTGGCAACAAGTCCGTCTAAGGTCCGCAGCCAAGGATCGAAAACCGTCGCCAAGACGTCAGTTCCAGCTGTGTCGCACACTACTCTACTTTCTAGAACATGCTGGGTGATAACGTCATACACTTGTATCCCGACCCGACGACTGACGCCACCACTTGATAAACCCCCCACCTCTATCCCGTGAAACGAAACCACCATTGCCACAACACACCACGACACACAACATGCAACTACTCCTCGCGCCCCTCCGCCGCAGCGCGGCCCTTACACCCCTCGCGAAATCTCTCACCACACGAACGCTCACGACGTTCCGGCCATCCGTGCGCGCAATCCTCGCACCCCGCCGCGCTTTCCCCGCCGCCGCCAGCAAACGCGCCTTCACCACGGACCCGGCGATCACCGCGCGGCCCAGCAAATCCGAAGCGTACCGCAAGCTCGCGGTGGGCGGCGCGCTGTTCGGCGGCACCCTGGTGGCGATCAACATCCTGTTCAACTCGGAGGGCCGGGTGAACCCCATCCCTGCGTTCGAGCGGCAGTACCTCAAGGAGACGTTCACGTACACGGGCGTCGGCATCGGCATCATCGGGTTGGCAGCAAAGTCGCTGCACAATTTCGGCTGGAGCTATCGGCTCATGGCGATGAATCCGTGGGTTGTGCTGGGCGGCGGGTTGGTGGCGAGTGTAGGCACCATGATGGGCACCCTGTATACCGACCCCGAGAACTGGGCGCAGAAACATGCCCTGTGGGTCGGCTTCAATCTCACCCAGGCCCTGGTCCTCGCCCCGCTGTTCTTTTATAATCCCGCGGTGCTGGCTAGGGCCGGGCTGTATACCATCGGCATCATGGGGAGCATCAGCTACGTCGCCGCGACGGCGAAGGAGGTCAGTCCTAGTCTCAGTCTTCCACGCTGCCCCTGCCCCCCCCCCCCCCCCTCGTGCGCGCCGAAGGCCGAGGGCTGAAGGCTGAAGGCTGAAAGCTGACATGTGACAGGATAAATACCTGTACCTGGGCGGGCCTTTACTCGCGGGCGTAGCGGTAGTTGCGCTCTCTGGTCTGGCGCCGATGGTGCTGCCGCTCGGCAGCCGGGCGCTGATGGGCGCGGAGGCGATCTCGCTGTACGGAGGGCTCGCGGTCTTTGGCGGGTTCACACTGTATGACGTGCAGAAAGTGCTGAACCATGCGCGCGCGGCGGAACGCGGCGTCATGAAGAAGGATACCGTCAATGAGAGTGTCAGGCTGGAGTTGGATTTTATCAATGTGAGTGGTCCGATCGATCCTGAGTGGGGGTGAGAGAGACTGATGAAGGGGAAAAAATAGATCTTTGTCAGGCTGGTGCAGATACTGGGTGGGCAGCAGAGGAAGAAGTAGAAGTAGACCGCGTGCTATGGTAGGTTAGGTACTACGGTATACAGGTACCTGCTTCTATCTGGAGTGGCTTTTTCATGGGCTGGTTTGCTGGCTGGCGTTGCTTTGCTTTGCTTTTCCTTTTTCTCTTTCTTTGCTGTGTCTATTCAGAGACTCCTCTCATCATCCTACATATGCATACATATACCATCCATCCATCCATCCATTCTCGCTATCGTACTCTCCACGTACATACCGGCGTTAGCCGAAAAACGCGTTGACAATGACTTCACCTCTCAGGTGGTACCTCATATACAACTACAGGAGAATTGTCTCCGTAGTCTACAAGGTACATACCTCATACCTACCTACAGCGGGGTTATAACCAACCAACCAACCCCTCAACCCCCCAATGCCAACTGAAGTTCCATTCAATTCCATTCAGTATCATTCAGTATCATTCAGTATAGTGCAGTACAGTTGTAGAATCGAGTATTTCGCAACCCAGTCCACGCCGGCCCCAACGTATGTAGAGTTCTGAGGGGGGGACAAAAAACCTCATTCTGTACAGTAGGTACTTCATTCATTCATTCAGAACATTTATCGCATACATGAAAACACAATGCGTCCGGTACCGTATGTACCTACCTTATAGAGTAGATTACCTAGAGAATTTGGATACCACCTCATACCAGCAGTCCCAGCAGTCGTAAGCACTAAGCACTAGGGGAGGGTCAACTTAACTGCCACGTGCACATCCTCACTCTCTCTTCGCGGGTTCTAGTGTGCGAGGGGGGGCATGGGTTATCAGCTTTAACATCGCCGAGATAGGTACTACTTTGACGTTGTGCGGCCTGGCCTGAAGAAGGCGGGCAGGCTGCTTTCTTTTCTTGCTGCTTTCTTGCCGCTTTCTTATTGCTTTCTATGTACTACCTGGTAGTCAATCCAATCTGTCTCATCTCACCAGTCGCCCGTATATACCCTTCGGAGGTCTCTCACTATCTAGTACAGTAGTATGACAAAGTCGTCTAGGTATATAGCCTCAGCACAACACAATATGTATCACCCATTTCCTCCAAAACCCAACGAGAAAACATAACTCCGAGCGCCCGCATAGACATAGCTACAAACAAACCCTCCTTCCTTGCCTGCCAGCCTTCCACCCCCCCCCCCCCACGCCCCCACCTCTACTCCGCACCCCACCCCTCCCCAGGCCAAACATACCCACCACCGCCCGCGCCCCCTCCCCCGCCCCCGCCCCCACCCTCGCAGCCATACCCCTCACCAATGCCATTCCCCTGTTCAATCATCCCCCAGAACGTATCATCAGCAAAGACCTCTCTGCCGACGCCGCCGAGGCCGAGCGGCACATCGCCAGCCTGGAACTCGACGAATCCCGGGATCCCGCCCGCATCGAACCAGTCACCGCCCCCACCGCTGACGAGGGGGTAGAACTGCTGGCTCTGCTGGCTCTGGCTTTGGGAGTGGCTCGGGTAGTAGGAAGGGGGCGCGAAGTGGTAGCCCGCGGCGGGCGGGTGGTGCGCGTGTTCGGGGTGTGGGTCGTGCTCGTGGGCTTCCGGGTGAGGTGGGTGTTGTGCGTGCTGCTCCGCCTGCTGCTGCTGATACTTCGCGCCGCGGTCAACGGAGACCGCGGCGTCGGAGAGGAGCTGGAGCGGGGTCTGGGGGTGGGAGCTTCTGCCGTCGTGGGGTTCAGGGGTAGTAGGAATATCACCGGGCAGTCCAGGCGAGCGGCCATCAGCGTTCGCATCAGCCGCATTCCCGCCCTCCAGCTCGATGCGACACGCCGCGTACCAGCTGCGCATCATGACGATGATCATGGTGAACTTCTCTGCGGGTCTCTTCCCGCCGGCCTTGGCCGCGCGGACGAGGTGGCCGAGGGAGCGCGAGATGTAGTATTCGACTTTGAGCTCGTCTTTGCGCAGGATCTTGCCCATCTCGCTGTCCGGCAGGGCGGCGGTCACCCAGATCCGGATCAGCACCATGATCGCGTAGCCGACGCGCACGAACATGAACACTGGTATGCAGTGCAGCTCGTCGGCGTTGTAGGTTACGAACTTGTCCAGCAGCGTTTGTGCGGAGGAGACGCATGCGCAGATCGCGTCAGAGTGGTACGACGGGATGATCACGTTCGGCTGCATTATCGGCTCGCGGATCACCCGCTGCGTGAATGGCGGCCGGAAGTCGTCGATGTTGTGGTCGACGTGCAGTGCCACTTCGTTGACGATCATGTTCGCCAGTTGAAAGTTCACCTCGATGGTTGCTGGAAACGGTTACATCCCCGAAACAGAAAGGATAGGGAAGGTACGCACTATTCAAGACCGACCCATCCGCCGACTTCTTCCAACTCTCGAGCTGCCTCGAGAACCCCCTGATAGCCATCTGCACCCTCGAATCGCGAATCGACAAGTCGGCGCTGGGATCATCGAACTCGAACGTTGCCGCCGCCTCCTCGACGATCATCTGCAGTTTCACCCACTGACAGAACAACTGGTCCGACGCTGCAGCTTGCGGACTAGTCATCAGCACATCGACCGACTCCCTGACGAACTGCGTGATGCGCATCATGTTCGGTCGCCGGGTAGAAACCGCGACGTGCGAACACGTCCAATAACACGCCAGGAATGTCCGCCTCGCCTCCATCGTACACGGGTCCGGTAGCGGGGTGGAATTACGAGGCGGCGGTGGTGGCTCCTTCCCCTGCGGTCTCGATCGCGACCAGTACTTACCCGCGGCGGCGGGGACTCCAGCCGGCATCTCCCGCTCTTTCGTGGATAACGCGTTGAACGACGCGGTTATTGAGAGAGGATTGAGATGTGGCACAAACCCAGGCGGTGCCGGTCCCTTCCCAGGCGGCCTTGCAAGCGGCACTTGCCTCCTCGCACCCGACTTCTGTCTCCTGCCGAGCCCCAGATCAAGCCCCATCACCGCGGCCATGTGTATGAGCGTGTAGAAGTTCAGCGTCTCGAACGAGTCCGACGGATAGTACCATATCGACGTGACGATGAGGGCCTGCACGAGTTCTAGCGACTTCTCGGAATTGACGAGGATGCGCTCCGCGAACGACCGTGTCGTCTCCTTCTGCAGCGCCTTGTGCAGCGGGGGATGAGATGCGCCGCTCGCAATCGCCAGCACGGCCAGGAGCAGCGTCGGCTTGCTCTTGCGCAGCTCCTGCACGGTGGTGTCAGCGCCGATGATCACGCACGGGAAGTGCGGGGCCATCTTCTCGTTGTAGAAGGTTAGCAGCTTCGTCGCCATGTCGACGCTCAGTATGTGCTGGTCGATAACGTCGACGTACTCGGTGTTCGGCGCGAACCTATCCGCCGCCGCCGCCTTCTCGGGCAACTCCGTCTTCACCGGCCTGCCCTCTTCGCTCCTCCACCGCTTCCCAGGCGTCCTCTCGCTCGCCGACGACGGCCCAAGCGACTCCTCCTCGTCCCCTTCCCCGTCCCCCTCCTCCCCCTCCTCCCCGCTCTCCCCACTTTCCCCACTTTCCCCATCCTCCCCCCCCTCCCCTGTGTCCCTCGCCCTTCTAGTAGCCCTTAAACTCGCCGTCAGCGCATCAATCTTCCTCTCGAGCTCGGCGACTTTGGAATCCGTCTTCTTCCGGCGCTTACGCGTAGGCTGCGTGAATATGCACTCCCGGTGCGCGCGCGCGCACCGTCGGCATGTGCCTGTGGGCGCCGCGGAGTCGTGCGGCTCGCATTTTACTTTCAGGGAGCGGCAGGACTCGCAGGCGCGCGGGCGTTTGTGGTCTGAGGGGGGCGGGGGTTTGGTGGAGGGGGCGCGGGCGTGGAGGGGTGCGAGGGTGTGGGAGGGGGGGAGGGAGGGGTGGATTGGTGGTAGGGCGTGGGGGAGGGCGCCCGGTGGTGGTGTGGGCTGGGAGGGCGGTGGGTGCACGGGGTAGGGGTATTGGCTGCTGTTGCTGTTGCCGTTGCTGTTGCTGTTGCCGTTGCTGTTGCCGTTGCTGTTGCTTTTGCTGCGCGGCTGGAGGTGGTGTGGATGAGGGTGTGGATGAGGGTGTGCCTGTGCCTGTGCCTGTGCCTGTGCCTGTGCCTGTGCCTGTGCCTGTGCCTGTGCCTGTGCCTGTGCCTGTGCCTGTGCCTGTGGGCGAGGATGTGACTGTGCTTGCGGGCGCGGGTGCGAGTGGTGGTTGTGGCTGTGATGTCTGAACGCAGCGGCGAACAATAGCGTAGGCGTAGCAAAAGCGGAAGAGCTTGACGCGTCGGAGTCGGAGGTGGGTGACAGACCGTTCGGGCGAGAGGGATCGAACGCCATCTGACAGGACAGACAGATCGGGTCGGTGGGGGGGTGGAAGATGATGTCGGGGGCTCGGCGATTAATTTTTTAGGTTTGTGTGCATCGACTGCGGTCCCTATTGGTGCGAGGGATGGATGGCAGCACGGCAGGCTGCGGGCTGCGGGCTGCGGGAACGGCCGTCGGCGAGTCGGTGGCAGCGGGACCAGGAGTTAGCGCTGGCGTCGCCGGCGTCGGGGAATGGCAAACGCCGGCCGGCGCGGGATGCGTGCGTGCGGTGTGGTGTGGTGTGTAGGTGTGTGTATAGGTAAGCCTTGAAGGGTGCGCGAGTCGCTCGGGGTGTCTGTCTGTGGTTTCTCGAGGTCAGGGACTCGGGGGGTGGCTACGATGGAGATCACGGAAGGAAGGTGGTGGGAAGGGAATGGGCGGGATATCGGTGGTAGGGACGGAGGTGATATGATACATACTATACATTGGGGGGGATTGGCAGGCAGCACGCCGGCAGTTATGAGCGGCCGCGCCGCATGGGGTGGGCACGCTCTGGGGCGAGTTGAGGAGGGTGTGGGCAGGCTGGGATGGGCCATTGTTGGCCCCAATGCGGGAGCGAGACTACGGCAGATGCGGACGGGTGGGCGAATACGGCCAAAGCGCGAAGAAAGGTAATCGACGCGTTGGGAAAGGGAATTTATGTATAAGATGCGCTCACATGGCGGTGGAGCACGTGTTGCGGGCTCGCTTCGTTCAAGACAGCATACAGTCGAGACTCTGTCTTCCTCGGCCTCCTCCTCGCTCTCCTCCTCTCCTCAGGAAGGAATTCAAACACACGGACAGACGCGACTTTGGTCCTGGGACCCGGCGTCCGGGCTGCCGCACGGCGCACAAGTCCGCAACCCCCGACTTTAGCTCATGCTGCGGAGACTCGGAGACTCGACACTCGAGATTCGAGGACGTATGCAGGGTAATCGAATGCCGCGGCCAGCGTGGGAGCCGGGAGAATGTACATGAGACAGCAGCGAGAGTTCACACTTCAGTCGCATCGCAGTTCAGTAACACGTGGTCCGGCGAGAGTAGTGGAGTGAAGTTAGTTGAAGGCGCGATTCTGTCAGACAGCACGGAAGGGATTCAAGCCGAGCATCTTCACGCACCATCACTCACGCCAAGATCGATCAGCGTTGGGTGGGCTTAGCTGCTCATAGCGTCTCGGCAATCGAACGACCTACGCATGCGCATGCCTTAAGCGAGAGATTGGAGGTTCGAGGTGGTCGCCCGGCGGGGGGGTGGGACATCCAACGTGACCGTGGGCTTGTATCTGCATCCCCGCGGTGGTTGCATCGATGCAGCGAGTGGGTAGACTCTCTACTTCGTGAGGCGTCCCTCGACAAGGTTTCCGAGCTCGAATGAAAGTTTCGGTTATCGTCTGCGCCTGTAACTCTTCGAAGAGCAGAGGACGAAGTTCTTCAACAAAGAATCGGATCACAGAGGAATCGCCAACTCCTCAGGGGAGACTACGACCCGTTGATCGTTGACGAAAATACTCAACACTGATTTGTGTGTGTTGTATCACGTGATCCTGCGGCTATCGGGCCTTCAGGCCTGCTTTTCATTGTGGGCGACCAGGGCTCCTAAACCCTACCCACGGTCACTAGCCCACAAATCCGCGGCGCACACGCAAGGTCTGGCGAATTTTCGGAACCTCAGCAGAGACGGTTTCATACACCGCCCGTTTACGCCCAACGACCCGCCGACAACCCCACCCGACAATCCACCCAGCAAACTCCCGGAGCAGATCGCCAAGGTTCGTCGCACTCCAAACTGTGGAATTCCGCATTTCCGCAATTCTGCAATTCTGCAATTCTTCGCGGAATGAAAGAGACGATTATCGCGGGAGGGAGGAAATTGTTGTTAACGTGGCACGGCGACACTAGATGGGAGCCCTCAAGTACGTCGAAGAGATCGCCAAGAAGAAGCAGTCGGACATCCTCCGGTTCCTGCTGCGCGTACGCTGCTGGGAGTACCGCTCTCTCAACGTGATCCACCGCGCCTCGCGTCCCTCGCGCCCCGACAAGGCTCGCCGTCTCGGGTACAAGGCCAAGCAGGGTTACGTCATCTACCGCATCCGCGTCCGCCGTGGTAACCGCAAGAAGCCCGTCCCCAAGGGTGCCACCTACGGAAAGCCCACCAACCAGGGTGTCAACCAGCTCAAGTACCAGCGGTCGCTCCGCTCCACCGCTGAGGAGCGTGTCGGACGGCGATGCGCTAACTTGCGCGTGTTGAGTGAGTTGTCCCGATGATCCGCGCGCGGAATCAACGGCTGACTGGAGACGCAGACTCCTACTGGATCAACCAGGATGCCACCTACAAGTACTTTGAGGTGATCCTCGTCGACCCCCAGCACAAGGCCATCCGCCGTGATGCCAGGATCAACTGGATCGTGAAGCCCGTGCACAAGGTTCGCCACATCCCCGCTCCCCTCTCTTCCCCGCAATCACTAACCCACCACCCCAACAGCACCGCGAGTCCCGCGGCCTCACCGCCACCGGCAAGAAGTCGCGTGGTCTCAACAAGGGCCATCGCTACAACAAGACCACTGCCGGTCGTCGCAAGACCTGGAAGCGCCACAACACCCTCCAGGTCCACCGTTACCGTTAGAAGGGTCGTTAGCATCGCTCGCTCTTTGTCGGTTTCTGTCGTATCTACTGTTGTTCTTTGCGTGGGGCGCTCTTGTGGAAAATATCTTCTCGCTTTTCGAATTCCACATGCCGCATGATTCATGAGATACTGGACTGTTGTGACTTTGATTGTGATTGTGAGAGTGATGAAATTATGTGGAATGCGGGAAAAGAGAAATACGTGCCATTTGGGTGGGGACGTTGAAAGCCGGAGTAGATATGACAACAAGCTTGAACAGCTTATTCTCCGCCAAAACTCCCATTCTAGAAAAAGAACTATCAGGAGCTTCTATTTCGCTTGTTGCGTCGCTCAATACATACACGCGGATTTTTGAGTTATGACATCCCGTCTGATGGAGAAAAGACGAGGGTCTTTTGAAGGAACATCGCTTGTATGGTCAAAATCGAAGAAATCATGACGGCCACTCTGTTTACAAGGATATTTCCTATGTACATTTTACTTCCACGTCGTTGCGTGCAGTATCACGTTCTCCATGACTACATACCAGAATAGCAGGTGTCCCCGACTCCCGACTCCCGGATGCCAATCAAAACTTAACCACAGATACCGGTAGATACTCTAAATTAAGTTTGCCAGCCGACCCCCGACTCCCGAGGTGATTCTGACATGCCAACTTAAGTTACACACCACATCCTGCTTCTAGAAACCTACCGCTTCTAGAATACCTCCCGCCTTGTATACCATGCCAAGCCGTTTCCGTGAAGCGAGAAACATGTGCACGGTGCATATATGTAGAATCGTGACTCTCAGTATGTCACTAGTATGTACCCGCAGCGGAAAGCCACGAATCTCCGGCTGCGTGGTTCCCAAAGTGGCGTAATCCTCAGTTCGGGTCCCGGCGGTATCGACCGCGCCGGCGGCCCGAGGCAGGGCAGGGTCACGGGCAGGGTGGCACTGCCCCTACAGTGCCGTCGATACCGCTCTCATCGCTGACCCGGAGCCGTCCAGGTCTCCAGGCCGCTCACATCGATGAGGCAAACCCATTAATCCCTCCGGCAGCCAGTTCCTGAAGGAGCTACTTTTCGATCTCGTCCGATCTCATCGAGATTGCGGGGAAGTGGATGCGCTGTGAACCTGTATTATGAGCATGTGGAGGCAACCCGTTTATGCTTTATCTTTGCTGCGCGGACCGGAACTTGAGCGGGCGGGTTGAGATATATTGTTTCGTTGAGCTTGGTCGGGCGGGGTGAACATCGGCTACAGGTGATGTCTTGGTCATCTGTTTCTGGATTCGTGGGCGGTACCGGTATTCAGTTGGTGCGATGAAAGGCGGTTATAAGCAGCGTGAATTCGCGTGAGTGGTATCTGTAGTTGTTTACGCGTTCGTTGGTTGGTGGTCACAGCTCTGCTAGTGTCTCTGGCCGAAGCGATTTGGTGCATTTGGTCGAAGTGTATTCGACTGTGCTCTTGACTCGAGACTAGAAAGTAGTCCAGTGGGAAGAGCCTAAGACATAGCTGAGGGACGGCTGCACAGCCTTTGATCGGAATCTTGTTCCTCTTGCGGCGCTGAGGCGTAATACTGAACCGTTTAACTCCAATCCCCGGGTCTGATAATCGAGTCAGACCCTATGAATCTTGGCGATACTTTGTATAGGGCTGGATCTTGGGCCAGGTACCAGCTGCCACGGCGTCCATAATAACAACATTGACTTCGCCACCTAGCCACAATTTTCTCCCGATCGCTTGACCGACACGATAGGCACGCTAATCAGTAAAAACTCCACTCTTTTTTACACGTTCATGATGAACAACCTACCCTACGGCTCTTGCCGCGTTGACAGCTTCCCCGTGTTTTGATCTGTGTAGCACTGAATCACTGATCCCTGCCCATGCGTTGCTGTTGCCGGGCCAACACCAAGTAGCACTGTTGTCAGTCAAGATCGCTTCCGACAACAAAACAAACCCTTCACACCGCTCGCTCCCCTCCCACCCGCCCAAGCCGACCCACCTCCGCCAACACCACCACCAACATCACCACAACAATATTAACTAACAACAAAGCTCGACGAGAACGCGACGACGGAATCTTTCGCTACGATAACGGCAATACTTCAGGCCTCGAACCGGGCCTGAACAACGATACCTACCACCACCATCATACAGCACAACTAGAGTTCTTTGTTGCCCCCTCAGATTCATCCCACCCGCACCAGCAGCACAACGCCACGCCCCAATGGCCTCCTCCATCGCGGTCGTCGGTAAGCTCCTTGCGCCCCCGCCCTCTTCCTCCAGAAGAAGAAGAAGCTGACCATGTGTAGTCCGCGTGCGCCCGTTCAGCATCCGTGAAGCTGCCCAGCTGTACGTACCTAGTCCACATGTAGTCCATATACCGAGCCCGACCCGACGGACGAAACGAAACATTAGCCAAGACCGACCCACTGACGGGCTGACTGACGTGGTGCTACATTACATAGGACACGACCCGACGATGCACCGACGTTTTTCGGCGACGGATCACTAGCCAGCTTCCCGAAGCCGACGCTGTCGGCGAAGGGAGTGCGGCGCGTGGTAAAAGTGGTCGATGAGCGGATGCTGTGAGCCATGCTTTGCTCCCCCTGGTGTTGTGTTGTGTGTCTGACGTGTGACACTGCAGGATCTTCGACCCGGCGGAAGAGAACCCGATGGCGCGGTACCAGAAGACGATCCTGCCGCAGGGCAAGCGGGTCAAGGACATGCGGTTCGGCTTCGATCGGGTATTTGACGAGACGTGCACGCAGCAGGACGTGTACGAGTCCACGACGAAATCGCTGCTGGACAGTGTGCTCGACGGGTTCAACGCGACGGTGTTTGCCTACGGCGCCACCGGCTGCGGGAAAACGCACACCATCAGCGGGAACCCGCAGCATCCCGGAATCATCTTCCTCACGTGCGCGGAGCTGTTCGAACGCATCGATGCTCTGGTTGACGAGAAGGAGATCCAGCTCACGCTGTCGTACCTCGAGATCTACAATGAGACCATCCGGGACTTGTTGGTGCCTGGGGGGAGCAAGCTCGGACTACAGCTGCGGGAGGATACCAATGCGAACATCAGTGTGTCTGGGCTGTCGACGCACGCGCCGCGGACGGTGGAGGAGGTGATGGACATGATCGTGCTGGGAAACTCGAACCGGACACAGTCGCCGACGGAAGCCAATGCGACTTCGTCGCGGTCGCATGCCGTTCTGCAGATCAATGTTACGCAGAAGCCACGGACGGCCGGGTTGTCGGAGAACCATATGGCTTCGACGCTGTCGATTATCGATCTTGCGGGCAGCGAGCGGGCGTCGGTGACAAAGAACCGGGGTGACCGGTTGCTGGAGGGCGCGAATATCAACAGATCACTCCTGGCGCTCGGCAACTGTATCAACTCGCTCTGCGACCCGGTCCGGAAGAACCACGTCCCGTACCGAGACTCGAAGCTCACGCGGCTGCTCAAGTTCTCGCTCGGCGGAAACTGCAAGACGGTCATGATCGTGTGCGTCAGCCCGTCGAGCCAGCACTACGACGAGACTCACAACACGCTCAAGTACGCGAACCGCGCGAAAAACATCAAGACCAAGGTCTCGCGGAACATCATCAATGTCAACCGCCACGTCAGCGAGTACGTCAAGGCCATCTACAACCTGCGGCAGGAGGTGGATTCGCTCAAGACCCGCCTGAAGGATGCCACGGTCGAGGCCGGCACTCAGCTCAACAAGCAGCGCGTCGCAAAGGACGCTTCCATCAAGGAGGGTCTGAAGCGGCTGCGCGCGGCGCACGAGGGGTCGAAAGCGGCACGGGATGATAGAGTGCAGCTGCTGCAGGGCCTGAGGATACTGGAACGCCGCATATCGCTGGTCAACTCGTGGTTGTCGGCGTTCGACGAGGTGTTTGAGGCGCGAGAGCAGGATGCCCCCCCGCCCGCGGCTCTGTTCAAGATGAGGGCCGAGGCGGAGAAGGTGCTCAAGGACCTGCAGCAGAACGAGCGCATGGTCAGGCAGCGGCTCAATGTTTCGAGCTGGGAGAAGGCGCTCGACTCGGCACTGCAGAACAGTCTTAGGAACCTCCAGTCGATCGACGGCGTGGCCGAGTCGGATCTGGCGGTGTTGGAGACCGAGGCGAAGGTGCTGAATATCACGGCCGAGAGGGATATGCTCCAGGCTATGAATAATACCGAAATCGATATGACCGAGTCGGTCAACAGTCTGGTCAAGGCGCACTGCGAAACGTATGCCATTATCAACAGGATCATGGAGGATAGGATTCCCGATGAGGAGGCGCTGGAGCGAGCTAGGAAATCGCTATTCCAGGTGCAGCAGGGGTCCGGAGATGCGTTATCAGTCGTCATCAAGCCGTCTGGTGAACTGGTGTCGACCGCTGTGTATCAGCCTCCGTCCTTGATGTCCCCCAAGAAGAAGAGGCAGAGCTACCTGGCGTCGCCCGTTAAGGTACCCAACTATGGGTTTTCGATGATTCCGCCGCCGCAGACATCTCCCGTCAGATCGTCGCCGAGACAGCATATCAAGCACAAGTCGCCGAAGAAGGGAGTTACTTTCAACAAGAAGCTCGCCGAGAAGAAGAGAGTCAGGTGGAATGAGGAACTCGAGGACCCAGTCTCAGAAGACAGCAAGCGCTCTCGCTTCCTCGCGAACGACCACTACTTTGGTCCGCTCGACGAGGAAGGAGACGAAATGCCGCCCCCACCCCCACGACCGGCGTTCAGTTCACGTGCCCGCTCACCCCCGCCACCCTCGTCGTACGAGCTTGATCCCGAGCCCGTATTCGCCGCACCGCACCCGCAGGGAGTGATGGCACCGCCTATCCGCCCCAAGGCCGGCAACAGTCTCGTGGGTAAGAGCCTTGCAGCCGCGCCAAAGCCCCGCGAACCCTCCCCGCCAATGGAAGACTACAGCCTCGCCGACGGCGCCGACGACGGCCTGAACCCGTACGACACGGTCGACCAGGTAATCAATCGTCTCAAGGGCGACGGCGGCAGCAGCGGCTACTCCTCGTCAGAAGAGCCCAACAAGCCGTGGCGGCCCAGCGTCGGTCCCACGCGCGGCGCACTGCGCAAGAGCCTCGCCACGCACGGTCCCATCCGCCCGGCCACCAAACGCCGCAGCCCCACCAGCTCCTCGCAGACCTCGCCGGAGGGGGGCGCCGGCCAGTTCAAGACCGGCTTCAATAAGCGCCTCCCGAATAAGGGCGGCGAGAAGGAAAACGCTCCCAACGGCGGTGTCCCCAGCGTCCTATCGCCGCATAGCACGCGCGTTAAGGCCGGTGCTAGGAGGTTGACCGTTTCGTCTGTAAGTGGAGGTGGGCTGCAGCTTAGCGCACTTGCGGCGACCGCGCTGCAACATACCAGTCTGGGCAGACAGTCGATTGCGCCTAATGCGAGCTCCTCGGCTGCCGATAGGAAGGCTATGCCCCCGCCGCCGCCGCCGGTGAGGAGATAGGCTTAGCCTCTTTCTCTGTCTCTCTCTGTGTGTGTGTGCTGTGTGGGTGGTGGGTGGGTGGGTCCCTGTGGGTGGGTGTGTGAATATACCAATGTTTTGTTGACCGACCGAGACCGAGGGACGACTTTCCGACTACTTGCGGGATGGGGACCTTTTTCTTTTTTTCTTCCTTCTCTTTTCTTGTCTTGTTCTTGTGCTTTCCTTTTCTTGCATTCGTTATGACCGACTGAACGAACCGAACGAACGAAGGTGGGGGGGTGGTAATGTTCTCGTCTTGTCTCTTCTCTTTCGCTTTGTCTCTTGGCTTTTGTGGTTTGTGGATTGTCTTGTCTTGTCTTGACTTGGTCTTTTTTCTGGTACGATACGATACGATTACATTTTTGGGGATTGTCCGTTGGATTGTGAGCGGGGGTGACTGATGTTTTGTTTATGCTTGCTGCTTGCTGGGGTACTGGGGTGTCTGCACTGGCGGGGCGGGGTGTTTTGTTGCTTTCTTTCTACTGCTGGGGAGGAGGGAGGGGACGAGGGGAGGGAGGGGAGAATTGAGGAGGGGAGGGGAGAATTGATACTTCTTTTCTAATACCTACTCGTACATCGAGCACTGATGCTGATGCCGATACCGATGGGGCAATGGTGTGGCTGTGGCTGTGGCTGTGGTTGAGGAAATGATGACTAAGCTCGCACAACGTAATCCCACCCACCACGGTAATTCACCATAGAGTACTGGTACGCATGTTGCGCGGAGACAAACTTGACCAGTGAGGATCTAATCCTTCGTGTGAGGGGAGTCGGAGGGGATCACTCACGGGGCGAGCTTTCAAGTTTCCATTGGGTGCGATGTCACGTTCTAACTAGCCGAGTAAATGATCTGTCTATAACGGGCCGCTTCGGGCTTCACTGGTCAGTGTTTACATATGCGACAGATTGTAGCCACTGGACTGCGCAGTAATTGCCGGCATATGTATCAGAAGTATGACAGAAACAGTTTCCGTATGTATTCAAACTCGTTGTCAGCGAGGGGGGGAGATGGCATGCAGCGCCACCCTACATACATACCTGCATGTCGACCAATCAATTATCTCCTAATCGGGTAGCTTCAGCGCTGAGCGAAGACGGCACTCCCCACCCACCACTATAGGACCCACCATGTTGTGAGCACCGCCATCATCAACTCCTGGCTATATGTGCTACCACCTACGCCTCACATCAATCTCTGTTAGTATAGTGGTTAGTATTTCCGCCTGTCATTCCAAGTGATAGTCCGCGGGAGACCAGGGTTCAATTCCCTGACAGAGAGAGGTGTTCTTTTTGCTGTTCTGTTCTTTTGGTGCTTTTGGTCTTTTGTTCTTTTGGTGCTTCCTCGTGTCGGGTGAGAGTTTTGAGGGATGATGTTAAGGCGGGGGGGTGGGGGGAGGATACGGCGATGATCCGAGTGGGAGGAAGAAAGGGAAGCGGGAAGAAAGGGAGGTAGAGCTGAGGCGAGAGGAGGAGGAGGAGGGTGCTGTGGTCGAGAAGTCCGGATCAACTCCCGCTGTTCCTCCCCACGGCTTCCTTCATGGCCTCTCAGTGTGTAGGCTCTGATGTTGGGCAGATATCAAGAGGGAATGTGCTCCAACCTCTGCTGACTTAATCTGCCGACTTAGCGTGAGTTGCATATCCGATCGATATTCCTCCCGTGAACATTGACGGAGCGAAATACTCGAGAGCGTACCAGTCGAAGCGATATGCAGTCTATTCCGTCTATGTACAACCAAACCAACGAGCCAAAAATAATTTCAGGTATATATATGCCCAAAGAAACCACCACCGACGCCACGTAAGTGCCCGTTTACTTCCTCCACGATTGATATCCCGTGACAATCTGCATGTTGATCCACTCGTAGAGACTTTGTCGACCCCTTCCAAAGACGGAAGGCACCGGCTGCCACCGCCAGAGATACGGACTCGCCGTCGCCCGTCCGATCTCTGAAACCAGTGCCACTGTGGCTGGAGCTATCGTGTTGCCCCCGGTTTCCTCGAATTCCGAATCCGCCGCGGTTTCCGTATCGATCCGTAGAGCTTGGCGGTGTCGACCGATGCTATGCATCGGAGAACTTGCGTTCGCCCTGGGCCGCGCAGTATAGGCCCCCTCCGAAGTCCGTGCATGCTTGAGTGCTAGCCCGATTATCATGATTAGGAGCATGCACGCCCCGAGAGCTATCTGTATCAAATCGCCTGCGGGAACTGCCAGTGATCTGTGAGTTGACGTCCTCGGACTGCTCGGGAGGGGGGAGATAATGGTGCGGAAACAGTGGAACTTACTGGGGCTGCTCGTGCAGAGTTCGATCATTTCCACGGGGGGATACGGATGTTGAAGTACTGCTGGGAGAAAGTCGAAATCGGGAGACGTACAACTGTGCGTATGTAGAACTGGTCGAGTTGGTCGCGGTAAGACCCTAGGTGGTGTCGATAAGCCGTCCCTGAAAATGTAGTCGGAGTGATGGGAAGTCGGAGTGAACATATACCATGTTTACATGCCTAAAGGTATTAGATAGAATGAAATCATGGCGAAGGAATGATTCCATTCCTCCGTACTGCGACTGGGGTCCGGGGCGCGTCACTGTGAGACCACGGATGCGATGATCCATGCTAAGGTCCGACCAACTGTCGCTTGCTACATCCACGGCACGGTTCCCCGTTGGCGCTTGTAGGAGGCAACCCCCAAAGGAATGGAAAGATGGAGATGTCTGCCGATCAGCACTACCGAGTGCGTCGTGACTCGCAAGATATGTGGGAGTAGGTAGGTATCCCTACGTGAGCTACCTAGCCGATGGATCCCGGCTATAGGTACCTACGCCAACGTCGAGTACCGGTGAACAAAAGAACTCGTGAGACCAATACGAGGAACGACGAACGACGAAGGCCGGAGCTGGCGGCACAGTCGATACGTACGGCGGGCGAAAGTAAGCAAATTACGGCGGTCGAAAGTGGACAAATAGCCAAACATGTTCAACACAGCGTTTTTGCAACACAGCACTTTGTAACTGCACACCCCTAGTCGCCCCAGTACACCGCAACAGAGCGCCCACCGAGACAAAAACAGAGAGAAAAAGGGAGAGCGAAAGAGAGCGAAAATTGCGAGAGGACGGTAGGTGAGAGCGAGGAGAGGAGTTTTACGAGGTGGAGCTTGGTTAGGGTTTACATATCACGGAAACCAAGTCCCATCCGGTAAAACAGTGCCATCTCCACCATCAACCCAGCTTTTTGGTTCGCGCGGTATCACCATCACCACCATCACCACCCATACCACCACCACCGCTACCACCGCTGGATAAACTTCGAACAACCAGTACAAAAAGACTTCAATATCCTTCCAACATGAAAAAAAAAACCCCGTACTGAACTGAGAACGTTTCTCTTCGGCTAAAAAACAATACTCACCCCGCCCGAAAGTTTGTCCCACCCTATTCCCCCCCTGCAGGTTGTTATCTGAGATTAGATTCGTGGCTGCATGTGGCTCAGCCATAGAATTTATTGTCGCCGCCATGGAGTAGATGTCTGAGCAGATTCCGTAAGCGAATGCCAGGATGCCGTGTCCTCAATCGCCGGAGTACTCTATATCGAAATTGGATTAATTGCCTTCCTAGGCGCTTGGTCCCGGTTGTTACGGTGTTTCTTTCGAGGCCTTCATCGGCCGGGGCCCGGGAGTGGGGACCCGAAGTGCTGGAAACCGGAGAGGTTGAGGGTTCGGCCCCCCGCCTGTATAAATCCGATCAGGCCGCGACCTACCTGGCGAAGAAAAAGCGAACTCCACACCGTTCGAGGTTGATTGATATTTCATGCAGCATGCAGCGGCTTCCTTTTATGCACGTGGAAAACTTGGGTGCGTTACCATCGTGAAACAAGCTAGAAGGTAGAGCCATACGGGTACTATTATGAAGATATCTTATGGTTACGTGGTCTTCAATCGACAATTATTCGGTTGATTGTAGGTAGTGAATTTCGCATACCGATCTGATTTTCATCCTACGTTCTTCGACCTCACTAACCTTGACGCATCACTTATTCCGGCTGCAGGCGGGTCCGGTTAGTAGAATGTACATATTTCTCTACGGCTCTAGGTTGCTCATCTTCTAAGCAGTCTGGAGGGACAACTGTATCCAACTCGACTCCCAAGCTTTTCACGTGATGAACATCGATAAAAGCGGGGAACGTGTCGCCTCAAAATTAGTAACACCAAGTTAACTCCTACGCTTACGGCATCGGCTCCCACATCAAACAGCACTCGGTAGCACACCAGTATGGAATATCACTCGGCTCGTCGCTCTCTAGCAATTTTTTAGACACGATGGAATCTATCAGAAACTTTCATTCTATGCTGACCTGCGGGCTAATGGTAAAGACAGGTCAGGTAGCTTTATTTCTTTTCGGCATTCGCGGCTTTCGCCTGGTAAGTGATGCTCATGAAATCGCACTCGTACATTACACCGCTTAGCATTTTTTTGCGACCGGAAATATTTGAGCATTGACTGCCATTTCCGTTACATTCAAGCTTGAGCTTCGCAAGGGGCTTGGATGTAGCTACGTGACTTTAGCAGCTCGACCGGATCGCCCTCCCCTCAGGCACAGCTGGTACGGCACCCCCCGTCCCACCGCCTGCCACCTACGCCACGAGATATGAAGCGGTCAAAAAGTTCCTGGGAGTTCTCCCGGAAATAAATGATATGTGGGGGGAGCTTGGGATTCAGGATGAGTATGAGTACTACTGGTCTAACGCCGGGGCCTTGAACCGACTAGCCAGTCGCGCCTGTATTCCAACCATCCATATGTAAACCGACAGAACAAAAACCAAAGAACCAAAAGACGAAGGATATAGAAACTCAACACCGAAACCGTACATATTCAAGCCAAAACCATTCGATCGGTCTGCAAGGCGAAGCTCGCTCATGCCCGCAGCCGTCGGTGCTCGGCAAGCTTAAGCCTTAGTCGAAACAAAACAGAAAATAAAACAAAACAAAAACCGAAGAGATCGAATGAGAAATCTAACTCCAACCCCAAATCCAACTCCGCAACCAATAACCAATAACCGATAACCTAGCCCAACCAATGTACCCCAATGCACCTATGTGCCGTAGCCAAACCACGAAAGTATGCATACCGCCCGTCTACCACCCCAGCCATCAACGCCCAATCCGCACCCAGTCGCGATCCGCATCGCCAGCGCCAGGGCAAGTCGCCAAAGAAGCACGCAGAGCGCCAGTACTCTATGGATGTACCGGGCGACCTCGCCCTCGCCCTCGCCCGCGGCTGCAGACGTCGAAGTGCCACCGCCAGTGACATCTCCGTATTCCGCGAGTGCCTCTACCACCGCTACCGAGCTCTCCAGATTGCTGTTGGTGGTGGGATTATGAGCGAGCAATTGGCGGCGGCGGCGACGCCGCCGCGCATACTCCAGTGTCACACCCACGATCGCGACCAGCAACGTGCACGCCGACAGGAAAATCTGCACCAGGTCGGTAGGGGAGGCTAGGTTTGTTAGTATTGCGTGCCTATGTAGGTATGTAGGACGGCGGAGGCGGTGGGGACTGTGAGCCACCTACCTGGCGTGCTGGACCGGTGTTCTGACATGGTATCTTCCGGCGTGGTGATGATTTGGTTGATCGGTTGGCTGGAGGAGGAGCAATGGCGGACCGACGAGTAGGTATGTACGATACTAGGTATTGGCAGGTGGTTTCGGTCCTGAAAGCTGTCTGTCGAAAAGTGGCTCCACGGGCGAGACTTATCACTTGTAGATTTCGGAACGACTATATATTCCTATAACCCGTCAGTGCGTTGTCAACTACGTACGAGGCCCGCTGGGTTCGGCGGCGCTCCGAGCATTATGAATTCATCGCAGTATTCGAGAACACAATGGGTGACAAGCTTGACCGTATATGGTTAGCGGTAGTGATAGCGGAGGTACGCCCGCTCCACGAGACAACACTCGAACCACATTACCAGCCACGATCGCTGTGGCTGGGGCTGAAGTTTCACCTGCAGATCCACCAAGGATTCAACAACCAAGCTCAGCTATGATATGCTTGTTGCAGCGCTTGAGTGCGGGCCAAGGCCCGCATCACGGCCTCCCTTCTAACGCAGGGTTATGTATGCACATGGATGACGCATGCATGAGAGAAGCAAAAGCGAAAGCCAACCGAAAAGACCCCTATGTAGCAAAACTAAACGAATGTGCGCAATAACTTCCGATTGGGATGCCAAAACTCCAAAATACTGGAGGAGCAGGGAATCGAACCCTGGACCGCCTCTATGCTAAAGAGGAATTATACCACTAAACCACACCCCCAACTGTGAGAGCAGGAACAACTTAGCTTTTATTAAGCAATTTATTTGCGTCTAGCTCTATTTGCCTACTATTCTTGAAGGGAACTATATAGCATAGGGTAACCTGCCATTATAAAGAACCCGGACACTGTTTAGCTTCAACTAAGCCCGTACTTGACCCTGCCTATTCCAGTAAACCAGTAAAAGTTCCTTGACACTCATACTACCACATCATACTACCACATCATAGCACTTGATAAACTTTCCAAACAAGTTAAACAGAAGAAGGAGAACAAAAGACACTTCGGCATAGGTGGATATCCACAATGCTCTGGCCGAAAGAGCGGTGCTTAGCTTTGCTATGGAAAAAGCTCTTCCGGACTAGTGTATGCAGCTAGACGATTGGGGAGTCAGTCCCAAATTGGATCTTCTCCAGGTGTAATGGCACGGTTGGGCTGGGCTCCAGGTAGAGAAGACAGGTGGACAGATGGACAGGAACTGGGTTGGGCAAGGGCGAGGCAAGACGGAAAGACGAGGCAAGACAGGACTCAGTGCAGACAGCAACTCAGGGGCATGGGCGGGAACAGGAACTACGGTGCAGACGGCAGCCGAAGCAAGGACAGAGGTGACAGTTGTTGGATTCATAAGTTGTTGCGTGAAGAACTAAGTACACAGGGGTGACGGCCCGTTTATATAGAAAATCCTCCACTTCTTCCCGCAACCTAACAATGACTGTGAGCGTGTGCCAGACCCTGAGAAATCCACTGTAACGGCACGGTCGGGCAAGGCTCCAGGTAGCGAAGTCGGGCTCGGAATCGGGTTCTAGGTTCGGCAGAGGCAAGACGGGTTCAGGGGACAAGGTGAGGCAGGGCTCAGTGCAGACGGCAACTGAGAACAGAGGCAGGGACAAGGACTATGGCGCAGACGGCAGCCGAGGCAAGGACAGAGGTAACAGTGGTTGAATTAACAAGTTGTTGCGTGAAGAACTAATTACAGAGGGGCGCCGGCCCGTTTATATAGGAAATCCTCCACTTCTTCCCGCAACCTGACAATGACCGTGGGCGTGTGCCAGACCCTGAGAAATCCTCCTCGCCGCTACCCCCGCTCCAGTGACTCACAGCCTGCGCTGCCGCGCTACCCCTGTCTCCAACACACAGCCCCAATTCCTCCGACTCATTCCTGCATTGCCGCCTGCGCAGCCGCCTGCGCAGGCCCTGCGCTGCCTTCCAACCCCTGTTCCGACTCTTCCTCGAACGTTCCGTTGTGAGCCGTGACACTGGTGAATAATACTCAATGCCAATGATTCTTCAGCACCGGAAGCATTACTCCACCGAAACTTTCGAAATCACCCCACTGGGCGATTGTGATGCCTACCTCTCCTATTGGTGGATGGCAAAACATCAACTGTTCAAGTTCGGGACCAACGAAGGGACAAGCATCTGCTTTGACAGCACAAGTTGCAAGGAGTACTACACCATGCACTACACCATGCACTAAGCAACGAGCGTCCTGATTGAACTTGACATCTTCGTCTGTGAGACTGGAACGAGTTTGTGTCGTCGGAGTCTATGGTAATATCGAGTATAGAATACAAGTCAGGGATTTCGATAATTCACAACGGAATAATCTTAAGGGTGTTTGTTCGATGGTTTGTTCGATGCGATGATGGTTGTTTGGTTCGGTTGCTTGCTCGGTTGGACTTATAGTCGTTCCGATCCTCAGCACGTGATTTCTCTAGAGTGCGGCCTAACGTAGCTCCGTTGCTTCCTTTGCATTAGAGTTCCGCGGCCTAGCCTTGAGTCGTCGTCAGCTCTCTTCGGATAGTCTTCTCGACTAGGGAGGTGGTAAACACCACTCGCCCAAGATGGATCGGAGTTTCCGAGCAATTATCTCCCTCATGCGCCGGCAGAGTTCTTCGCTCGAAGTTGTCTGCCCCCATCGGTCGATGTTCGATTCTCTCGTCATAACAGTTTTTCCCTGGATCGGAGTTCCTACTGCGGGGCCCTATGAACGGAGATCTCAGAGTCCTCTGGACTGTTATCCCGATCACCCGCATCTCCGATCACTGTCTAGACTCTGGAATCCGTTTGCTCCCTCCTTCCTATCTTGTCCTTGATCGCTTCTAACTATCCTTTTGGCTCGCAACTCTATTCTAATCACCCGAACTATCTAATCACATCTCTTGCAACCGTCGTGACCTTCGATACCTATCGGGGTGTCACACCATCTCCCCTCCCACGAGGCTTCGGCCCGAAGCACCCAAGTCCTCGCCTTTATCCTAACTTGATAACTGTGGATGAAGTCCTCCAACCCCTTCATCCTACTACCTGCCCGAGTTCGAGAAAACCACATGGGAAAAAACTCTTACTCATCTGTGAGCCGGTAGTCCCTCGGCGCATCGGGATTTTTGCGATGAAACTTGCGTAGCTTTTCCCGACCGCCTACTGAGAAGTTGTCGAATGGCTCGTTCGTCCAGTCCCGTCGTTCGGGATAGTTGAGCCATTTCACGAGGTAGAGCACTCGTCGACCTTTCTTCGAGCTGCCCATAACCTCATCGACATCGTATTCTTCGTTGCCTTCCACATCATCGGCCTCTCGTAAGATTTGAGAGGGATCCGGTGGTGCTCGGGTGCCGGCTCGGAATGGTTCAAAGAGCGAGACGTGAAAGACATTATGAATCTTCCACTTCCTTGGCAGAGTGAGCTTGACAGCGAGCGGCGATACGATCTTCTCGATTTGGAAGGGACCATGGTTCTTGTGGTCCAACTTCCGCGAGGGTCGGCGGGTTTGAATGTTCCGCCCATTGAGCATTACCAAGTCTCCTACTTGATAAGCCGGTGCCTCCTGACGATGTTGATCTGCATACTTGCGCATTCGTTCGCGCGTTCGTTCGAGGGTCTTGATGTTTTCCTCGTGGACTGTATGCATCCAGTGAGCGTAGACCTTGCTGGCGGGGTTGAGAGAATTTGCCGCAGCAGGGTTTGTCGCCGACGGGTGGTATCCGAAATTCGCGTAGAAGGGCGACATGCCAGTTGCCGATGTAACCGAGTTGTTGTAGGCAAACTCAGCCATCGGTAGGAGATTCACCCAATCGTTCTGCTCGTAGTTGACGAAGGAGCGGAGGTATGCTTCGATCGTCTGGTTGAGGCGTTCGGTTTGTCCATCCGTCTGTGGGTGGAACGCTGTTGACATCCGGGGCTTAATGCCTAGCAGCCGGATGAATTCTTTCCATGTACCCGAGGTAAACCGTGAGTCTCCGTCCGGCACTATGTCTGCTGGTAATCCGTGAAAGCGCCATATCTCGCGGGCAAAAATCTTCGCGAGATCCTCGGCTATCTTTCCATCCTTAGGTAGGGGGATGAAATGCGCCATCTTGGTGAAGCGGTCGACGACCACCCATAGCTGGTCGCATCCGTTGGATTCCGGTAGGTCGGTGATGAAGTCCATGGCTATTGATTGCCATGGGGTGTATGGTAACAAGAGGGGATTGAGTAGTCCATACGGCTGGTGCCTTGTTGCTTTGTCCTTCTGACACTGCGCGCAACTCCGGACGAAGTCTATAATCTGCTCGTCCATCTTCGGCCACCAGAAATTGCGTCGGATAAGTTCGATAGTCTTGTCCTGGCCCATATGCCCCGCGACTTTCGTATCGTGTTTCGACTTGAGGATGTGTCTGACGAGTTCCTTGTCGTCTGGTACCCATAGCCTTTCTTTCCTATACAGGCACCCCTCTTCCATCCTCAAAATCCTGGCCTTTCGACCCATCCTGCCGGAGTCCCTACTCTCGGCGGCCAGTTCCCAGGCCTTTCGGCCCTCCGACTCAGTGTCCTTCTGAGCCGCGTCCTCGTTCGTGTCCTTGATGCTACTCAGAGCTTCCTGATACCCAGCATCTTCCTTTCCTGCCTTCCTGACCCAACCCAGAAATTCTTCATTCCACTTTGGCACGGGGATTGATTGTAGCCGAGTTGTCGAAACCAGGAACACGGTGCTTTCGCCTCCGGTGCTGATTGATGAAACTCTCGAATCATCGCCTGCAAAGTGTGATTTATGCAGGATCGTCGTAATCGGCTGATCTTCACCCCCCCTTTTTCAGGGCGGTACTCCGGGCGCCTGGATAATGCGTCAGGCTTGCCGTTCTGGCTGCCGGGCCGGTAGTAGATTTTGAATTCGATGCCAGCGAGTTCTTGTGCCCATCTCGCCTGCCGTCGATTGAGTACTTTCGTGGTTGTGAAGTACTCAAGGTTCTGGTGGTCGCTGTACACCTGGATCTGGTGTTTTGCTCCCTCGAGGTATTGCCGCCAGCGTTTGAAAGAGTCTACTATCGCGAGTAGTTCCTTATCGTGAATCTCAAAGTTGATTTCGGCTGGGGTAAACTTTCTTGAGTGGAACGCAACTGGGTGTAACTTCCCATCCTCTGCCCTTTGAGACAGGACCGCGCCCAAGGCGAAGTCCGAAGCGTCGGATTCCACCACGACAGGTAATTCTGGGTTGAAGTGCCCGAGAATCGGTGC